CCGACTGCCGCGACTATCGTGACAATTCTATCGCCGACACGCAAGCCCGGCCAAGTCAACATCTCGCGAAATACACTTTTTTGTTTGCTTCCAACGACAAACCACCTGGTTCAACCTTTACTTTGTCTTCGGCAGACGTGTTTGCCCATCCGGGATGATGGGGTTCCCATAGCTACCTCTTTCAAGCCGCCTCGCCTTTGAACCGACACGAATTCGAACTCTTTTGTCTGCTCGCTTCATCCTCACGGAAGCTCGAACCGACACTCTGGTTTGCTCACGATGGACACCCATTTTAACACACAACGCACGGCGGCTGCGAAATCTTTGCCGTCTCTCGCGCACTTACCAAGCCCGTCTCCAGACCGGCCACCCCGGCCACCCCGGCGACATCTACCGTTCCAAACGCGACCACTGGCATTATCCTCTTCGATCTCGTCGACTAGCTGCGCGCGTCGAATACGGCGACAGCCACGAATGCCCACGATAGCCCTGCGAAACCTGGGACGGCCAACTGCGGCCTGGATGAACATGCTGGCCACTATGCTTCTGGTGCTGCTGGCGTGCATCGGCATCCAGCCCGCGCGTGCCGTCTCGGTACAGTTTGAAAACTGCATGCCCGAAGACTATGTCGACAACACGGACCCGGTTCTGCTACAATGGGTCCCGCTCCTTGTCGAAGCCTCGTTCGACGCCACGGCGAACGACAGCCGCAAGTTGCTTGTCACCATGTACGGCAACGTCACTGGCACACGCTCTTCCGCGCCGTTGCCAGCCTGGGATAGCCCTCTTTGGAACGATCCCTCCAACACGAATGGCAAGATCCTGCGCGCACCGGACACGTCCGTGGCGAATCCCAAACTCACGACGCTTCACAGCAAGATGGAGGTCCTCACGTACGAGCCCTGGAGCAATGACACCGACTTCTGTGCCGATTCGTTGACCAATGGCGTCTGCCCACTGGGCCCTGTCTTCAATACGTCTGTCATTTCCTACACCGACCTTCCGTCCGTGTCCATGTCGAATGTCTTCACCACATCGTACGCCTTCACCTCTTTTTCGGCGACCTTCATTATCCGCTACGGCGACGCCGCCTCCACGACCATTGGCTGTGTCTCGGCCACCATCACGCCCTCGCTGGGTTACTTAGCCTGGATCATCAAGTTTTTGCCCTTGTTGGTCCTGCTGGTGGTTGGTTTCGCAACCGTATTTGCTGGCATGTACAGCCCGTGGGGCACGGCTGACATCTTCCACTGGACGAGCAATTACGGCCGCGATCCAGACTTACTGCGCCTGGTGACACCTGGGTTTGGCGACTGTCTGCAGTACCTCCAGTTTGCCGTTCTCACGGGCGGCCTGACCCTCAGCTACCCCGGCTTCTACCAACCCATAGTGAGCCAGGCGTCGTGGTCTGCCCTCATGTTCAACCAGACGTTTGTGAGCAAGGAAGTCGGCATTCCTGACGTTGTTGACGGCATCTATTCCACGAACGGCTCCTATGGTCTGCAAAACCTGGGCCAACTCGCTGGCATGGCCAACGTAGAGGACATTTGGGCCGGTATGATGGTGTGGCTGATGGTGATTGTTGTGGGCACTCTGGTTCTCTTCCAGCTCGGATTCGCCCTGCAGTGGATCTACCGCTCTGTGCGTCGGATCCCCGAGGAAGACTTGCGCTCCAAGAACTGGCCGTTCTCTGTCGGCAACCTCGTCCGCGTTGTCTTCAACTATTTCCTGCTGCCGCTCGTGTCTCTGTCGACGTTCCAGTTTGTCGTTGCGACCCAGTCGCCAGCTTATACTGTCGCGTTGGCTGCCTTAACGCTTGCTGCGATCCTCGGCTTTGCAGCCTGGCTGCTGTACCTTATCACGAGTACGAAACCTCGCGCAGTCCTGTTCGACGACCTTCCGACGTTGCTCCTCTACGGCCCGCTCTACAACACGTACTCTGATGAGGCAGCCGCCTATGCCATGTGCCCGTTCATGGTGACGCTCATACGAGGCATTGCCATTGGCGCTGTGCAGCCGGCCGGTATCGCCCAGATCATCCTTCTGGCTATCTGCGAGGTTGTCCAGATTGTCACGCTGCAAGCCATTCTCCCCTTCCACAAGCAATCTTCCATGAACGCCTATCATACCTTGTTTGCAGCTCTCCGCTTTGTGACGATCATGTTGATGATTGCATTCATCCCAGCACTGGGCGTCACCGAGGGCCCCAAGGGCTGGATTGGTTACGTCATTCTGGTGATCCACGCCGGCATCCTGATCCTCGGCTTCTTCCTCAACGCCATTCAGACACTAATTGAGGTGATTGCCCGCATGGCCGGTGCTGGCGGCGATGATGTCATGGGCCAGACACGTGGCGGTCTCTCCAAGATCTTTGGTATGCGTCAGCTATCGAGACGCATGCCACGCCGTATTGCCGGCGCCACGTCTCGCCAGAGCCAAATGTCGAATGCCGGTATGCTGGACTCTGAAGAGGCTAGCAAGGCTGGATTCATCATGCCGGGTGGCCGCCTGCGAAGTGAGTCCGCCGGTAGCATCGGCGTTCTCATGGGTGGCAAGCCTGGTCAACGGAGCTCGTCTGCCCTCGACAATCTCAGCGTGGAAAACACCGTGGCCCAGGGTGGACGGAATTTGGAGAGCGGTGCCGGATCCTATACTCCCACTACCGCTGGTGAGATGAGCAACTTCTCCTTCCTGCCGTCACCGAACCCCAACAGCAACCGCCTGTCGGGCGCTACCGCTCTTTTTGCCGGCGCAAATACCACTCCGGTGGAAGCCAGTGACCCATACTACCGCCAGCCGCGGCGTACGAGACGCCCAACGCTCAGTCAAGAAAACAATGTGCCGTCTCCAGCCAACCGGACGCGTGGATCATGGGCCAGCGGTGACTGGGGTCAGGGTGCGCAGGCACCTGGTGTCGGGCCGGCCCCTCCTGCCGCAACCGCTGTGGGACACAGCTCCAACAATGCCGCCAATGCAACCGCAGTTGCTGCGGTTATAGCGGGTGGTGTGCCTGCCATCACTGGGGATGGTGACGTCGACGGCCAGCCGTCTCGTGGAGCCACGCCGGCACCATACGGCCAACCGGCGTTCTCACCGAGGACAGACTACTCCACGCGTGAAGTCGACTTTTACTACGGAGTGAGAGGTCAACGCCTGAACTCGGATGCGCCTGGCCGGCGCTTGGGTACGGGACCTGCGGATCCTACAGGCCCGATGGCGTCGGCTGCCGGCTGGTTCCGGACTCTTATCGGCGGCAAGACCAAGGAGAAGGGCAAGGGCTTTGAGGTTGTCAGAAGTTCTCGGATGCCGCCTGCTATGGTGGCTCGTGGGGGCGACTTCGAGGACGAGGGCCCGCCACCTGGTGTTCCTGTGGCTATGGATGTGATCCGCAATGGCCCGATCGAGTCGGATGACGAAGATGACGCCCAGGCCAAGAACCGGCGGACGATTCGTAGCCGCGACCGCCCAGCAGGCAGTGAACCAAAACCTGCCGAGTCAGTTCTGCTCAACGAGGATGGCAACCCTGGCGAGGACAGCGAGGCGGCCGATGAAGCTGGATTCTTGCGCGTTTCTGATGTGCCCCCGCTACTGCCCAGCATTGACGGCGGTGACAGCATCCATATGCCGAGCAGGCTGCCGAGCCGCAACCAGTCCAAGGCCAGCCGGTACACTGCTGCTGGTGACGGATACAACAATGGGGTCTTGCCGTCTGCGACTGTGCCCGTCTTGGCTGAAGTCCCTAGTCTGCCCCGCAAGAGCTCTAAGCGTCCCTTGTCAGACGATGGGAAAGGCCAGCCTACGTCGCTCTCCACTCCATCCGAGACAGGCCGCACGGTGTCCATGAGCTCCTCCCACGGCGCCCAATACCAGCAGCAGCCGTACCTGGCGCCTGCCATCCGGGTTGACTCGGCGAGCAGTGGTGGAGGGCTCGCGACTGCGAGACTACCCTTTGACCGCAACAACTCGCTTCAGCGGCAGATGTCCGAAGGTTCCTCAAATGCGCATACTGCCGAGGAGTTTGCTCAGATTGACCTGAACGACAACTCGTCTAACAACACCGGCGGTGCCGGGCGAGGCTCGAACGAGGACCGGCCGACAAGCTATGGGTACGTCCAGCAAGGTAGCATCAGCCGAATCGACCCCGAGCGGCAGCCGGATTTGCTGGGATCATCTGCCGAAGTCATCGACGAGCGCCACTAAACTGCTCCTGAATCCACTCTCTTACATTCGTTCGTTTTCAGTCGCATCACACAAGTGCTTTCTTTACGGAAAAGATCTATTTATACGCGCATTGTCTTGTGCGGACACATGACGGACTACAAAATCTATACTTTCCTTTCATCGTTATCAGCCTCTGCTTTGTATACATTCCCATTTTCTTTTTCAGTTTCTTTTTTAAGCCCTGTCTTGTTTATATTTTGGGCGGTCTCTGGCTTTCACCATTTGATTTTCTACTCACACAGCGATTTGGCGCAACCAACGGAAAGGATTACGGAAACGGGGGACCTGGCCACGCATCACACCAAAGCATACGAACCTCAAAACTAGAGCGATGCTGTTATTAATACACCTGAGCCAAACTTGGCGATGAAAATTGATTTGATTACATTCGACTTGTGCCTTTATTCGGAATTTTGGTTACTTCTCGGGAGGAGACAGGATACACAAAATAAAAGTGTTTTATATTTCCCAATGTTTGTGCCCCTATGACGTCTTTGTTGACTTTTGATGTCCAAAAAACGCTCGGTTATATGCACAATGATGGTATTATGCATATAAACGATTTACATACAAGGTGCGATTTTCTTGTCGCCAACTTATCAGCGATAAGATTTTTTTCTTGGTGGTCCCAGGCGCCAATGTAATCCGCACAGTATTACGGCGTTCGTCCTTTTTCAGCATATCGACAGTTGAAACGGCATAAATCAGAGTTGGCCTGATATTTCGTTGTTCTTATCCAATGACCTAATCCAACCAGTGTATTTATACACCTCACAAAAATGGCCAAAACAAGGCCCGGCTCCTCCAAAAAGGGCCGTTCCAAGAAGTCTCACAAGAAAAACAACACACAGCCCGATGGCGCATCATCGCGGCCCAGCAAATCACCAAAGGCCCTCGTCCAGGATGCCGAGGCCGCCATGACACAAGGCGATGTTCGTATTGCACTGGCGGCAGCACAAAGGGCACAAAAGGCCCTGGAAGACGCCAGCAGCGGGAATGGCAGCAACAACATCGTCTTGGACGGTGTTGGCCTTGCGGCCGTACACGCCCTGGTCGGCGAGATTCACCTGGAGAATGGCGATGTGGAGGATGCGCGTGCGGCGTTGGATCGATCCGTGAGCCTGGACCCCGAGGGCACGCTCCCGGAGGCGTTGGGTGGCGGCGTGGACAAGTTTTTGTACATGGCGCAGCTCAGCGAGGAGGGCGGCCGAGACAGCATCCGGTGGTTTGAGCGGGGCGCCGGCGCTCTGCGGACCCTGGCGGGCCGGATACAGAAGAAGACGGGTCGCAGCGACAGCGACGACAGGGAACCCAACGAGCTGCAAGACGAACTGGGCAACCTCAATGCGAAACTGGCACAGATTCTGTGCGCCATGGCCGAGGTCTGGATGACGGATCTGTCGTTTGAGGACGACTGTGAGCAGCAGTGCGAGGCGCTGACGACGGAGGCCACGCTCGTCGACCCAACGTCGGCCGAAGTCTGGCAGACGCTCGCCAATGTGCGCATCAGCCAGAGCCGCGACGAGGAGGCACGGGTGGCGCTGCAGCGCAGCCTGGAGCTCTGGGAGAATTTGCACCCGGCACACCCCCTGGTGCCCGCGTTTAGTGTGCGCGTCAGTCTGGCGCGTATGCTCATGACGGTCGGCTGGCTGACCAAGGCGATCGAGGTGACGTCGAACCTGCTGCGCGAGGACGAGCAGTCGGTCGAAGTGTGGTACCTGGCGGGATATGCAAACTACCTGCTGGGCCAACAGCTCAAGGAGGCCGACGTAGCAGACACGACCGGGCAGCAGAAGAAGGACCTGTGGAAGGGAGCGTGGATTGAGGCCCGCCGGTGCCTGGGCCGTTGCCTGCGGCGGTTCCAACAACAGCAGTACGAGGATGAGCGTCTGGGCGAACACGCGGCCGAGCTGTTCCGGGAACTGGAGGCGGCCGTCGGACCCGCGACTCAGAAGGAGAAGGACGAAGAGGATTACGCGGAAGAAGATGAGGATGAGGAATGGGAGGACGACGAAGAGGATGACGTTGAAGACGACGAGGACGAAGACGAAGACGAGGAAATGGAGGACTAGAGGGTTGAGTACGGGTTTCGTTTTGCTGTTATTTTTATTTTATAATTTTTTTTGGCTTGTATCATTGCGAAGATATAGAATGGCGTTTTGGTTTGGAAAATCTACGAGTACGAGGGCGCTGGAAGGTCACTTTTTCGACCCAAAAAGACGTTCATTGTTTTTAGAATTCAAATTTGTTTCATCTGGCCTTATGCTTCCGTTGGAAAAAGGCATCCTTTCTCGCACTCTATGTAGATGTAGTTTTGTCGCCCATGACTCTCACAGGTACTTTTTGACTTCCAGTACCTTTTGCCTTCTGGTCACTCTCTATGATGCGATTCCTTGATCTTGGCTCGGCATCCCGCATCCAGACCAAGAAGAATAGTACTGACAAGGCTCGCTAGCCGTATCCAACATTACGGAATACAATGCGTTCCATCATTAGCCATCATTATCGGACCAAAAACCCTTTTCGACACCATGCTTTTGTTGTTCATGCGTCGATTTTGAGCTTTTGCACGTCGCCCGTCGGCACGCTCTCGTCTTCATCTGCCTCGTCATCATCGTCGGTCTTGCCCGCAAGGCCTTGCTCCCACAGCTGCCGACCGGTGAGTTTTGAACCGTCTTTGCCCAGCAGGCCACCACTGCCACCGGCCCCGCGGCTCTTCTTGGCCAGCTCGGCGGCTTGCTGCTCCTCGTCGCGTTTCCGCTGCTCGGCCATCTCTGCCAAAAACTCCGCCTGCCACTTGGTAAACGTCTCGGGCGTCACCGGCGTGCCGTGGAATTTTTTGTTCTCTTCGCGCTCGGCGGCGAGCAGAGCCTCCTCCTTGATCTTCATGGCGGCCTCGTGGCGCGACACAATCATCTGCTCGGCGGCGTCCTTGAGCGCGGACACAATGGTAAAGATCATGGCCATGCCCAGGTTCTCCTCAATGGTCTCGGCGAGGCCCGACAGCAGCTCGTCCTTGTCGTCGGCGACGCTGAAGAGCGGGTGCTGTTCGTGCTGCTGAGGCGGTGGTGCCAGATCGAGGTGGGGCGCCTTGTCTGGGTAATCGTCGGGGTACTTGACGTGGAGGATCATGACGGGCGGCTCGTCCTCGTCGTCTGGGTTGGCGTCGGCAGGTCGTGTCGCCGCAACGACATCGTCCGGCAGGTCGAGCTTGATGGAGATGCGGAACTCATTGTCCTCGATCTTGGTGAACTCGACGGGGAAGATGGACTCGAGGACCTCAGTCTCCTCGATCTGGTCTTCGCGACCCATGGTGAGGGATGTGTGGAGTGTGGAGAGATGGAAGATGTCGTACAGTAGAGGTCCCCCGTTTCGCAATGCCGTGAAGCATCCTCCCAGACGAAGCTCTTTGCCAGAGCAGGACTGCGCTGCGGGGCAGGCGCATGCCTTGTTCAGCGCCCTAATTCAGCGGCTCCAGGAACGTCTTTGGATCGCCCTAAGAGTGTGGGGCAGATTCTTGTCCGTATCGGTACACCGCCCGGCATAATTCTGCCAGATAAAAAAAAAAATCTCACTATCCATTATCACTGGAAATTTTTTGTACTAGGCTCCGAGTACAAGGGAAACGATCCTGTCCAGAGCGAACCCGACAAGTGATTCTCCCTATATCTTCTCCGAAACGCCCGATTTGGCCTCGTTTTCGGCACAACGCAACACCACAAACGGCCGCCCAATTGACGATCTGACGATAGCCGACATGTCTACCTCTAAGAGCGGCGAGAAACGAAAGGCCGAGCCGTATCGGGCAACGAAGAAGGAGTGGCTGAAGAAGCCGCGGCTGGAAGGCGGTGATGGCAAGAACGGGACGAGCCCGTACGAGAAAGGTTCGTTACCGTAGTCTCCTGACGCTATGCATTCTATACATTCTCGTTCGAAGGACCATTCTAACACAGCATGTCTCTTTATTTATTTTTTTGTATCAAACAGGCACATCCACTTCTCGCGAAGCACACGCAAAACAGAAGCAGACGGCGCAGGAGCGCCGGGCGGCCAAGCCTTTGGCTGACGAGCTGGCACGGTCAAAGAAGTTGTGGGAGCGTCTGCGGCGAAAGTCGCACGTGCCCAAGGAGGAGCGCCAGAAGCTGGTGGACGAGCTGTTCAGCATCACCACGGGGCGGATGCGTGACTTTGTGCTCAAGCACGACGCCGTGCGCGCAGTACAGACGGCCGTCAAGTACTCGACCCCTGAGCAGCGCAAGGACATTGCCAAGGAGCTGCAGGGTGCCTATGTGCAGATGGCCGAGAGCAAGTATGCCAAGTTTTTGGTGGGCAAGCTGCTCGTGCAAAACGACGAGGCCACGCGCGCCATGATCATCTCCGAGTTCTACGGCAAGGTCAAGAAGCTCATCAACCACCCGGAGGCGTCGTGGATCCTGGATGATGTCTACCGCACGGTGGCGACCAAGACGCAGCGCGCCAAGCTGCTGCGCGAGTGGTACGGCCCCGAGTTTGCGCTGGCCAACACGTCGGCCACGGGCGACCCCGTCGCCGGCAGCACGGAGCCGACGGCAGACTTGGCGGAGATTCTGGACAAGGAGCCGAGCAGGCGCGGCGTGATCAAGACGCACTTGCTGGCCATGATCAACGCGTTGGTGCAGAAGAAGCTGACGGGTTTCACGATCCTGCACGACGCCATGCTGCAGTACTTTTTGAACGTGCCGGCGGGGTCCGAAGACCACCGCGAGTTTGTCGAGATGATCAAAGGCGACGAGGGCGGCGACCTGCTGAAGAACATGGCGTTCACCAAGTCGGGCGCGCGGCTGGTGTGCCTGCTGCTGGCGCACGGCGACGCCAAGGACCGCAAAATCCTTCTGCGCACGTACAAGGACACGTTCCAGCTGCTCAGCGGCGACCCCCACGGCCACGCCATTATCCTGGCGGCGTGCGACCTGGTCGACGACACCAAGCTGACGAGCAAGGCCATTTTCCCCGAGATCCTGGGCAAGAACGAGGAGTCGGGCACGGAGAACGTCGTGTTTGTGGCCAACGACCTCAACGCCCGCACGACGATTCTGTACCTGTTTGAGGGCGCGTCGCGGGCGCTGTTCCCGGCGAGCCACGCCGCCGACGTCGCGCTGCTCGAGGAGATCCACGCCATCCGCACGACGACGAGCAAAAAGGATCCCGAGGTCCGGCGCAAGGAGCTGATTGCGGCCGTGTCGCCGCAGCTGCTGGCTGCCATCGCGGCGGCACCGGCCGAGCTCGTGGCCACGTCGTTTGGCTGCCAGCTGGTGACGGATGTGCTGCTGTTCGCCACGGGTGACAAGACCGAAGCCCTGGCTGCGATTGCACAGACGGCCGCCGGCCCGACGAGGACCACGACCACGACTACGGGCAGTGGCGGCGGCGACGACAATGACGAGGACCAGGAGGCGGGCGGTGCCGCGGTAGGGCTTCCGGGTGCTGTGGCGCCGCACGTGTCGCAGTCGGCCTTTGGCACGCGCCTGCTCAAGACGCTCGTTGCCGGCGGCCGCTTCGACAAGGCGACGGGCCAGGTCAAGCCTGTGGACCCGCCGCTGCATTTTGCCGACGTGCTGTACCCGCAGATCCGCGAGCACGTTGTGGAGTGGGCCACGGGCGCAGCCAGCTCGTTCGTGGTGGTGGCGCTGCTGGAAGCGGCCGACCTGGCGCCGGAGCACGCCAAGGAGCTGAAGAAGACTCTGTCGGAGAAGAAGAACCGCAAGGCGCTGGAGCAGTCGTCTGTGGAGGAGACGTCGGAGCAAAAGGCCAAGCGCGAGGCGGCCGAGGCAGCGGCGGCAGCCAAGGAAGCTGCGACCGAGATCGGTGACAACAAGGACAAGAAGAACAAAAAGGACAAGAAAAAGGCCGACAAGAAGAAGGCGGCGGCATCAGCGGCACCGGAGCGGCCCGTAGGTAATGCGGGTGCCAAGCTGCTCCTGGAGAAGCTTGCATGATCTGCGCGGTACGCTTCACATGCTCTACACGTTTTGCATTCTTCGTTGCTATTCACTCTACATGGTTGGCTTCTTTTTATCATCGCATATACATGTATAGAATAGTTGTTTCTGCGTGGCGTTTGGCAATCAACTGTATTGTGCTTGGATTTCTGGAAATAAATTTGAAAGTAAATCGTTATGAGACACCAGAACAGGTTCCAGGACTAGAGTCCCGCGGCCGAGAGACTTTCTGATTTGCTTGTTCTTTTCTTTTCTTTTTCCATCCCTTCCAGGACAACCGCGCCGGTCTTAACTTTGCTCGTTTCCAGCTTGTTCTATTTTCCCCTATACAACACATGTAAATTGTCTCCTAATATAATACAGAGTCCTGAATAGGACTACGCCGCAGTCCAAAGTGCAAATGTAGCAAGATGCACACAAACAACCACCCAACAAGCTGCATATGCACTACACACAGCCTGGCAGGTTCTGTTGCCAAAATTAGACATGGCTGTGTATTGGCCCCAAGACGGTGAAGACAACAAATGAAGAGGGGTGAGAGAAAAGAGAAGAGAAAACAAAAGGGTGTGCTGCTTCTCTGGAGCGGGACAGGGGTACGGGTCCTTCCACACAGGCGCACACACGCACCATGTCGACACAGAGAGTGCAAAGTTACATGAATGGTGGGGATTTCAAAGAGGCGGGCTTCGGGAGACATTTGTGTATGGTCGAACAAATGGCGATTCGAGGATCGGCGGCGGCTGTTCGGGAGCACTAAGAATTAGGCGCTTGGGCACTAATACGCCTAAACGACGACGACGGACGTCATGTTGCGAGAGTCCAAGTAGAAACAACAGAAATAATGAAGCAAAATCGCTTCGCATAAATGGAAGACGACAGCACAAACTAGAGACAAATACATCACATTGACCAGAAAATCCCTCTGCAGGCCTTCGCAACGGGCCACCCAATGACTGCTGTTCTGTGGGACTGTGCAGCCAACAGACAACATTCTGGCCCCCAAGTTGCAAGTGCGGCCGAAAACGAAACCGTCCTGCACGTCGATGGTCCTGGTGTCCTCCATCTCCGCGTCCATGTCGGAACTGAAAATGAGGAAATGTCGAGTGCGAAGGTGGTCACAAATGGGAGAAAATAAAGGTGTCATAAAGTATGGTTGGCGGCATGCCCGAAGCGGAAAGAACCTGCGCCCTTGCAGTTTCCTGGAACAGCCTTTGGTGCACCTCCACCGCCACTACCGCCAGCCTTCTCTGCCTCTCATCACACCTCTTTGCTCTTTACTCTCTCCCTGTTCTTCATTTTTGGTCTTGTGGTCTTTGTTGTTTGTCGCTTCTCGCCACATCCCGTCTCCCATCTCTTTGCAATGCAACCCTGCGTGTGGCGGCACCCGTTTCTGCTCCCACACACTCCATATGATGGCGGCCACTACTGCAAGGTGATGTCCTTCTTCCAATTTCATCCTTCTCTCATCTCCCAACAGAGTATCACAGCTCACAACAGCACATTACCCATGATACGGTACCGCCACCCAACGGCAGCGCCATCGCCTGCAACTACGGCTACGGTCTGCGCGCCTTGGAGGTACACAGAGTCCGTCCGTGTGCTTTGCTCTGGTGCGTATGAAAATGCCGCCGGTGATGGGAGAGCAGAAAGGGCAAGGCAAGACGAGAAGAAAGGGAAGCATAAGATGGCAATAAAAAATCTGGCCCCTTCTGCCCCGAGCAAAAGCGTCCGGAGAAAGAGGCACAGATGACTGCCAGGCGTCTTCTGACGAGGCTACGAGCACACAAGCAAGAACACAAGTACGAGGGAAGACGAGTAGACGAATAGACAAAAGCAGAATAAAAAAACGAAAGACGGTCGACGTGTACATCCCAGCCGCAACCACACACGTCCATTCCACCCTCCAATGCGTCGACCCTGCTCTACATCCATGGCAACTGCATACTACGCTTGCATACTCCTCCACTCATCACCATGTGAGTGTATGGCTCTCCCTCCTTTGATTTTTGATGATCAAAATACGATGGCTGGTATCGGAGACGCGGATGAGGGGATCTGCAACGAAGGGGACGAGAAAAGAACCAACCCATTGCGAGGGTCCGTACTCTCCGTACTGCGTGTTTATTTCCTCCTATCACAAATGACTGGTAGGCCAGAATGCCCATGCTGGGTTGTATTCAGCTTTCCCTTTTTCATTTCTCTTATTTTTGTGCGTCTCGTATTTTACTTGCCTGCCTTCTCCATCGGACTCTGTCTTGCTCTCTTTCATTTTGATTTTCTGTACCTTTCATCCCTCAACTACCTCTTGCACTTCAGTTTCCACTTCCTCGTCTCTCGTTTTACAAGTCTGTCGTTATCAACCTCCAAGTTTTGTTTATTTTCAAGGGGCGCTACTTGATCGTCTCTCGTTTACCTGCCCTATCCACCCACGGGGTAATAAACTCCATCCCAAGATAGAACCAGAGCCGCACCGCTCAGCTGCGCCACCGCCGGCTCCAGACAGCACTGCTCGGCGGAAGCGGATTTATCTCTGCAACAGTCCCGGCTAGACTGGAAACGACGTTTCTCGTGCGTTGTTGTCTTCCTCCTTACATCGCCATTGCCGCTTGCAACTATATTGCCATATGGTTATATAGTTACCATACGGTCATCACGGCTTTCTCTCTCGCCACACGGTCTGACCATATAAATCGTCTCCAAGACCGTGGCATCACAGTTCTGCAGCTGCATGGAGCCGTCTCGCTATCCGCAAACAGGCTTCTTTACGCTCGCCACTGTCGTATAGCAACGTCCACTCGAAGCGAGTCTGGCTGTAAGTGGAGACGCTCTTCACCACTACATCCAACTTCCGAAAAAAGAAATTGGTGAGATACGAGTCGACAGTCACTATCCATCATGCATATGCCTTTCTACTTCGCCCGGGATAACACCGAGTGTCCGTCGGGCACCCAGTATTATACCTGTGCCAAGAGCAACTACAAAGGGTGCTGTACGGTGGACGCCTGTGACTTCGACAATGGCTGCCCGGACAACTCATCGCCGGGTGCGTCCACATCAACGCCGACCAATCCGGCTACAACTGCAACGCCGACGAAATCCTCAAGCTCTTCAGGTTCCTCAACGCCTACACCATCTTCCTCCTCCTCATCCTCCTCCTCTTCCTCCTCACATTCGTCGTCATCTACACGTCCCTCTTCTTCTTTGCCCACATCATCCGCAACTGCGAGTACGTCAGTGGGTGCACCGCCGGCAAAGGAAACCGATCCATCCGGCAATGACGGCAGTCAGTCATCCTCGCATCATCTTTCTGGTGGAGCCATTGGCGGCATCGTGACCGCCGGTGTGATTGCCTTCATAGTGCTGTTTTGCCTCGTTCTCTGGCGGATGCGCCGCCGCAACCAGCAGCTGAAGGAGATGGCAGAAGCCGCACAAGCCACCGCCGCCGGCCAGCAACAGCCACCCACGAACGGCTCTGTGTTCCCCCAGCTAACCCCATCACCGGCCAATCCTCTAGGCACACCGGGCATAGACGAAAAGTTTTCCAGTGCCAATGTGTCCCAGAGAGAGAACCTAATGATCAACGATGCAAATGGCGTCGCGAATACCAAAGTTGCCGAGTTGCAAGGCAACTCGCCGGCCAGCACAACCATACCGCTCTTTGGCGAAGCAACAACAGGCAGCCAAGAAGAAGCCATTGCCCGGTGGGGTTTGCACGGCGCCCGCATGATGGCTCTGCACAATGCGGGACTACGTCGTGCCGCAGGTGCCGAAGGTGTAGAACCAGTTGTTGACTATGGAGGTACGTTCCTCCAATATTTCTTCTTCTGCTGCATTTTTTCTCCTTTTACTGCGTTTGCCATGGCATCCTAACAATATGTAGGAAACTACCTGGGCCCGGTGTCAGAGTTGGAACCTGGTATTGCACCGGCGCCGCTCCACGTAGGCCCGAACGCACACGTTGCTGAGCTGGACGGCCAACGGCCGGCCGTCGTCTCTGAGCTGGAGACGCCGCAGCCCACGCCGCAGGCTACGCCCCAGCCCACGCCCATGTCCACACCGGGCATCGGCTCGTACTCGCCGTCGCTGTCCGCCGACAGCAGCCATGTCGGAGGGCGGTCAACCATGGTCTCGCCCTGGCGCAACTCCAGTCGCACGTTGAATAGCGAGGTCAACACCATCACTGAGGAAGGCGGCAGCGAAAGCGGCGCGGCAGCGGGCGGTGCAGCCTATTTGCAGCCAAGCCCGATTCCGTCGCCGTCTCTGCAGCCGCCGCACTCACCTTCGCGCAGCGTGTCGACCACCGAACCGCCACGGGCCACGCTCGATCTGTCACAGACGGAGAGAAGTCGGGGTGTGAACGTGACGAGCTGGGGGTCGTATAAACCTTGAGAGTCCTTTATGTGTGTGTGCGTGTGCGAATATCGTTGTTTCTTGTTTTGTCTTTTTGTCAGTGATGGACCCGTTGGCTCATAAGAGGCAGCTTTTGTCATGGACGTACCATCGATATACCCAAGAGGGCCTAATACTCGTAGCCCTATGCCACTCCTTTGTAAATATACAATTTCAGGTTTACTTCCAGATATCACGACATCAAATTTCGTTAGTCGTACCACCGTTTGTCGCTATTTCTACTCCATTGTATATCCAGAAAAGTCCATTTTTATGAACGCTCAACGCCCAAGCGCCGCTCCATGCAGACAAAATAGGCCACTGGTGAATCCAGGGCGACAAAACATCTCATTTGCCCGTCTCTATGATCCTGATCCTGATCCTTTGTTTTTTGTTTCTAGGTTGTAAATCGCAAAACACAAATCAATAATCAATAAAAATTAAAGGCAAATCTCAACCCCAAATCTCAGTAAACGCCTCGGGCCTACATCCGTCGTGAGATGGCCCATTTTGGTTGTGTCATAAGGGAGGAACGTGATAGGAAATGCAAGACACGCAGATGAGTAGCTCAACCCTGCAGCTTGCCCATCTCCTCCAGCAGCTCCAACAGGTCGTCGTCCGTAATCTTGTTGGCCAGCGACGGGATCAGCGTCTTCGCCTCCTCCACGCCGTCCGGGCACAGCGACCCCAGCGCCGCCCGCTCAAACTTGGTCAGCTCCGTGTGCGACGCCAGCAGCCGCTCCACTGCCTCGACGTTTTCCTTGCGCTTGAACCGCGCAAACGCGTCGAGGTAGTCTACTGTTTTCGTGAGGACCCTTTTGTCGGTTAGCCTTGCTTTTTCACTCCGTCGGCGTCGCTAGGGTTCTGTTCCCCTGCCTCCGCCCTCCGCCCGCGTGGACTCACTCTGTCTCGTTGACGTTCTTGCGGTCGTTGCGGCGCTTGGCCATGAGGGCATTAATGACAAGCCATGCCTCGGACAGCGACAGGGTCTCGACGCCCTCGAACTCGCCCAGCTTCAGCTCGGTGCCGGCCTCCTCCTCGCCCGGCGGAGGCGGCTTGGGCCGCGATGTCGGTGCCTGGGGCATAGTGTGTGGAGTTGTGGAATGAGACGGGGCGTGGAAAGGAAGACTGGGAGGGCGAGGTTGGCGAAAACGAGATCCGAGTGCCGTCGGCGCGAGCGCACGCGGACGGACGCAAGCACGACCGAGATGTTTCACTAAAGCTGGTCGATCTGTCCGTGTATCGTCACTGCGTCGCTCTCGTATCGCTGTCGTGGCTGTCGTCGCAGTTGGTGCGGGTTGCGTGGTTGTCGATAGGAAAGTTGTCAACGATGAAGTAACCTATTCGAAATTTGAAAAGAAAGGCAGTTCGAAGTTGCACGCGGCCTCGCAGAATCGGGCGGAGAAGGCTCACTAGCGCCGTCGCACCAGAATACAGTGCGCGTTGGGGCGGTCTTGCCAGCACGTCGCGTGCGCTGGAGCACCAGAGCCAGAAGGGCCTCTCCGCATGCAGCCTGGAGCCTGGCCCCTTTCCACTCCCCATTTTAGCGTGTCCCTTTGGAGTGTGCCGGGGCTTCGGTTCCTAAACCAAAACGTCGTAATTCGTACGTTGCGACGACATTCCCAAATCGAAGCGACAAAGGCCAAGACAAACGTCGCCCTCCGCCATCACCAAGCAGCATCCACAGATCGGTGATCGACTGCGACCCTTTTGTCTTTGCGAAGCATTGCCGGTGAACACGGCGGCAAGCACTGGCATTCCACGCTCGCCGCAGCGTCGTCTCATCGATAGGCGCACCTTGGATGAATCTCATAATGAGGAGACCATAGAGACGACGAGACGAACAGCATCATGTGAGTTGGGGGCACCGTATATGAGGCTCTCGTTGCGCTCCCGAGCTGTGCAACCCATTCGGTCTTGCCACTTCTGCTCACAATATCCAGGACGGTCTTCGCGCTCATCGTCATCAACAAGGCCGGCGGTCTGGTCTACAACCGGTCTTTCACAGAAGGTGGCCTCAACCAGCTGAGCACAAACGACTACCTGATAATAGCAGGTACATTCCATGGGTAGGTCTCTTTTGTATTTCTTTTACGCGGTGTTGCTTCCGCGCTACGATGGCCATATGCTAACGTCATCCAGTGTCCATGCCATCACAACCCGCCTCAATCCCCTCAAGCACCTCAAGGGAGCCGCGGCGGGCGGCGCAACAGGCGCATCCGGAAGCCCCAATGTCGGCGGCACATCAGGCGCCAACGGCAAACCCCCTCCGGGCACGGTCATGACACCGGCCGGCCTGGCGCCCAGCCGGCCTGATCCGCCATCGGGCCTCGAGGTGCTCGAGACGGAAAACTTCCGCATGCAGTGCTTCAACACTCTGACAGGCACCAAGTTCCTGCTGTTTACCGACACAGCACAAGCAAACGTCGATACCACAATGCGCCGTGTCTACGATATGTACTCTGACTACGTCATGAAGAACCCTTTCTACCAGCTGGAGATGCCCATCCGCTGCGACATGTTTGACCGGAAACTCAACTCGTACATCCGCGAGATCAACAACCGGTAGGCTCGACAAGGTATGCCTGGAATTCCAGGGCGTTGCGCAAAGAGTGGCCGTTGCGTCTTTTGGGAGAAGGTATTGGTCGCGACGAAGTTCGGAAAAGAGTATATACCACATGTCATGTTTAAGCAACGCAATAGAACAACTAGAACGGTTTTTCGTTAAGCTCGAGCTTTACGTGGTGCTTCATAAAGCCGCACGTGCCTGTGAAGTTTTGTTTGTGTGTCTATTATCATACAATGGTATCTCGCACGGGGTAGACAGTCCCCGGGTGCCCATGCGGCAGCGAGAAAAAAATAAAAGATATCGACGGAAGAACAACACGAAACAGCTCTCCGAACATGCAAACGTATAACAGAGAGTGATTGAGAGAGGGACAGAGAGCCGGCAGCTGCCGCGCGTCGATCGAGGAGGACGCAGCTACTTCCACTATGACGTGTCCATCGAGTCGTCTTTGCTCCCCTTCTTTGTAGGCTCGTCGTCCTCGGTGTCGTCGCCGCCCTTGCCACTCGGTCCGCCCGTCTTGTTCAGCAGCGGTTCTGCAGACTCGTCCTCCTCCTTGACCGACTCCAGCGATGCCGTCTTGGCCGCCGCCTCGGCCTCTTCGCGCTGCCGTTTCTGTTGCCGCGCGTTCTCCTCCTCCATACTCATGCGCAGCGCCAACGCCAGCTCAGGGTCCGTCGAAGGGTCGAAGCCGAACTCGTCAAACTCGCCGCCGCCGCCGCCTGCTGCGCCGCCACCCGCATCGCCACCAAAGCCGCCGCCTGCGCCGCCGTCACCGGCACCCTCGCGCGCCAGCAGTGGCGTCTGCTTGAGCTGGTCGCTCAGCAGGTTGCCGCTCGGCGGGATCACGACCATGTGGCTGCCCTCGCTGCCCTTGACCTTCTCGTTGAACTTGGAAAGCTTGTGCTGCGTCTCGTCGTCAAGGTCGCCAAACACAACAAAGTCCACCGACACGTTGTTCTTCTTGAGCTTGCCGGCCAGCGTCAGCAGCGACTTGTCGTCCTCGGGCACCGACGAGCACACAAAGGCCACGATGCGCGTGCGCTGCGTCTTGTTCTTGCGATGGCGGAGAGCGAGCTACCAATTTGTCAGTAGACGGTATCCACGGAACACGTCATGATGTAAACGAAAACAAGACCTCCTTTGTCACTCGTCGCCCAACGTACCAGTGCAACTTGCAACGCCGTCATCAGATGTGCGTCGCCCTGGATCTTCTTCTTCGTTCGGTGCAGGCCCTCAAGGATCTTGCCCTGCTCGGTCGTCATCGTCACGAGCACCTCGGGGCCTTTGCCGGCCATGCTCATCAGGCCCACCTCGGACTCGGGGTTGCCGTTTGTAATGTGCCGGAACACGACACCGACCGCATCGGACTGCGCCTCGAACCGCGTCGGGTGGTAGTCGCCGTTCCGACTGCTCTCGCTGTTGTCCACGAGGATCATGACCGCTTCCATCGGCATCTTGGGCGTGTTGGTGGGGGCTGGTCGGCCCTTTGTGCTGGGATTGATTGATGAGAAGAGGATCAGGATTTTGACAGTCGGACGTCAATTTCGACTTGGAGCTTGCTTTGTCGCGGTATGCGTGGAGGTATGCGATGTGATGGGGTGTGGTAGATGTGGTAGATGTGGTGGATGTGGTGGATGAGGCGGTTTGTAGTTGGATGCAAGCAATGCTGAGAAACAGGCGCCGAAAGCAGTGGAAGCAGTGGAAAGGTCGAATTAAGCCAACCAAACGCCAAAGGCAACACCCACAGCTGTCGTCAGGCAAGGTCAGCCTAGCACAGCAGAATGCTGCATGCGGGAGCAGGAGTGGCAGAATCCACACTAGCCTGTTTACAGAAGGCGGTGAATGGATATGCCGTGCACGGGCCATTAGACCATGTTTTGCAGCGCCCACCAAAGCTCGTTAGTGTTTGTTTACTTTCTTTGCACTGTATTACACTGGAAGTGCAGCTGTCAACCTCTCACCCATAACCAACGCGCTGTCCAACAACGACAAACAATCACAAACACGTCTCAACAGTTCTCACCAGCACCTGCGTCTCAATTATTGCATTCTACTATAAAGGCACAGTTACCGTCACTATGCCTCCTCGCGGAAGAAAGAGAAAGTCCGACCAGTCCGTCGCGTCCGAGGTCGATGACGCGGCGAATATGATCGCGACGACGACAGCGACAACGACAACGACAACGACGATGGCCACAAAGACAGAAGAGACCTCCAGCAAGCGGCAAAAAGTGGGCGTGACGATTGCCCAGAAGCAGGCTCTAATTGACAATCTTCAGCTCGAGGGTGAGTTTCATATGCAAGACGACATGCATGACGAGGACAACATGGGACAAAGAGACGAAACAACGAAACATCGAAAGAACGAAAACTGACAATCAACAGTGACCGAGCGTGCACGGAAACTGCGCGCACAGTACAACCTTCAGGCACAGGGACTGCGGACGCGTATAGAAATACGCGTCAACCGCATCCCGATGGCCCTGCGGAAGCTCAAGATGGCCGATCTCCTCCTGAAGCACTCGACCGACCAGCAGAAGCCCATTGCACCCAAACAGACCACGGCCGCCAGTCGGGCACCACCTCCAGTCCCCGAGAAAGACTTCAACCCGGCACGGTCGGTGGTTTCACGCGCAGAGTCCCCTCGTGCGGCTCAAGCGGCAGTCAACCGGCCACTCAAGCGGCTTAGGTATGCCATTCCTTGTTTATACCAGCCTGCCCAGTTACCCCTACGACCGCTAACCTGAACCTTCCTCAGTGACCAATTGGCCAGCGGCGACAAGGAGAACCAAAACACACACCTCGACAGCCCCAAGAAACGGCAGCGTGGTGCGCCAGGAACATCCCATGGCACACAGCCCGGGCAAGTCCTGTCGCCAGCATCGTCCAACTCCCGCATGAACCCTCGTGACCGCGAGCGTGGTGCACCGGCTCCGCCGTCCCCTGCCAAGTCTTTTATTGCTCGGCCCATGTCACCAACGAAGCAGGCGTCTGCCACGAACTTGATCAGCTCCATGGTGGAGAAGGCACGTGCTACGCGCGCCGCCACGACCCGAAAGCCGACGACATCGTCGACTGCCAGCTCTGCTGCTGGTGGTGCGACAGCAACAGCCGCTCGCACGCGTGGCAGGGGCGCAGCTTCCAAAACGACCGCGGCCCCAGCTTCTCGGTCGGCCGCAGCAGCCGCAGCACGGAACGCCAGGAGAATTAGTGGTATCAGCGAGTCCAGCGATGCGAGCACGTCTACGGTAGTGCGTAAGGTCGGGAGACCGGCTGCTGGTACAACAGCGGCTACGGCGCGGAAGGTCACGGGAGCGACAGCCGCAACGACGAAGAAGACAGTCATGAGCTCGATTAAAAAGGGTGTGGCCAGTGCTACGACGAAGAGAGCCCCGGCTTCCAAGGCAACGGCTGCCACCTCAACGACATCGGCAACAACTCGCTCGGGTAGAGTCCTGCGAAAAAGAGATTGATCATCTGTTATGAACGGCGGTAGGACAAAGAGGCTGCCACCAATCACTTTGAACGTTGCATACGGTTCACTTGTTTGGGGCTGTTAGTTTTATACTTGCTTTCCGGTGTGGCGTTTTTTGTTTTGTTTTTGCATCAGGTCGCTTTACAGTCTATTAAATGGGCCAATACAAACAACGCGATTTTGTGCGGTTGTGGTCTTGCTATACATCTCTCACCATATACTATCGAAACGCTTTTGTATTCAAATTGTGACCAATATTTTATTATACAACCCATATGACTTGGCAATATGCAACAACGCTACTGTTGTGGTACGGCGTTGGCAGCCGCTGCGGCGGCGGCGGCGGCAGCCTTCTTCTTTGCCTTCTCATCGATAAACTCGATGTTGTCCTCGGGGATCTCCTTGTACTTCTCAAGCAGATACTCCTCAATCTCGGGGCTGACGTCGCCCTGCACCACAATCTCCTCGCCACCGTTCGCCATTTTTGTGACCGAGGAGCCCGTAGCAAACTTTTTGCCAAACTCCTTGGCCACCTTCTTCAGGTCCAGGCCAAAGGCCTCCAGCCCAGACACGGAGGTAATGTGCTTCCGCTTGTTGCGCTCGATGCGCTTGATCGTGACGACGCTCTTGGCCAGCAGGTTCGCCTGCTTCTTGTCTGCGGCCTCGGCCTTGGCCGTTTTCTTCTGTGCGTCCTTGGCAGCACGCTTCTGGGCATCGATCGAGAGGGCGGCCGTTGCAGCCTCAAGGGCTTCTATGCCGAGGGAAAACGTCGCGTGGTCAGAACAAGGCTCTCGTAAACACATCTGCATCCATCTTTAACACCACGACTCCACGCAGCCACATACCTTGTGACCAGACCTTCTCGTACAGCTCTGGGTTGTTCTTCTCTAGCCATTCCTGGCACTTTTTGACGGTGCCTCCGTACTCGCAGTACTATTCGACCCAACTTGTTAGCATGCTCCTCCAGCGATTGCATTCCGCCGTCCGGGCGTTCGTGTGCTAGAAGCATTGTTTGTATGTGGCGTGCGTACCTCGGGCGGCATTGTGCATACTGCAATTAAACAACAAATCAGAAGGTCAGAAATAATAACAACAATGGGGAAGGCTGCAGCCACCTGCACAAAACAGCTTGGGGCGGATGCGTACCGCCACAGTAGAAGACATGGCGGCCCTGGGGTTCGAGGACTTCAGGTGACTCTGTATCCGCCATGTTGTCTGGGGTAGTGACGTGTGTGAAGGGTGACGACGCGGTCGTAGAGTTGCCAGGGACAGAACGCGTTTGGTCACAATATCACGACTCAACGATGCGCTGTGCAAAAGATGCAATGCGCCGAAAGCAGCAGCCGTGTGCTTCGCAGTGGATCGGTTGCCAGGTGTGCTCAGAGTTGACGGCTCGTCGTGTCGTTACCGTGTAGGGGCGCGTATTGCGGGCGCCTCTTGTGAACGTGTCGGCGTCGTCCAGTCGTCAGTATTGTCGTCGTTTCAAGGTATGGGGACTTGGTGATGCATTTTCGCCGGCTTAACAGAGCTTCTTAATTACCAGCGGCGCGTGATACAGGCTTTTTCCGGCCCTGGCCACAGGCCTAACGAAGACTGGTATTTGCCCCTCCTTTTACTTTTCGCCGCCAAAGCAAAGCTCTTGCCTGGCGGGGTAAGAAGGCTCGTTGGGTGTGCTGCGCTGGTGACGGGCCAATTTGGAGCTTAGATCGTCCGCCGTGGGGCGCGAGATAGTGGGAGCCGTGGGCGATTCGCGGGAAGGTATCAGACGCCGGGGCCAACAATGCTCATGTAGAAGGGTACTTCAATTTTCTCAGTAAGTTGCTCCAGGCATAAGTACCGCTCTTTCCTGTCAATCCAGAGCACTGGAACTATTGCCCAAAAAGGAAGTGACGATGCAGGGCCGACACAATCCACAGCGCTTACCCAACGAGCTTTCCTTCTCAGTTCATCCCAGATGCCAACATCACAACATTGTCAAATTGCTTCTTTCAACAATCACACCCAACACTGCCCAACTGCCGCCCACCCTGGACGACGACCCTGGATGGCGGCTCGCCCCTTTTATTGTCCGATCTTTCGCGTCGCCTCCTCGTCAATTACAGATGTGCGAGCGTGATATTGGCAATAGTCAATACATGGAGGGCGCCCCTCGACAGCATTCATTTCCCATGACCCCAAAGGCTCGTCACATCGAGGACCATAAAGCAATTCAAATGGGTGTCACCTCGAATCGGGCCCTCGTTGCATGACTGTCACCGGCATATCAAGGCAAAGACGCGCTCGGGTGTCGTGTCATCACAACTCGGGATGCTGTAGCAAACGACTGTTGGAACTCCAAACATCAGTCACTTACGCCGAAACAATCAAAATGCCACCAGCCTGTAATGATTCTCTTAACGCCTTTTTGCATTGTTATTTTCGTTTCCAATTTGCCCTTTCGGATTTGTTGTCGTCATCATTCATGCTCTTTACAGACCTCGTTAATACATGGCCGTCTGATACTTCCTTGCGATGCTATGCATACCTTTCAAACATACAATGCCAAAGTCGCTAACCAGATCTCTAGAACATCACGGTGGTTATCTGCACCCCACTGCCCGCGCGTAATTGGCTGTCTGTGCGACAGCCAACATCCCGGCGGCTCGCTGCTCAAATTTAAGCGCCCAGTCGCCCACACGCACGCTGCCATTGGCTCGCTGATCTGCAACCAGGGTATTGTTTCCTTCCCAACGTCGCCGAGAAACCTCCAAACATCCCGGCCATCTCACTGAGCGCTGTCTCTGTGTTTCCTGGTTGGCGCGCGCCATCCCACCATGCAGATGGAAAGCCACCCACCTCTGTCCATCCCACTTGTTTCGTCGCTGTCGTCGTCTCTAGATTTGATATGAACATCACACCTGTGTGAGCTGATTGGACACCATCGTCGAACCCACTCAAACCCATTAAGCAGAACACAGCGTTCTTTCCCTTTTTCGGAGCCTGATGGGGTTGGACGCAAGAGAATCCAGCGAATTGGCGAGCCTGACCACCCTCCAGATCGTTCTTGAGGAAACATGCTGCCTACACTATCGTCAGGCAAGGGGACCACATCGGGAAGCAGGCAGGTAGCCTGTGAGTGTCGAAACGGAAACAGGAGGCTGAAGATGTCGAGTGCCATGCAGTCACACGCTACCGTCACAGGCGTGGGGAAAGAATGAGAGAATCATGTCCTGACCGTGCAGCAGAGTTGCTGCTGCGCGCGTGCTAGCCGCTGGCAATGGATGCTACGTGCTGCTACAATCAGTCCATATGCGGACGTCCCGTTCCATTCCATGCCATGCAGCTCGTCATGGCCCTTCAGCCCCCAACGGTCCCTCCGTCCGTCTTCACGCCATGACCACCCCGGCTTCTGGTTGAGTGCCGTGGCTATTTTTGTACTGGGTCGCCTGGCCTGGCCATCATCTTGCGTATTTGCTACCTGGTCAAATCCTATAACCACCTCCATGGTCGCCCTTCAGCCTTCTCTTCCTTCGACATGTTTTATTTATTTTCTCTCTTTTCTTCTCCTCTCCTTTGCCTTCTCTTCTGATCCTTTTCCGTCATCTTTTCTTGCCGTTCCTTGTGTGCGTGTACTATTTTATTCGTATAGAGTTTCTAGGCTCGTTGATCGAGACCATCCCATCGTTTGACACTCCTTTCTCACTTGTCGCTGGACTCGACAAAACACTCGCTGACGCCGGACGTCCATCCTTGACCAACTGCATTGTGTCTCTTTATCTTTCATTTACTTTCTGTCCCATTTTCTCATTATTAGCCCAACATGTCCGACCTCGCACTCGCCACCCACCGCGGTACTCTGAACCCTGCGCAGGACCGCAGGGCAGAGATTCGCACCCTTAATACGATAATGGAGGAAGGTGACTTCAGCGATGCCTCACCCGTCGGCACCCAGGTCCCGATGAAGATTCAGCAGCAGCAGCTTTACCAGCAGCATCAAAAACGACTTCACGAAGAGCGCTTGCGCGAGGATCGGTGGCATGGCGGCAATGACGAGCGGGAGCAAAAAATCGACATGTGGTTCTCGCCGATGAGCGACCACTTTCCCACGCCTCGCGGGTTCAACTTCCTGTCCGCCCCGATCCTACCCTCGTCCCCGTCTTCCGCATCCATCGATGACGAGGCCGACATCGACGACGAGACGTCCCCGGGCAGCAACTCACCATCAAGCCCATGGCACCACAACGGCAGCGTAACCACAGACATGACAGAGTTCGACGACATCTACAACGCCTCCGATGACGAGTCGACGACCCGGAAGAAGAAGCTGCGGGCATCCGGGATTGGTCGTTACAGCAGTGCATCTCGCCGCACTTCGTCCGCGATGTCGCGTGTGAGCAGCAGCTCTGAGGAGTCACGCAAGATGCTCCCTCAGCTCACCATCCCCCAGCGCCCAACAATCTCTCTGGTGGATCCCGACCCGAAGCTCTGCACGTCACCGATGGCCCCCACGCCGTCTGCCCAGGTTCCCATGTCACCTGCCATTATGTCGTTTATGCAGAGGCATCACGCCCTGGACCTACCCACCGTCTCGGCACCTCCGTCGCTGGACGGCAGCCTGACTTCCGAGCAGATGTCCCAGATGTCTGCTCAGATGTCCGCGCCTCCGACCCCCATCATCGGTGCTGCGGACAACGACAACGACAACAACGGCGGCTGGTCTGGCGTACAGTTGCAGCCTGACGCCCTTGCCACTCTTCAGTCTCTAGCTCGCTCTGACGCCGGCTCTGTCGTGGACATTAATCTGGAGCCTGAGCGCGTGATTGAGCTGCCTGCCGAGGAGGAGCAGCCGGTTGAAGAGATGTCTGAGAACCGCTCGCAACCTGTCCTGAACCTCATCACGTCTGGGCTTCCTCGCCACACCGTCCCGTTCTCCCCGGCTCAACAGCGCTCGCTTGCTGGCCTGACCCGCCTCGAGATCCCGTCCCCTGGCGGCTTCTTCTCGGGCCTCTCACCCAGAACCCGCCACACGTGGAATATGACCGCCATGACCCCCATCGACTCGGCTCACCCTCCTACGTCTGGTACTGCGGAACAGTTTTACAGACTGCCGTGGGCTGAAGCATCTGCTCCTCCGGTGCCCCGCATCATGAAGGAGCGGCCGCTCCACATGCCCGGTGCCGAAAAGTCCAGCTCGCCCGTCGAGCAGTTTGTTGAAGCCCCTATCATCGAGTCTGACGATCCCGCCACGGCCGTCCGTGCTCAAAAGACCCCCGTTACCGCCCAGCTTGTGAAGACCGATGAGGATCCGATTGCTCTCTCGGAGACCGTCGTCGAATCTGTGGAGATCGCTAGGTCAGAGGAGGTCAGCTCCCCCGCTGAGGAGGTGATCGCCACTGAGATCGTCAACGACTACCTTGCCATGGACGCGCAGAAGATGCAGCAGATTGCTCTGGGCCACCTTGACCGCACTGAGATGTGGCTTGTGGCGCAACGAGCATACCTCAACGGCGTCGCAGACCTGACTGAGAATGTTGAGGAGATCTCGTCTCCTGCAGAAGCTAAAGAGGAGGAGGCTCCAAAGGTACCACCTAAGGACGAGAACCTGAAGGTGGCAGTGAGCACGGCTATCGCTCGCAAGAAGACTGTCCGCTTTTCCGAGGCGGTCAAGTCTCCCGCCTTGCCACGCACGCTGCCATCTACCATGGTGCACCAGGAATCGGCGTACTTTCGCGCCTTTACGGACTGCTTGGTTCGTACCAGCTTCACGGACATGTTCATCTACCGCTTGCCCCGTTTCGAAGCCCTGCAGGCCCAGCGCCTTCTCCTGCGCGAGGCCCACCGTAACCAGCTTCTCGGCAAGTACCAGCTGACGGTGCTTCCGCAGTCAGCTAAGAAGCGCATGAGCGCCAACGTCGCCCGCGGCGACGACAACCTTGTGGACGACCCGGCCAAGATCCGCGCTGACAAAGAGTCCGATGCTCAGAACCAAATGGCTCTGACCACATGGCATGTGGCTGCCTTGAGGCTTCTTAACGGCGGACGCTTGATCTCGGCACCCGTGCACAAGCGCCTTGCGCGCATCAGCCGCATGGCACCCGGTCCCAACGGTTTGTACCGTGACCGCGCCCGGATTCTCGACCTTGGCGGCCAAGCGACCTGCGACTGGGCTTGGCACGTGGGCCTGCAGTACCCGAACGCCAAAGTCTACAGCGTGACCACCAAGGCCATCCGCCAACTGTCCAACGCCAACATTCGCGGCCCTTCCAACCATCGCCAGGTGGCCGTGGAGAAGCTGACCAAGCTGCCGTTTGACGACGACCAGTTCGACCTGGTACGCGCAGCCGAACTGTACTCCATTCTCAAGTTTGTCGGCGAGAACGGCGAGGACGAGTGGGAGTCGTGTTTGCGCGAGTGCTACCGCGTGCTCAAACCCGGCGGCTACATTGAGTTCACGGTTCTGGACTCCGACATTGTCAACGCAGGCCCCCTCGGCAACGCCAAGAGCGTCGAGTTTGGATTCGTCCTGCAGACCCTCGGCTACGACCCGTCGCCGACCAAGATGTTCCTTGGCCGCCTCGACCGCGCCCGGTTCACCGACGTGCGCCGTGCCTGGATGTGCCTGCCCGTGGGTCCCCGCCCCGAGTCGCTGACCAAGCCGACTGTCGCACGCGATTCAACTAGTGCCGTCATCCCGACGGTCCAGCTCGACGCCATGGTGCACGGCTCGACCGACAATATTGCCGCTGTGACCGGCCTGGCCGGCAGTTGGAGTTGGGAACGGTGGCTGCTGCGCGCGGAGATGGAGAAGACGGCCGGCGACCTGCGCCTGTCAGATACTGTCACGGCCGGCTCGGCGATGCGCGAGGCCAGCAAGAGCCTCAATGGTGTGCACGCCATCCTGGAGGAAGGCCGCACATCCGGTGCGGCTTGGCGTATGCTGCGCGGCCACGCACGGAAGCCGCGGTCTGAAGTTGGGACGATCAACATGGTGTTGGATATGAGTTGCTAGGTGGGATCGTTTGTAATTCGTGCGTTGAAAACTTATTTTCTTTTTCCTTTTTTACTCAAGTTTTTGGTGTGCTATGTTGCCGCTTTCGTTTTATTCCCTATGTTCTGTTGCCATCTGCTTACAACGCATTTTTTTTTCTTTTGTCCTTTTTCCTTGTGTTAGACTGGAAAACAGACAGGCGTGTGTCAGTCGTCAAGAGGGTTCTTTCTATTTTTCTTTTATTTCTTCTTAGTTATATGTAATATATACCCAGTTAAAATAACGACACTGGACGAGCTGATAAAGAGGAATAAATTTGATATACTTTTAAGAGTATTTTCTTTTCGAGTCAAAACCCTGTTTCACGTTTATTGTTTTGTTTCTTCGACATAAAACAAAAAAAATCTCTGTACTTTACTAAAAATTAATAATTTGGTTCATGGACCACGTGTCCTATATCAAATAATATATGAATAAAAGCATAGAATGGCAAAAAAATAGAAACAGCTGGTATGTGCAACAAAGGCTTTATTCTAAAACAATGTTTAAGTCCATAGAATTAATCGGATATATTTATTTTGGTACAAAATGCCAATTCGCAGTTGCGGAACGCCGTCCATTAATCATAAAGAGTTGGAGATTGTATCGTCGCAGGAAACCCAAGCCATTATGGTGCCCTGAGCATCTCCTGTTGTAGCCGCCGTCTTTCAGTAAAGAGGACCACTTCAAGTAAGAGAGCCAACAAAGAAAATAAAAACGACAATAAAACAAACCGTTACCCAAAACGAGTGCAGATACCAAAAATCAAAGCCATATAAACAAGACATAGATGTCCCACAAAATTTCCTCCAACACACGACACTGAGAGAATCAGGATATAATCAACCACACAACAAGCGCAATTTTCTCGCGTCCAATGGGCCACTCTTCATCCTCGTGCCCTTCCCTAGTACTCTCTCTTGGGCCCAAAGCCGGGATGAAATGCGGAAGGTCGGTCGTTAAAAGAAATCAAATGCGAAAGATATGCCAAAAAAAATGAAGGAGATGCAACGCAAACCGCCATATAGCGAGATATCATACTTTATGAAGTCATGGATTGGCGCCCCAACCCAAATCCATGGTTTCCATGGGACCCATGTTGATAATCGTTCGGAGCACACCCTCCGAGACGGGCGTCATGCCCGTCTGCCCATTCATATTCCATCCCTCGGAGATCATGTAGTCGTTGGAGGACGGATCTGCGGACATCAGGCCACCCAAGCCGGCGCCGTTGCCGTTCATAGATATACCTGCGGCCGCAGAAGAGACTGGTTGGCCAGTGGCATAGTCGGCTGCGCCGCCGTTGGTGGCGGCAAAGAAGCCACCAGACGAGCCGCGTTCGACTTGTGAAGCTTGCTGCCCACCAACCAGACCACGAGGTGGTGACACGGGGCTGGTGTCAAACGAGCTGCCGCCCGAGTGCATGGCACCTGGCTGTTGTGGCGGCGCCAGGGTTTGCCGGCTCTCGGAGGCACTGCTGGAGTTTGGCGTCGGGCGCGTGGATAGGCCGTCGCCTGGTGAGGTCGACATATCCTGAATCTCGTCGACGAAGCCCATTGGTCGGCCACCTGCCGTCAAAATATTGGAGACGGTGGGATCCGCGAAACCGCCAGTTGGTATGTTGAACATGGGTGATTGCCCGTTGCTGCGGTCTCGTGTGGGCAGGCGCGATTCTGAAAAGGCCCAGTTGTTAGACGCGGAGGGAGCCACACCTTCATTGGTGGGCTTAGACCGGAACCTGCTGCTTCCGCTATTCATACTCGTGGAGGCCGTATCCGAAACTCGATCCTTTGAACTGTCGTCGCCGTTGTCTTGGCTGGATGCGTTGTCAGACTTTGAATATTCCTTCTGGAACGAAAGGATGCCGTCGACGGCACCATCATCGCAGACGGCACCTGGGCGATTGGCGGTGCCCTGAGGGACGCCTGTTGACGGCTATGAGGGTGTTAGAGCATAACACAAAACAAATTGTGCGGATAAATGTAACATGGTAACATACACTATCGTAACTCATGGGGAAAGCGGATTTCAGCTGTGGTATCCGCTCGCCCAGAGCTTCCAGGTCAACATCCAGCTGCACCAAGAAAGACTCGGTCAGCGGGTTACGGCGCTTCAGCGCACTCATGGCAGTGAGAAGGAAGCGCAGCGAGTCGGCGGCTCGGCTCTCGTCTGGGCGGCTCTTCAAGTACTGCACAAACACTCTCGCAGCAACGTAGAGGCAGAAAGAAATAAAGGGGTTCATCTAGCGGTGTTAGCGAAAAGAACAAATGTACATGCATATTGTAAATGCAAATCGCGGAAAAATATGAATGGAGCGCTGGGCATACAGTAGACAGGTCCATATGAGAGACCATGCGCATGATGCTGGCGATCTCGTTGGCTGCCGAGATACAACGAATCTTGCTTTCTGGACTGACGGACTCGTCGAGGGAGTTGTTCTCAGCTTTGAAGATCGCGGCTTGGTGTAAGCAGATTGTCGATGTGTGTATACACATGTTGGTGAAAACAATGTTTGGGTTTTGCAAGCCGGCGGGCAGCTTGAGCTGAGCTGGCAAGCCGAGGAGAGTATTGAGCAGGATGTTGTCGAGGTTGCGATGCCGCTTCCAGAACTCGCCGTTTAGATCACTGTCCTTATCGTCATTGTCCGGACGGTGGAGATGGGTGAGGTTGCGGCCGAAAAGGCAGGCCATTAGGATGATGCCGGCAAAAGGAGTGAGTTGGCCAATGCCCGAAGGGCACATGGCGTCATGTAGCGGGATGCTCGCTTCGGGGCGGCTCATCTCGAAGGCTTCTTCGGAGCTGGGCAGAACAGTGCTGATGTCGCGCTCGTCCACGGTCATGGGCCATCCTGTGCCGATACTAGCGTAACGATCTTCGCAAAAGGCCATCCAGAAGGTGCGGCGACGCTCTTCCTTTTCCGTCCAGTCGCGGGGCGGCGGGATGCACTGCTTGACTTCTAGGCCGGCGCCGTCCAGGCGGTGCAGACCAATCATCTGGGCAAGGCGGATGGCCTGGCCGGTGCTCATCCAAGCACGGGGGAAGTACATCATCTTGAACTCGTACGAGGCCAAGATAACATGCGTCTGACAATGGGCGACGGAGATCATGTGCTCGCCGAAACCCTTCATGTAGTCAACTTCGAGGTACTTACGAGCCCGCTGGTAAAAGAGGTCCTTGAGGTCGCTGTACTTGTCCAAAACTGTGCAGGCAGACATCCACATCGAATATCGCAGGCATACGGGAGGCCGTTGGTTGGCAGAACTGAAGACGACGCGTTAGACATGTGTCCCGTCTTACACGTGGAAAACACATTTCTAGTTCCCACGTGCAATATGGTAAAGGCTGGCAGTAAAACACTTACAGGTTCATGGCGGCCAGATAACGGGCCTTGTGTATCATTGGCAGCGACGGATGGATTTTGTCAAAGTAAACCTCCGTCAGCTCATCAATGATACCCTGATCAGGCAGAGGCTCTTCCAAATTCAGCTGGACAATCTCCCAGGTCGGGTTACTGTCCATGCCGCTCATGTTTCCGGCCATGCGGTTGCCAAAGTTGAAATCATCAAGCGAGCCTGGGCGTTGTGGTGACTCGGCATTGAACTGCCAGGTGTCCAAGTCACGGCCGATGCCTCCTGCCAGATTCATTGCGTTTGGGTCCGCCATGGAGAAATCACCACGGCCGCCGGCACCAGACGCACTGCCCACGGTGGTCGACGAGGCCGACCGCTCGTTCCCAGACTTGGACAGGGAACCGTTCTTGGTCGCATTCGGGCCTGCACCGGACTTGAGACCGGCGGAACGGGTGTCGCCCGCCGTGAAACCATGGAGAGAGTCACCAGCGGCTGAGCTGGCCGGGCCTGCGTCCTGTGACTTGAGCATGACCTCAACTTGCTTAAGTCGCTCTTCGAGGGCCTTGACGTAGCCGCGCTTGGGCCCGCTCTTCTTCCGGACCTCGTCGTAGGCGCACTGGTGGCCCAGACGGGAACATGTGCTGCAGCTGGGGCGGCGGCCATCACACTTGAGCTTTCGCCTCCGGCAGATCAAGCAGGCAAGACGCTTCTGGCGGGGGATGTTGGCGTTTGGGTTGTCGTCGGGGCGCGCGTTGGAGGCATCAAGGCCGTCGGCCGCGTTATCGTCGGGCGACATGGAGGGCGACATTGTGATAATTCGGAGAGAACAGTGTGGATGAAGAAAACGTACACCGTTATTGTCCGGAAGGGATTCGATCGACCGTCGATAAGCGGGCCCGTTCGTCAGCCGAGTCCCAAAGGCCGTACAATTCGTCGGACGTGCCGATCACAACTGATGGCCTGGTAGCAGCAGAGGTGCGAGGCACGATCGTGTGGACGCTGCGGCATGGCAGACAAGGCTGCCAGTACGTCGGTGCTTTTGCTTTGGGGATGTGGCAACAGTATGGTCGTTTTGTGTTGCGTTATCGTCGGTTGGCGGTCGCCGCCGTCAGTCGTTCCTGCTGCTTTTCCTGTGGCCGTAGTGCTTCGGGGGCAAGAGGGGCAAGAGTATGTGGTACAGGAAAGTGACTATGGGGCGCTCTTCAATGCCTGGACAGGCACCCTGTTGTGCTGCAGCAGAACACAGGCGTAATGCAACAATGCGGAATTAAAAAAAGAAGACAATCCTGTCTCTCACAATGACGAAAGGACAGAAGACACAAGTTCAAGTCGGCAAAACAGACGCAGCGCGGCCGACGAAGGAATTCGGACGAAGGAAGGAAAGAGCGAAGGGCAGCCAGATTGCTGACGAAGGCTCTGTTGCAGGAATACCTAAGGCAGCAGTCCGCATGGGTGGCACGGTGTGAATGGAGCAGCCGCACCCGAAGTAGACGATGACTGGCACTGTATCGCACTGTACTAGCCCATACCTGGCAGCCCCGTCGCGCTAACCCCCTCGCCTTTTCAACTCATCCTTTTGTTCCCAATGGGAGGGGGGCATGAGATCTTTACGACCACAGCGTTACGACCACATCGTGCCGCTAACGAATTACCGCCTGCTGCGCCACCAACGGGAACACGTCCAAGCCGAGCTGCCAACTACGAGAACCGTTCTGTCTGGTTGATGCCTGTGTCCAAGACGGCGTCCTGAAAGTGGTGTTTGGTGTTGGTGTTTTGTGGCGGTAAGATGCAACGACAAATCACAAATTCTGGGGGCAGCGAGCTCCAGATACCCCAGGCGTCGCAATCTTGTGCAAAAAGAAAACTACTCTTCTTTTTCACCTCAAGATAAGAGAGAAGGGGACACCAGTTGCGCTAGTTTTAGCAGGTCACCACTGTTTGTTTCCTGCACGTCTCTTTCTTGCCCCTGCTGCTTCTGGCTCCTTGCAGGGCAAAACTGCGGATCGAGGAGCCATCCAGACTGGACCGGACTCTTTGTAGCTGAACTTGACAGTGCCGGATAGGGCAGCACGGCGCGCAAAACTGGAGAAGATCAAATGACCGGCGGGTAAAACTACAAAGTATAATCTGGCGGTCATGTACCCACCTGAGGACACATTGTGAATGATTCACTGTGAAGATTATGTTGTAACCGCCCACACAATAAGGGCTGGAACTGGGGGGCATTGGCAACACACGCAGGTCACGCCAAGGGACCTGTTGGGCCACCAGACATGGCCACCATTCGACAAAACTGGTGTTCGTACAAACCGCTGGAAGGGCTCAGAAGCAGCCGGGCGGTTACAACTAGCCGGAAAGAGGCCACAGAAGGGTGCGACGAGAAGAGACAAAGAAAGAAGCAAGTCGAGAACGCTTTTGATCCCAATTCGAGAACATGAAGTGTCGCTCTCAGTGCAACGGTTTTCACTGCGGGGCTCTTATGCTTGGCCCATCTGAATATGAAATAGGTGCGTGCAGCGCACGTCGATCGCTGTTGGACAATGCTGAGTTCTGAAATGTCTCAGTGGCGAGAAGCCTTTGGGCATGGGCGGTTCACCTCGAATGATTGTCAACGCTCTTTGCGCACATCCAGACCCATTGCGATGCACAGATTTGGTCGTTCGAGACCTGACCTGCTTATCCCAACTGAGAAGGATCGGGGGTTACTGTAAAAGTCACCGGCCTCGGAGCAGCCGTCGTTCTGCAGCGTTTCGTAATATTCAGCTTTGGCGCAGATGTACAGGAAACAAAAGTAAATGTCATTTGTGGTATGGTTGTGCGGTTCTATTCGTCCCAACGACCAGCTGCTGTGTCTGGCCGGTATCGTGCCCCATCGTTCTCGTGTTCGGTTTGCTTGATGTCCCCACCAAATCCCAGAGGCGCGGATGGCATTCGGCTCGACTCGTCTAACGCCCGGGCTAGGATGATACATAGCCTCCTTTGCATATGGGTCCGTCATAGCTTTCTTGTGCCTTGTCAGTCGTGGCATCCCTGGAAACGCTTCCCGAAGTCATTTGTTCTTTATTCGGGCTATTTGAGTGCTCCGAGTTGCTTTCATCGGCGCTCATTCAGTGACGACATTGCTGGCTTGTTCATCTGTCGTCACCTCGGCTCGTAGTTGTTCTTGAACACAGTCTCAATAAGAAGATATTGCACGTGCGGCGCGTCAAGAGCCGTATTCGACCTGGCTGCTACAGGCTTATCACTGATCTCTGTTTTGAGTACAGAGAGCCAGCCTTGCATGTATCGTAGTGTGCTTAATACGTGCACACGGCGCCTGACGCCGCCGTCTCTTGTTTCCCACCAAAGGCCACGATTAAGGAAGTTGTTTGCAGCGGTGCACTGGTTGTGGCGCTGCTGGCACAGGAGCAGACCACGGATCATTTCTCTTGGTTTCGCCCTCTGCTTCCGCCGCGTTCATTATTGTCGCATTGCCCAATTCTCCCATGGCGGCCAGCTAGTACTTTCTCTCCGTGTCGACGCCGACGATGCGCAAGCTGCCCAGCTCCGCGTATGCCAAGAAAAACCGCGTCGGCGCCCATGCCACAACAGGCACCGGTTGTGCAGTTTTGAACGTGTAGACGTGCTCGCCACTTTCTGTTTGCGTGACCTCCAGTTCCGCACCTGGATTTCGCGTCCTGCTGTCAGCAAACAAACTTTGCACATGTGACTATTGGAATTTGTAACAGGCGCTGTACTACGAGACAACTCACCTTCTGTGCTCCCGCCAATCACGTAGTTTCCGTCCCAGCTGAAACCTGTTTGGAGGAGAAGAGTTAGCCGGTGGCTCGCTTTCGGATTGAGAGACGCGATGTAGCATAACGCAAAGGCATAACGCCAAGAAGGCTCCCCTTTATCAAGAATAGCTCAAGGCAACAACTCACTTAAACTCCTTACTGGTCCAGCCATAGTTGTGATTGTTCGCTGGCACGTCCACTTCGTTGTGTCCCAGAGTGCTATTATCGCGTCCGTCCCACCTGTCGCCAATGTCCGTCCTGTAGGGCTGAGAGCCACCGACAGACACTCCGCCGAATGGCCCTTGAGCGAAAACTCGTCCGACTCGCCTTCGCCGACCGTGTGGTTGACCTTGAGGACGGGCTCCAGCTCTGGAAAGGAGAGGATGCGTGTGCGACCGTCGCCCGTCGCGACAAACACGCGTTTCCCGCTCCAGCAAAAAGCCATGTCGTTTGTCCGTGCTGGCATCGTGTTGACCGCCGTCGGTGCAGTTAGTGTCCGTTCGAGGATGAAAATCTTGTGGCTGTCACTGCTGCCTTTCTCTTTCCCTCCCACGATCAGGTAGTCACCATCGGGTGCCCAAACAAGAGTACTGGCTTCGCCAGGTACCCGGACCTCATTTGTGCATGTTTTTGTCCGCACATCCCAAAACTTGACGGCACCATCCGCGCTCAAGCTACACAGCTCAGCGTCCTTAATGGGGTTGAATGCGACTTTCTCGATGGCCGCTGTGTGGCCCTTGAGTTCTGTAGATTGCCGAACGACAGGCTTGTCCGGGTTCCCTAAAGCATTTGTTAGTGTTTGTCAAAGTCGGACAGTGGCCGGTGCAATGCAAAGAAGTCTTACAGACGCGAACCGTCCTGTCGCTCGAACCAGTTGCAACAAGTGAGCTCAGCGGGTTCCAAGCTATTGTGCGCACGCTGTTCCGTTCCTTGCGTTAGCCGCATATCTCATGCTGAACGGCTTCTTTTCCTAGACCAGACATCGTCTCACCCATTAATAGTTGCCTCATCCGTATCCTGGTCCTTGTCCTTGTCCTTGTCTGCTGCTGGGTTGTGGAACTGCATGCCTCTTGAAGCTGCCGGATCCTGGTATGCCTGGACCTTGAAGCCCGAGAAGTAGTTCGGAAACTTGTCTTTTGACAGCCTCTCGCGAGGCTTGATCACAAACGAAGGCATAGCGCGAGCCCTGAGTCGGCTGTGCCGTCGGCAGAGGAAGCAAGGGTAAGGCTGTGCTGGGTGTGGCTGGGTCTTCGCAGTCTGGAGGCAAAGATTGAGCTTAAGCCTCCGGCTATAGCTGTCTGAGAGTTGTGTTCCAGACGCAAGTCGAAGTTTCTGTGCTGGACAGAGTAATGGACTGATTGAGAGAGGTTTCGTAGCGGTTTTGTTGTCAAGCCAGTAATGGGGTCCCAGATGCTGTTGCTCGACGACAGAAGATGTGAAAGCGCAAAGTGACGAATTGCAGTCTCAAAAACCCGAGCCAATGGCTTAGCCTTTGTCGGCGAGCTCTTTCCCCGCAGAAACCCAGCCGCGTCGCACCTGCCCGCTATGTTGAGCCACTAGCAGGCTCAACCCCGTTCTCCCTCCCCCCTGTGTCATCAACACGTGAAGATATGGAAGCTGCGACCCCCAAAGTCACCATAAGGGGCCAGAGCATCACCAGAAACAGCCAATTCATCATCGCCCGACCATCATTACCACAACCTCACACCAAATACACGATATTTCAGAACGACACCACGTCCATCCCTCATCAGCATTTCCAGATTCGCGCACTGCCCATCTTACCTATAATCCCGGCGCACGAGAGCTCCCCGGACTCTCGACCCGGTCAATGCGCAGGCCATGTACTGGCCGGCTGCCACCCCGCGTGTCTTCAGCACGAGCACCAGCACCGACACCGAGGCCGCTGTCCCCGCCGTGACGATCTCTCATGATGGCCTGCCTCCTCCACCCGCCTCGGGCCCGTCTGCGTCGCCACTGCTGTCGCAGGAGCAGCAGAGCAGGCGTCCATCGACTCTCTCAGCCGACCAACCGCAGTTGTCCCGTACCGCGTCCAATACCAGCCAGCATTCGAATCACGACTCCCTCGGCATACCGGTTCCCGCCGCTTCTCCTCGGGCACCGACCACACCCTTGACACCAATGACACCCGCGATCAAGTCTGTCGAGCACGGCTATTACGGGAATGATGGCTTCGGCGACGGCTTCTACCCGCGCCGTGTGTCGCCGCTTGTCGTGCCGTCATCCGAGCCCATCCTTGCCTTGCGAATGTCTCGTACGAGCCAATTCTTCGCCACCATCACAGCGACGTCAATGACGATCTGGCAGACAAAACCGACTGTCATTCTGGCTGTCATTGTGCGCTCGGAAGGATCTCTGGCATCCTACGGCGAGAACGTTGACCTCTTCGTCCGTCCCGACTGTGCCATTCTAGTTGTGTACACAAGTCGAGGCTTCCTTATCACCTACTCCATGGCCACCTCCCGTGAGACAGAAGTCTACCGGCCGCAGTTCACCAACCCCACCAACATCCAACGCCGTCGCCAGAACCACGTTGGCGACCCTGGCCACGACCATCCCGAGCAAATTCTTTGGGGCCCTGGCGAGGGGCCCGGCATACGCGATGTCAGCATCCGATTTCGAATGGTGATCAAGGTTGATGCAGGCATTGAGAGTGCTCTAGCCTTGGATGACGAGCTTGTTGTGGCTACAACGAAGCCTGCTGCCGTACAGTGCATTCGCTGGGCGCCGGACAACAACGGAAGCCAGACCAGCACGGAGCTGCTGAGCCGCATGGGCTGGTTGGATAAGAAAGCAACCGTCCGTGAGATGATCTTCGACAAGCCAATGAGTCTCTCTACGTGGGTGACCAATGACGGCAAGGTTTATGCTGTGCAGCGCAACACAGACTCCTCGTTGCGGTCCACGACACCTGCAAATACCACCGATGCGCCGTCAACAATAGTTCCACCCCCCTCGGCGTCCGACCCGCTGGACACACCTGCCACCATAACTACCACGACAACAACTGCCTCCAGTACTACATCTACTACTACGGATGCCCCAGTGGCCACTTCCGCGTCTTCGTCGTCTTCTTCTTCCACACACTCCACCTCATCTCACAAAAAGCTCTTCCGGGGATATAACCTCCACCACCCCAATTCCGATGACGAGCATGCCATACGGGCTATCATCAACGCCCGTTTTTCTCTTATTGCCGTGGGGTGCGTGGATGGAATTGTGCGCGTATATTCTGTCAAAGACTACGTGGGAAGCATTCCACTAAGCCATACCCACGTGCCGCCTGTATCGGTTTTGACCACTGGCCGCCTGACAAAAATGGCATACTCGCCCGATGGGTACTGCCTGTTTGCGGGTTACGAAAATGGCTGGGTGACATGGAGTGTTTACGGCAAGCTTCTGGGCCACTCCTTTAACAGCGAACGCGCCATGGCAGACAAAAATAACGAGGAGTGGTTGACTGGTATACGGGATGTATCGTGGGTTGGCCAGTCGGGCGACGTCTTGCTTGTCGCCAAGGAAAGCTCAGCCATCTGGTTTTTGGAAATGGCAAGGAGTGCCTCTGCCGGTTGCTATAGTCACTCGAATTTGTTTCGCACCGTATTGCACACCAACCAGAACATTATGGTGTACCGGGGCTACGACCTACCGGATATGACAAGCATCTCGGCCGAGCCTTCGCTTTGGCATACAGCTCGCATCCCTGCCAACTATCTCTTAAACCAGTGGCCCATCCGCTGTGCGGTTATCAGCTCAGACGGCCGCTATGTGGCCGTTTCGGGGCGCAGGGGCCTCGCACACTACAGTATCAACAGCGGTCGCTGGCGAACGTTCGCCAATAAAGCTGCGGAAGATGAGTTTCAAGTTCGTGGCGGTATGTGTTGGTACCGCAATACGCTGATCGCTGCCGTAGAGGCAAACCGATCATTCGAGTTGCGGCTCTACGAACGCGAGGCGATCCTTGACAACAATAACATCGTCTTTAGGGAACCCATGAAGTCTCCCATCGTCCTTATCACCACAACCGGAGAAGACTCCTTGCTGGTGTATACCTACGAGAACATCCTTTATCACTACATATTTGTCCCTGCAGCTAATGGATCCTTGCGGCTTATGCGCATGGGCCACATTGGATTTCATGGGATTGTACGCAGTCCTGCGCGTGTTCGTGGTTTGAGCTGGGTCCTCCCAGAAGGCCAGTTATACGATGGCGACCCCTCGTTGGATGTATCTATGGCATCCGTGTTGTTCCTGGTTGACGGCAAGCTCGTCCTCTTCCAACCGTCTAGAAATGAGCACGGCGGAATCAAATACGACATGCGCATTATTGCTCAGACGGTGGAGTTTTACGTTTGCATGAAGGATCAGCCATTTTCTTTCTTGCCCGCTGCCGCTAGAGAGACACCTGTCGCGCCCGGATCTATCGACTCTGACGAGACACTGCAGAACTCTCTTTGGCTCTTTGATGCAGGCGAGCTTAAACTGTGGACTGACACCCACGCGGCCCTCGATGCGGTGGCAAACGGCACCGTGCAGCCACCCATCACCATCGATCTGGATTTCTACCCCCTGTCTATCCTTCTCTCCAAAGCCCTTGTTTTGGGCGTTGAACCCGACCTAGTGCAGCGGCGGGACGTCAACTTTTCCTTTTTTCGGTACAACATACGGGTTCGTACTGCTCTTTACCCACTCGCTGCTTGGTTCGTTTTTACTAACATGCGTCGTAGACGCATCTCTTCCTACCTGACGTTCTCCGTGCCTACTTGGGCGAAAACAAGGCTCTCCCTGCCCTACGGCTCGCACAGCAGTATCAGCACCTTGCATATTTCGCACACGCATTGGAGGTTCTCCTGCATCAGGTTCTTGACGAGGAAGTCGATTCAGCGCCAAAGCCTGAAGCAGCCGTCTTGCCGCGTGTGCTTTCACTTTTGTCGAGCTTCCGTGCGTATCACGATATTGTCGTGCAATGCACCCGCAAGACTGAAGTGCGATCCTGGCGCACGCTTTTCGCCTACCTTCCGCCACCACAAGAGCTGTTTGAAGAGTCGTTGCTGCGTGGCAGTCTCAAGACGGCCGGGGGCTACCTGCTGATCTTGCACACATTTGATGCACTAGCCACAGCTAGTGAGCAAGGTGTTCGGCTTCTGAGACAGGCCATGCAGGAGGGCGACTGGGAGCTGTGTAAAGAACTCGCACGTTTCTTAGCGGCCATGGATGATAGTGGGCAGACGCTGAAGGAAGCTGTGGCGTTGGCCAACACCGCAGGTGCCGACGACGGCGAAGGCAGTGTCGCGTCTGGTCATGCAGGCGGGCCGTCGTCCTCTCTCGCGGCGACTGGAGCCAGTAGCCGTCTTGCTGTTCCCGGGCGCAACAGCAATACGAGCCAGTCCGAATCGGATGCTGTGTCTACTAGCGATGATGGCAATAGCATTGACTCAAGTACGGTCAGTGGGCACTGAAGCGACCAATGGTCTCCCTGAGACTTACAACAAGGTTTCAGGATACCTTTTCTTTTTGTTGAGCCTTGTTTTGCGTTCGGATTTCTTATTTGCATAGACTCCTCCCCCGTCCTTTTTGCCTTAAGCAGCATGTCCTTGTGTCTGGCTACAAAACAGACCCAAAGGAAAGCAAGTATGGAAGTGCATTATGGAGTTCACCTGTTGGATTTCCCTTGTATATCAAATAAATGCTAGTTCGTACCACGCCTGTCTCCTTCTTACCGTGAATGCAATAATACTGCAAGACGTTGTACAATACCGGCCTGCTAGAGGAGTATTATTGAACAAAATTATTAAATAGTGATATTATATTGTGAGATTTAACGACGAATATGGGTTGTACTAAATGCCGAGACTCTGCTCACGCGGCAGCAGAAGACGATCCTAGACGCCTCCTCCCACGCCGTCTCTTGAGATCGTTCCATTTATCTCGAATGGTGATAACTTCGCCTTCATGCCTTGCTTTGGCACGACCCTCACCAAGATCCTCGAGGTTCTTCGTTTGCAGGGTAGTGCCGTCTCTGGCCCCGCCGTATCGCCGACCATAGCCATGCACACTGCGGCCGTTTCTATTGGCGCCAATGTCTCTGGGCGGGCCGAGGTCAATACCCCCAATGCCAATGGGCCCGGACCTGCCGGGCACACCGCCACGTCCTGAGCGTCGGTTGCCAACAATACGCTGGACGTCGGGCAAGTATGCCCAGCTGTAGAGGGCTCCACAGGCCATGAACGTGCCGAAGAGGAGAAAAAGAAGACCCTGCCTCGTTGTCGAGTGGTAGCCCGAACTGACGCCGTATACAATGAGTACGGCGACAATGGATCCCAATTTCCCTGCCGCGGCCGAGATGCCATGGCATGTGCAGCGGTAACATGTTGGGAAAACCTCTGCTGGGATAATAAATGTGAGGGTATTTGCGCCTGAGTTGTTTGTTAGTACGGCTCAAGAATCAGATTTGACAAGTGTCTGGAAAACATCCATACCAAAATTGAAGACAAAATGGCAAATGGCAACCATGGTGACTGTGGCCGGAGCATATTTTGTGTGCGCGATGCCGTAGTATACGCCTCCCGTAATCATAAAAAGGAAGAAGAGGCAGATGAAGGATGTCGTCAACCACTGACGTCGCCGTATCCGGTTTGCTGCAAAAATGAAGCAAGCACTTCCTGCTATTGACGCTAATGAAACCGTCAAGAGGTATTGTTTCGCTTGCTGGAGCAGGATGTCGTATATTGTGTCGCATGGTCGAGATGGGTCGGTTTGCCAAAGGGGCATATGACCTTGGCCACTCCATGTCGGCAACGTAGAATTGCCCCCATCAAGGCTCGAGTTCCAACACTTGAGGGACGAGTTGAGCTCTGGAGGATTCCCGGTTACCCAGAGATCGGCCAAGACACCGCGGTTATCGAGTGAGAAGCCATAGAAGCTCACATCGAGAAAGAACCATGTCGAGGCAGTCCCAAGGAGGTAATACCAGTTTTGATCCCGGATGAAGTAATTTTTCAGGTCTTGGATCGAGAACTGTACCGGCATCGGCTCGTCAGAGTGGGCACCTCCTGGAGAGTAAAGCGACACGGCGCCGCCGTTGATACTATCACCCCCTCCTCCGCCTCCGCCGCCCGCAATGCTTAAAGGGGCGCCATATATGCGCTGTGTATCACGGAAAGCGGTGCCAGGCTTGTTCTTCACTTCCAAGGTGTACAGACCACAGTCGTACAAGAAAAAGCGAAATATGATAGCCAGCAGAGCCGGCACGGCGCCGGAGCCAATGACAATACGCCATATACCATCCACAGCTCGTCGACATTCCTCGGCATACTTGTCGTTGATGCCGCACTGCATCTCCTGTAAATGGTACATGTTCTCACGGCCGAGAACGACCCAAACGCCAACGAGTTGTGCCAGTGCTTGTCCAACGGGTTGCATCAGAAAGACAGAGGAGATCATCGTTGCTCGAGACGAGGTACTAGCCCATTCGGACGTTATTACGGCACTCAATGGATACTCGGCTCCGATCCCTACAAATATAGATGGTTAGCATCAACGAGGGGGCGGAAACAATGGTGATCGGGTGAACAAACCAATGCCCATAACAAAGCGCCACTAGTATTTGTTAGTCCGGGGGTTCAAGCCAACAGCCAATATTGTGGGTGGCAAACAAAGGGGAAATAAACAAAAGACGTGAACATATCCCGACAAAAACGACGGTATTGGGTCTTCTCTTACCCAAACAAATAGGCCGAGAAAAGAAAGATCATGGTATCCATAATTGCTGGTCGCGACGCCGATGGTGGAGACAATTACGAGAATGAGCTCGATGCCATAGAGGCGAGTTCGGCCGTAGTAGTCCGCGAGAAAGCCAAAGCTAAGCTGGCCGACAACAGAGCCGAGGAGAGTGAAGACGTTGATGAGAGTGCCGACATAGTTGTAGTTCGAGTCAGGGAAGTACACGAAGGAGATGGACGCGAGAATGACGTTTGTAGAGAAGAGATTGTATCTAGAGGTAGCAAGACAACCCAGGTAAGAAAGAGCCAAAAAGCGACGACAAACAAACTTGCCGTACGGCGAACAAGAGATTGGTAGTAGGATGGAGACATACGAGTCGGTGAGGAAGCCTGAGGCAGCAACACCCCAGATACGGAGGTTCCACGAGTTCAGATCCAACTCATATCGAAGCTGACTGCGGTCCTGCAGAGCGGAGGCGACAGAGAAGAGGCATGCGGTTAATCTATGATCTCTAAACCAGCACGGGATAAATAAGAAACCAGGGAAGCTCAGGAGCGGCTCGGGATGGCGTCGAGTATAGCAAGATGCTTATAGGGCCACGGAACGTCACGAGACCGGAGGCACGGAGAGCTTCAACAGAACAGAAAGCAATACACCCTGACCACGGAAATACAATAGAGAACCGAGCAGATACCACATACCTGGAGATCTTGAGGAGACAAGGCCGAGCTATCAGAGCCCAGGAACCCCCGGTTTCTCCTCCGTTCTGGTTCTGGATACATGGCTGCGGCCATGTTAAAACAGTGACACAGTCCAAGGTGAGGGCATAATGGGATGTATCGGAAGCGACGAGAGGGAGGTGAAAGAGAATATCCAAGCAAGACAAGAGAGTGTCATAAAGGGTCGACAGGGAGACGAAGCTCGTCGCCGTGTCACGAGCAAGCAAGCGAAGAGTCGGAAGGAGGCGGCGTTAACGATGGGTGGTGCGGCCCCAACGCAGCCTTGCGACGAGAAAAGATTGGAAGAGGGTATGAAATAGAGAGCAATGAACAGAAGGGAATAAAAATAGTGGTTGCAAGAAGATTATTGCGAAAAAGGAGTGACGCCAGGAGGTGGAGGCAGTAGTCGCATTGCTATTCGCAGAAAACGATCCTCCAGGCACAGCACAGGGCAAATAAAGAGGGTTCCACTGACCTGGGCTGAAGATCGACAGTGAGAACTGAAGGCGGTGGGCAGAATGGGGAGTGGCGAGAGGGACGATCAGTCCATCGCGGGAGCGAACGTTGCAGCAGGGAAGCAGGGACGAGGAGAACAATGTGGAGAGAGCTGATTTTGAGGTACGAGTGGACGGGACAGCAGGCGGATGGACGGGCGGGCCAATTAAAGTTATCGTGATGGTTAAAATTGGGATGCAGGCGTAGAGGCAAAATGAAGGAAGAAAAGGAAGACAGAATGGAGAGACATGGGAATTGGACGATCGAGTCCTTAAAGAGGGCACAGCGGCTGAGGAAAGAGCAGCTGATTGAGGTGTGGCTGGCAAACGGCGAGGAAGATGGAGAGACACGCACGAGCGATGCACAAAGTGGAATGGTTCAGCCAAGGCCAAGACTTTGACGGTGACGAGAATTAGAGACCAAGAGAGAGGAGAGAGAGGAGACGAGGCAAAGCAGGAGGAAGAACGAGGCGGGCGTTGCAAGGCGGATGAGGACGGGAGGGCAGAAAACCGACCGGGGCAGGTTCGATCGTGGGCGTAGTTGGCGCAGCGCTAGGGAAGCCTATGCCAACCCAATAGCCTAGGGCCCGAGGGGCGCAGACGGGTCCCTGGGATTCCACGACGTTGCGACATGCTGATTATGCTCGGACTTGTAGCATTGACCTCTTCTGAGGACAATCTCTCTCGAAACCACATCTTAAGCCTTAATTACGGTGTGCTTACCGCTGATTGAAGCTCACTCGTAGGCTGTCGTGGTTGCGTATTTTACGTCTTCTAGCATCACGGGATTGGCCCCTTATTGTGAACGTTTGGTTACTCCTTCCGTCAACGTTGCACTTTATGCTCAAAACTATCCCCCGCAAGTCGTACTTTTCCCTTCTTTCCCTGCTTGCGTGCATTTGGTCTTGCCGGGGTAGGAGGAAGGTGTAATTGTGACAGCAAAGCTCCGCCAGCGGCGACCGGCCACGGTCGCAATGTCTGGCCCTCCTACCGTGTACTTCGAACCTACCACTCTTCCCAATCTGCTCACCGAGACCGTTTCTGGTCCTGATCCAAGCTTCAGGTTTCTGCAGGGCCCAGCCTTCTCTGGAAAGGCTGGTCTGGACTCTGAACCACAGACAGGCGGCTGTCAACTCTTGCACACGTCGATGCTGTACCCCGCGACCGGTTAACCGTTGGACCCCAGACAAGGCTGGCCTCGCAAGTATCCTTTGAGATATCGTATCCCTCTGATTACTGGTGCACCGAGCGCCGTCTCCCGCAGCCGTGTCTTAAAAAGTTTAAATACTCGCGTCTCCGTTCATGTACAACCCGTGTGACAATTCCGTGGCACTGGGATACGGTCGCTTTCAGTCCCTGTCTTGTGCTACCTTTTGTAGCCCGCCGAGCCGGTGGTCTGCACTTTCCCTGTCTGACTCTTCGTCGTCGGTCCTGCCTCTTTTTTGTTTGTTTATCTTAGTCATGTAGCTTGCTCTTTCCAACATAGTTGCGTGTCCTATCTGTACCTCTTTTTGTCATCAAGCCGCCCCTTCCCCTATCTCGTCGTCCTTATTGTTTTCTTTCTTTTGTTTTTGGACCTTCATCCTCCCCTCCAACTCGTCGCTCTCCCACCTCCTTTCCATCCTCGTCCACCTCATCCACCTCATCCACCCACACATACCCTTACATGCAAACGTCATCTCGTTTAGCACGCGCTCACAGACGGAATTCCCGCCTTGTCTCTCTTGGCCCGTCCTCAACTACGTCTCGGCTTCCTATGCCCAACCCTCGCTGGCCTCGGAAATGCTCGTCTGTCTTGTCTCGACCTCGCCCAGCAACTTGCCCGTACAACTAGACGCGTGCGTCTGGCCATGTGCTCAACTGATTCGCCATGCCCAGGCCTAAGTACACAAACCGCAAAAAGCCCACACCTCTCCAAGCCCACTCACTCCAACGTGCGCCTTAACGCGTAGTCGACTATTTCCTGTCACTCCCGCAACCCCGGGTGGTTGCCGTTGCTTTGTCTCTCGCAACGGACTGTCGTGCTCAACTGTGCCGTCGCTTTTGCTGCCCACACCCTTCTTCTTCTCTTCTCATTGACCACACTTTGCGACTAACACCAATATTCAAACCAGCTTCCGCTCAGTCTAGCCAGCCCCACGTAATGGGTTCCACCCACCCGTCCAAGCTCCCCACCCAAGCCAAAATCCTTGCCACGAACCCCCATCCTTGTTCGACACTCAAATTGTCTGCACAAATCCCATCGTCGGAATTGCCCATGTGCTCGCCCAATGCGCAGAGAGCCGTCCACTAGCTCATTCCCACTCACTTGCTAAGTTCCATCAATGGTGTGAATGCGGAGTCTGGCCCTTCAGTCCCACCCTGCTAGCCGCTACCAGCCTTTGGTGCTGTTTTCCCTTCTCTCTTTATTTTTCATGTTTTCCCATTGATTTTCCCACGGCGGGCTGCAAATGCTCTCTGAATTCGTGCCGCAGATTCTACCCTCCCCTCCATCATATGTGCTGCGGTTGACCAAAGTCCTCGTGTTCCTCTCTCTCATGTATTAACCATTGCCAAATAGCTTCACACACTTCATTTGCACCATGTAGAAGCCAGGTTGAAAACGACTTGAGTGCAATGGCTTCTCACACGACCATTCGCACAAAGCAAACCAATCTAGGACGCCGTACACTTTTCGGGATTCTATCTCTCTTTATTTGCTTCGTCCATGAATCTGGCATACCACATAAACCCGACCCTCGGAAGTGCGAAATGAAGTTGATGGGCATTGCCCTGTGAATGCATATTTGGTCTCGCGTAAATACGCCATTGCTTCCTAATCCCATCAACACGTTTTTCAACCGGGCTGGCATGCAGATTGCGTACATGCACTCCGTACGACAGGTGTACGATGTACGATGTACGATGCGATACCCTGGCCAAATACGTCAAGGGCGGGGCCGCGGAGGGGGACCAGCGCAGGCAGAATGGAGGACACGGGGGCGTGCTCTGTAGCACGCACGAGACACGAAGACAAACGATTAGACGCAGAGGCTCTGTATCGGCCAAACTGCTCCTGCTCACGCCCATGCCTATTGACACGCCACCAAACCTGTGTCGTCCCTATGCGCAGGAATCCCATTTCGAAGACCACAAGCTTCGACCCGGTCTGAGCCAGGTAGGGTGCGTGCTTGGATGTGAGCTGGGACCAGTCAGAAGCCGCAGGACACGGGGACTACAGCATAACATCAACCGCCCCTCACTCTCATTTGGGTTATTTCAGCTTTTTGGGGGGGTTCCTACTTTCGTTTCGGCGCTTTCTTTTTGATTCTCGAATATATCTTACTTGCCTTTTTGGATGTTAATAACCCGTTACGGATTGCGAGCGCCACACGAGCTCTTCCTCGCTTTTCTCAGTCAGATCTCTCCTATATCCGCCAATCCGTTCTCATGGATGCCTCGCCGGCCTTTTGACATTCGTTTCTAGTCTCACACCCCCTCCTCTGCTTCGTCTTTCTACAGTACAGGCGCAAATTCGGAAAGGAAGACAAGGGGACGGCGAAAGGAATCAGGTTGTCCGCCGCAGCATGAACGACCAAAATAAATTCACCCCAAAGAAGTATTGTAAAGCAAGACGCCCAGAAAACACACACGCAGGCATACCTACGCCAACGCATACGACATCGTCAACGCCGACATCAGCTCTCGTCCCGCTCGTCACCCCCGCGCTCGACAGTTCGACAGGTTACTGTCATCCTATCGATCTCTTGTGTGCATTTTTACCGCCCGGATTGTCGTGCAGCAAGCTTGTCGTATTTCCTCCCACCTGATTGAGTGCACCGATACATCCATTCACGTTGCTTGTGTTTACGGTCCCATTGTCCCATTGTTGACCAACTTGAGTGAGCATCGCCGCCTCGCTCTCGGCTGCCACGTCCTGCTGCCTCCCTCTCGCCTCGTTCTTTCTTTCGAGCTCTCTCCACCCACCCTTTCTGGAGCGGCCCTTCCCCTGCGCTCCTCTGAGCTCCTCTGATCTTGGGTACTCTTTCCATAAAAGGACGGCAGAGTCTCTGGCACGACTTGATACCCGTCCACCCCTCCATCGTCATACTTTACGATTCTGGCTTGTGGCCGACCTCTTCCATACTCTGGTTCTGAAGAGAGAGGGAAGAGTGGGCGATCAAAGCGCGGAGCAGCTTCACTTCCTCCCCGTGGATGCTCGGCCCATGCAGTTCGATTGGCAACTGGTGGCCAACATCTATCTTAGGTGTATCTAGCTTCCTTCTTTGCGCTTTTCGTTTTTATCGACAATCATCGACAACCGTTTCCTTCGTCACACCGTGCACCTCTCTCTCGTCAACCTCTTGCTTCGATATCTTTGTCTGTCTGCGCTCCTTGCCCTGGATGGAGCCGTCTGGCCTCCCTCTTCTCGACAAAGTTCTCGGCAGAGTGTGCCTCCGGGCAAGGATATCGAACTTGCCTTGGTCGGCATCGTTGCGCCGATCTGCCGCCGTCGCCTGACCTCGACAGAGTCTCACGGTTACTACACGAGACAGTTTTCCCCGTCGCCGATACCGTGTTTTCTGAATCGGGGCCGATTTCCCTGTCGTCCGACCGACCCCCACGGAAGCTGAGATTATTCGCTGTGCGTCACCGGTTTCCCCCGACCCGTAGCGCACAGCGTCTCAGACACGCGCATTAATTTTGCTTCTGCCGCCGAACTATGGCAACGTCTGGGTCATCCTCCTCGTCTTTCTCTGCCTCTTCTCACGGCTACGCCTCGTCTTATGCTTATACTCATACCAGCCGAAACGGTTCCTCTACCCGCACCCCGAGTTCCTCTGCCGTGTCCGCCGTGACTTCCAACTCTTCGGCCCCGCCGCCGACGCCGTTGCGGCCCCTTGATTTGGGGCCGCCAGGCTATCAGGCAACAATGTAATACCACACATCTTCTGCGGTCGCGTTGCTCTTTGCACTTTGCTCTTTACTTTTTGCTTTTATAACAGCTGCTTCTCCCTGGTTCCATCGCTTATCCCCACCTACTTGCTGTTATGTATGCTACGTTCTTCATTTTTTCTTATATGGTGTCAGATGTATGCTAACCTCATTTCCCTTTTCTACTTGTCCAGTATCTTATATGAGCGTACCGCAAACGAGTCTACCGTGTATCTTGGACCATGGGAGATTGTAAACACGGAACCACGCCGCATCCGGTGGCAATGCAGCTACGAAGGCGAGGTGCTGGAACACTTTTGTAAGACATCTGAACCGTTGCTACTTACACATACATTTTTAGAATACAATCACACTGACAAGTCATCATAGTGCCATCTAATACACCAGCCGACATATTCCCACACACATTACATGCACGGCATCGCCCATATGGTGATCCTTGTGATATGGAACTCTATCTGTCGTTCCTTGAACCACATCGCATCCGATATGTCACTAACGACAACACTATCGCACACGACGACCATGTCGAGGCACGGTACGAGTTCACCACGACTGAAGGATCCCATCGCCTTCAAGGAGACCTCCGTGGGCAAGACTTGATCGACCATTTCGACTTTGACGTCATATGGTCCGACAAGGAGAGCCGCACCGATTCGTTTGGCAGCGTCCGTGGTATCGGCGCTATCCAGCGCATGAAGATGTGGCGCGACCGATATACAACATATCACTACCTCACTTTCTACGCAAATCGCACCGACCGGCGGTATCGCGAATACCTGGTATATTCGTTTGATGCCGAAATAAAAAACCGCGATGACAGCCACCGGCGGCTCCGTCTCACTGTGCGCGGACGCCGCGGTAGTGCCACCGACAGTGGCAGCAGCAATCAAGGCGGCAGCAGTGGTGGAGGCGGTAGTAGTTCTGGTCGTCGTTTCTCCGTGACATCGTTACGACAGCGACCACGCACTTCTAGTAGTCACCACCATAGCAGCGGTCATGGCAGTTCTTCACATGCTTCCAGCTCACGCAGCTCGCACATGAGCTCTGATCAGGCTTCAACAGTCTCACCACCTTCGTCGACATCATCTTATTCTCCAGGCAGCGGACTCGACATCCGGTATCTGGGTATCCAGTTTAGCCGAGCTGACGGTACGACACTTGAATCCTTATGTTTTGACTATATTCAAATAATTCTTGAGAAATGCTGACCCCCGATCCTTAGACTATTATAGATTCATTGAGCAGTGGACGATTGCCCAGAACGCAGATGCAGAGTTTCGCGGTGTCCCCTTCCCTTCTGACCGTTTTGAGCTTCCGTCTCCTGAAATCTTCCCCGGGAGCAACGTCGCCTCGTCATCCGTACTGGGCCTGTCTATCGTGGAAGAGCCTCCGGAGGGATACGATCCAAGAAGCGTCCCATCCTAAGAAGCGGCTAGGGCAAGAAGGCGCAAAAAGAGGGAATGGAAAGCCGAGTCTCGAATGCTCTAGCACAACACAGGCAATAACGATCACAACAAGACGAGCAACGAAACGAACAAAACCTAAGCCAAGAAAACTCCAAAAAATTATCAACTACGATTTTGACGATGAGCAATGACCATCACATGTATACATGTAAATAGATAGACACACATTCGAAAGAGAATGAGCTTTCAAACCACGAACAGTGCGAGCACTTTTTTATTCCGGAATCAAACCACATTCTTCCATATTTTATCAATGTTGCAGCGGCTGCCCTTCAAATATCATGCGTTTGCGCTAGCGGTGTGTATGTTGCGAAACAACAATGAAGAATAAGCATCAGCTAATAGGTCAGGAACCGAGACTGTCTGACAGATCAGCCTAGCACGCCTAGCTACTAGGGCCGGTGAGGAAAGAAGTGTCTATTGGCCAGCAGTTCTGCGGGACATTGAGACGGATGTTGGGGATGTTGTCAGACATTGGTTACCAGCCCGCGCGTATCATCTGCAACTCCCAGCAGACGCTGCCTCGTGGAAAATGAAACTCGGTTGTCCACCTGCACTTTGTGCAAGGGAGGAAAAGAGACCAAGTGCGGCTCTGTTTTAAAAGAAGAGGGGGTAACTGCATGTTTATCCATGCAACTCGTCAGTGGCTTTTTCCCTCTGTATGCGCTGGTTGCAATTGCCAAGTAACGAGCAACCAAAATGTGGCGTCGAGGGATGCCAGCTGGCTGGGCGACTAAAGGTGACCCGGCTGGTATAATATGCTGTAGCATGAGTTACAATTGAGTGCAATTGTGCATGCCAGTCTGGCTCCAAACAAAGCAACTCGACGTCAAAGTGATGATGCCGCCAGTGATAAGGGCAAAAAGTGGGGCGTAGAGCTTTGTGTTAGTATTAGTGGTGGCTGTCGGTGGGGGAAGACCAGCACTTTGAGGTACACCAGCGCTACGTCATCCACACCTCCGTTGGACCTGTCTCAAGCCTTCTGTCAGCCCACCAGCCTCTGTTGAACAAAAGAGCATCCCAGTCAGATCGCCGCGCTGCTTTACAGGTGATTTCTCCTGTGCGTACTACAAGTGCAATTTGCCAGCGTCTACTTTGCATTCTCGTCTATTCTTTGGCATCAGGAAGACAGCCATATCAGCACGAGCGAACGTCCATGTCTCATGTCATATTCCGTTCTTGATTCGCAACGCTTGCCATCATCTCAGCACCGCCATCTCACAGCCAGGTCACACCAAAAGACCGTCGTCATGAAGATTGTTCTCTCCGTCAACGCCGGCTCATCGTCTGTCAAGGTTTCCGTCTACTCCGTCGCCGCGCGCAACGCGGAGCCACGCCAGCTGGCCGAGGCGCAGGTCAACGGCCTCACAGCACCGCCTCCAAAGGTTGATTACAGCCGCCACGATGGCAGCACCAACGGCGGCAAGAACGTTGTCTACAAAGACAAGAAGGTGACGGACATTGACGACAAGGCCGGCAGCATTGACAGCCAGGACGACGCGTTTGCGTTTTTGCTGCGCCTCTTTGTCGACGACAAGGATCTCCAGGAAATCGGTAGCCGCGACGACATTGCCATTGTCACGCACCGTATTGTGCACGGCGGCGACTACACACAACCCCAGATTGTCGTCGACGATACCTATGCCCACATCGAGGCCCTCAACGACCTGGCGCCGCTGCACAATGCCAAGTCCCTCGAGATTGTGCGGTCGTGCCTCAAGCAGCTGCCGCAGGCGACAAACGTCGCCTGCTTTGACTCGCAGTTCCACGCCACGCTGCCGCCACACATTCGCACGTACCCCATCGACCCGGCCATGGCCAAGAGCAACATGCTGCGCAAGTACGGGTTTCACGGGCTCAGCTATGCTTTCATCACGCGCGCCGTCGCCGATTTCCTGGGCAAACCCGTGGACGAGACGAGCATAATCGCCCTGCACCTGGGCAGCGGCGCCTCGGCGTGTGCCATCCGCGGCGGGAAGAGCTGGGACACGAGCATGGGCCTGACGCCGCTGGCCGGTCTTCCCGGAGCCACACGCAGCGGCAGCGTCGACCCGAGTCTGGTTTTCCACTATGCGTCCGATGTCGGCAAGCTGTCGCCTGCGTCGACAAAAGACCTGCACATCTCGCGCGCCGAGGAGATCCTCAACAAGGAAGCCGGCTGGAAGGCACTGACGGGCACCACCGACTTTGGCGAGATTGCCGGCTCCGACAAGCCGTCGCACCAGCTGGCGTTTGACCTGTTTGTCGACCGGGTGTCGGCCTATGTCGGGTCCTACTACGTGGCGCTCAAGGGCGAGGTCGACGCCCTCGTCTTTGCGGGCGGCATTGGCGAGCACAGCAACCGACTGCGTGCTGCCGTCGTCGACCAGTGCAGCTGTCTCGGCTTTGCCATCGACTCGGCAGCAAACGGCGCTGGCCACTTGAGCGATGTAGTCACCGACCTTACTGGAACAACCGGCAGCGAGACCAACAATGGAAGCAAAACAGCTCGGCGCCGGGTAGTGGTGTGCAAAACCGACGAGCAGCTTGAGATGGCCCGGGAGGGCTCAGCAGACGAGAGCTTATGGGCCGATCGCAAATAAACGACATTTGATGGGGCAGTAATTGTTCGACATAGTTTAACGTTTTTTTTTTTGTTGCATCGTGCTGTATTCATAAGTTGCGTTCACAACACAGTAGCGTTCTTAGACACTGTAGGATTATTTTAGTATTGGTTGACTTGGTAATTGAAAGTCGGTATCGTATACGGCCATTTGGCCCCCAAATCACTAAGATACAGTCCGTATGGCCGTCCGCAGATCACACAACTCCTTCCGTGTTCTGGGAACCCGTTGTGTAGTTTTGTACAAAAAGACAAAAAAAAAAAAGAAAAGAAAACAAGAAGCAGAAAACGTTGACGGGAATCCTCGTTTATATCAACAACTCCTTTTTGGTGAAATTAAATACGATACAAACTCCTGTGCAACGCCGTGGTTCCAATATATAGCAATTAAGGGAAAGGAAGGTAATGAAGAATTATGAGAAAGGATCGTTAGGGTTCCGACTTCAAAAAGGAACCCAACCAGTAAGCCATGTTGCCCGTGCCTCCTTAATAAACGCCGTGTAAAAACAAGAAAAGCCATTGGACCAGAGAAGCACTTTCTCACATGTCCTCGACTTGCCGGGCAGCATCAGCGAGTGCAGCTAGGGACATACTGTCAATGCTCGACCCAGAATGGGAGCGGCCGTATGACGACCGAATGGGCATCTGGTATTCCATGTCCATGGGGTACTCAACGTGTTCGGACATGGGCGAGTAGGAGCTTTGGCGAGACGACCGAGAGTCGCCGTTGCGGTTCTTGGACGAGCTGGACGAGTGACCAGGTCGGTTGGACTTTTCGCGCTTGTAGTGTGTCTCCAGGTGCTGCTTCATGTTGTCGGTGCGCGTGAACATCTTCTGGCAGCCCTCGAAAGAGCACGGGATCGTCTTCACGGCAAAGTGGATCTTGGCGTGGCGCGAAGCGTGGCCCGACGTGGTGAACGTCTTGTCGCAGTTGAACTGCTGCGAAAGACGGCATGGGTATCTCTTGCCCTTCCGGTCCGACGTGGCCTCTCTCTCGGTGTGATGTCCCAGTTTATAGGCGCCAGGATCCTTCATGTAGATTGCCTCGGTCAAGTCGGCATGCGAGTGGTGCTCATCCGTCTTGTAGGTGAAGTAGGGTGACTGAACGTTCGCCGGGGCGTAGGCCGTGCCATGCTCGCGGTGAGCCGACTCGGGCGTGAGGGGAGTCGCCGGGTCAAGGGAAATCTGCGAGTCGAATGAACAAGAGCGCGACAGCTCAGGGGCGTTGGAGGACTGTGAGAAGACAGAGCCGGAGTTGGATCCTCTCATCGATTGCGAGTGTGTTCTGTAGTCGTTGGTGTGCAAGTCGTCCTCCACGAGGAGGGAAATTCTGCGCCCAGAGGAGTTGTAGCCGTCCATGACACTGATCTTTGGGTGGTTGGTGCTGGTGAATCTTGGGTCGGGCAGATTTGGGTTCTCGGCGTGACGGCGAATGTGTAAACAAAACGAGAGAGCTATCTGTAGCAGTGTGCATAGAAGGAGTCCCTCGTGTTTTATGGATGAGGAGGTGCTCAATGGAAGGTATTTTCGGCTTGCTCGGTGCAAATCGTTGCCTTTGAACCTCTTTGTTGTCACCTTGGGGGTGGATGATTCAATCAACTTGGATATATTGTAGAAGATGGTGACCGAAAAATAAGACGGCAAGGCGAGCCAACAGGTTTGCGACAGGTGTAAAATGCGTGGGCAGATACAATGCGATATTGTACGTGAGTGAGAGAGGGTGGCCGTCTGAGTTGGATATAAGGCAGGTCGTTTTAGTGTGAGGTTTCACTTTTCTTGTCAGCGACTGGAGGTTTATGAAAGAGCCAGTGTCTTGCTCTTCGCAAGCAGCTATGCAGATCGACAGTGATGTGAAAGAATGTAAAACAAGACAAGTAATGCCCTCCTAGAAAATAAGAGAACCAAGACACCAAGACTCGTAAAAATTTTCACAATGACAGACGGATCATGAAAACTGAAAAAAAGAAAGAAAGAAAGAAAAGTTGACAGATAGGCGGTGCAATATGACGACGCAAAAACAAATGCAAGTTTGTGAGATTGAGAAGTGGGCGGATGAAGGGCGCTTAATAAAGAGCGGCGCACACACTATCAGAGGCGAGGAGCAAACAAGATGAAGCGAGAGTGCCTTAACAAACGTCACCAGGTGACAGCAAAAGAACAGAAAGCACGGCAAGGTGGAAATTGGACATCAGGGGAAAAGCAGAGCCAGAGCAAGCTGCCTGTTTGCAAGACCGAGGAGGGAAGATGCGTGGAACCACGTGATGACAGCTACGAAGTTTTTTGCTTTGAGGAACGCGAGGAAAACAAAAACGAAGGGGGCAGTAAGGAAAACAGCAACGGCAACAAGGGAATTTACCAAACGCAAATGGAACTCACAGTATGGTCGCCGTCGGCAAACGGCGCAGACAAATGCGATGCAAACGGTATGGTGAAAAAAGTGAGACCTTTGCTGAGCAGGGCGCAACAGCTGGTGGAGAGCGGGCGTGTTTTGGGGGATCACGAGAGAAAGAGGCTGTTCTTATCTGACAGGCTATCTGTCAGGCACCTTGGGTAGGGTTTGCTGGATAAGAGCGGCTGTTGGGTGTGCAGAGGCAAAGAGAAGCGATGGGGGCGGGGTGTTGGTGGCACGATGGTGTATGGAAAAACGAGTTGAAGAGAAACAGAAAAACGAAGATCTTGAGAAATCCGGGGACGTCAAGATGTTTTCTTCATATACAACGTACTAGGACGAGGAATGAGGGACCTCTGGGAAAAGTGTAGCAAAGTGGAGTACACTATTGAAGAAGCAGGGAAGGGAAAGAGCGATGGAGGAATCAGGAAAGAGGGCACGAATATGGAAGGTAGGGGTGGGCATAGATGAGTACGCCGGCGCAGAGTGAAGAAAGCACGTAGACGATGAGATCACGAAAAGGAAGGAGCACAACCGGGGGAGACGACCGGCAGGAACAAGCAAGCGCAGTTACGACATCGATTGGAAGCACAGTCGAAAGGCAAGGGCATCCAAATAGCTAGCGAGCTTGGAGAGAAGGGTGCACTTATTCCAAGCTCTAATTTTGGATGGTCTCTACGTTCGTTTCCTGATTTCTTTTTCTTTTTCTTTTTTTTTTTGTACGTTCATATAAAGGGTATCGATTGTTGGCAACCGCGGAGCATGTACCCTCATACCGTAGCGTCTAATGCAGGGCGTCTTGGGTGACAAGTCGAGAGCACTAAAGAAGGGCAATGAAACAAGGGGACAATAACAGACATAAGGCAAGAGAATGAGGGAGCAGAACAACGAAAAAAGAAAAACGAAAAAGAAAAACAAGAAAAAAGAGCCACTAGACAGGCGAGACAGGTACTCCGTGGACAGGAACAGGGCAAGGTATGGCCGTAATCAATTCAATGGCCTAGCAAAACGGCGCTGTCGAGTGTGGGTGAGCGCAACTGGCAGCTGCAAGTGGTGATGTCATGACTTTTCCAGGGGAGACATGGCCGGCATTCGCGCAGCAGACCCGGCCGCGCAGCCACAAAACAAAAACGGGGAATTACAGAATTGACAGGGAAAGGCCGGTGCGACAGGCCAATGGGCGCACACGCAAACAGAAGCGAAGTATGTGCTCGACGAAGACGACGACAACGTGAGACAGCAAAGTGTAAGTAAGTCCATCAGCGCTGCATATGGAAGGACAAGACACTATTTGACGGTAGACCCACTTTAGGCCCAGACCCAGCCAAAAGAGGCCGTGAAGTAGTCTCGTAGTCAACTAGACCGCAGACGGATGCTGCACAAGCCGCCCCGGGGGTTGATCATCAGGAACCCCCTTCCCGCATTCCATTTGGCCTGGCCTTTGATGAGTGAGTCGAGGCGAGTTGCACTAGGCAGTAGGGTGAGAGGGTGAGTAAGCCTTGGTGTACTTTTTCTACGACTATGTGCCTGCACCCAGGACCCTTGGCACCTCTAGTCCGACAGCCTATCGCACGATGCTTCGCACTTTCTTGCCCTAAACTTTTACGGCGGCCGCCCCCAGACCCCCGCGTCAGGAGTGCCAGAGAGTCCGACAGCTGTCCGCCCCACGGACGGCCCTGATCCTTTGTATGACTTCTGTGGACTTGTGTTCATTTTAGCATCATTTCCAGGGCAGCTGTGGCAACGACCAGGGCAAGTAGCGGCACACACCAACCAGCCAACACCAGGCCCAGGTCCAGCAAGTGTGGCGCCCCCCAGGGGCAAGATAAGACGACAGCAAACCAAGAAAGGCACGCTGTGCAACGACGGCATTGTGACCGTTCAGCAGCCGTGGTTTTGGCGGCATTGTCCCGCTCTCAATGAAAACGTTGGTTCCTGCTCCTCTGGCGCAAGCCAGGGTGCTACTGCCCGGCCGGACTTTTTGGCTGGCCATGCATTTCTGGGTCCTGACACATCCCACCCTCTTTTGCTGCCAAAACGATCGAAATTTTGCGCCTAGATCGACGATGCACCTTGCAAGCGGGGGCCGTTTTCTCCCTCTCCATCTCCCTCTGCCGAGAACTTTTTCTTTACTTGATTGTTTCGCTTTTCTCTTTCTGTCCTCCATTTCCCAATTTTCTGTCCACTTATCGGTCCCTTCGTGCCTACTCGATTTGATCGTTTTCCTTTACTTCTTGCCACTTCCAATCGTAATGCCCGCACGTTTTCCTCGCCGCCAAGACCCACTGCCAGACTGCCAAAAAAAACAATAATAATAATGAAGGGAGAAAAAAAAACATCCACATAAACACCTCCGTCCTCAGTCCAGACTACGGGTACCCCGTAGCACTATCGCTCTTTCACAGGACCCTGTCCTCTTCCCCTTGGCCCACCCCTACGCCTCACTCCACCACTCGCAACTTCTCTCTCGAGAATGTCGTACTCGCAATCACTATTTGCCTCTGCAATCTCTGGTTTATTACCCCTCTGGCTCGAGTCCCTCTCTTTTGTCCACTTCGCTCGCGGTCTCGATGCAGGCCACATATCCTCCTATTGTTCCAAAGCAGCCACGATGTGCCGTCTGGCCCGCATCGATCGATCGAGGCCCTATTGTTCATTATCTGACTGGCCCATCCCTCGTTTAATTCGGTGCCCGTTGACTGCTGTGGAGTAAAAGGGTCTCGTCCTCATCCCATCCATCCACCCACCCTGCCACCCTGCCACCTCCCCACCGTATCAAGTTCTCGTCCAAAGTCTCTTCTGTCACTTGTCTGGTCCCTGGTGGTCCCCTGCCCTCCGTATTCCCTGATTTTCAATGGACCCCTGTCGGCCACGCCTTTTGGGCTATCTCCAGTCTGGGCTAAACATGGTAAGATACGACACCTGTGGCTTTGTGGCTGCCAGGGAGGTGTCCTCTTGGCAGGGTGCGCGAATCCAGGTCTTCAACTAAATCAGTCATTTCTCTGATCGCGATCGAGATCCCCCAAGACGAGTCCCATACTAAATAGCACCAGTCGACGGCGCAGCCGATGTTGCCACAGCTGTGCCAGACACTGACAGAAGCGATAAACCCGAGATGCAACAAAAGCTGAAGGCGTGATACTGCATAGTATCATGCATCATACAGTGCCCTGCATGTCTATCCTGCTGCCATCGCGATGCTTTGCAGCGATTGGCTAACAGCATCCTACATCGTCAAATATCGTCTATCGGCGACCCTGTATCAAGATCAGACAACGGGTCCATGATCGAGTGTGGGCAGTCGAGGCGATGTCCCTTCACAACAACACACGATGCTTCCTCCTCATAGACTCGACGATCGACGTGTTGTGGTGGTTGTTCTGGACCCTCGTCGGCTTGCCGGCAAGCTTCATACTCTCCGTAATGCCTTATCCATGCACTTCACGTGTATTTCGCATCCCGTACTGTGCAGAAAACGACTGCTCTTTGTTTCTTGTACTCCCGCTGTTTCCGTATGGAGTGCTCTGTGCGGAGTACAACTTATTGCTCCGGGACTTTCGCCAGCCTCTCTGGGCACGCCCTGCACAGCGTCGCCCCGTAGTGGAGTCCAATTGGGGTTCAAAACGTGAACCCTGCAGACTGTCGATCCCGTGCCATCCAAGCTTCTGTCTTTCGCTTCCTCAACAAGTGCCATGCCCCAGGTTCAGGGCCCTTTTGTCATTTAGCGCCTGGCATGGGCGCAAATGAATAAAATAAGACAAACGGAATAAGTGTCTTGTGTGACAGGTTCCCGTACCAGACAGCGGAGTTTTTGCTCCGCCTTCAATCACAACAGCACCACGTCGTAGTCATACGACGTGCGGAGTACATATGCTGCGAAGAAGAGTGCCGATGTCTAGAAACAGGCACGTTCTTCGTCGACATCGACAGTTCGCGGTGCCAACGGCCCATGCAGCTCAAGGCTCACAGCATTCCCGCAGTTCGCTTTGAAGAAATGCAGATAGCAACGTCAATTGGGCGCTGCAGGGGTGGTATCCTGTTATTGCTTCCTATATGTGGTCGTGTTGTCGCAATGTTGGGATATGTTTCTTTGAGTACGGAATACGAAAAGCACCGTGCATAAATACAGAAGGGATTGCTGACCATGTCCAATAAAATTGTCTATGACACCATTTTTGCCGCTGGTCGTCCAGCCGCAGGCCTTCCTGAACGCCAAAACCTCTTTTGCGACATATGCCCTGTTAAAATCATGTACGTGCCGACCTGCCGAAACAGTATCGTCAGGTTTATCTATTATGTATCACGCGCTCCTCACTTCTTTGTCGCGCCCGTATCCACGCGTTTGGCAGGTGGCAGCGCTGGCTTCTTGAACACGCCGTCTGCAACACCGCCGCCGCCTGCGCTGCCGCCGATTTGCGTAAAGGTGCCGCCCTTGAAATACCGGTCCTCTTCCGCCTTTCTCTTGCGACCCATCTCGGCGCGCACGCTGGGATCGACCAGCTCCAGTCCTTGCACGGGTGTAAATGCCAGCGACGACATTGTACCGGCCGCTTGGCTGCCCACCGTGGTGCCAACGCCAGATGCCCGCAAACCATGGCCCCGTAGGTCCAGGCCGCCGGCCGCCTGGCCAATGCCCCGTAGCGACGATGCTGCACCGCTGCCGCCGTTGACCGACGACGCCAGGCCGCCCCAGCCCTTGTTCTTGGCGCTCAGCTTGGCTCGCGTGCGCTGGTCGACCTGCAGGGCGCGCACGCGACCGTCGCTTGCCGCACCGATCATGCCCAGGCCCTCGGTCTCGTCACCGACGCCGTAGCCGACCTCCTTCTCCTCCTGGCCAAACGCCATCCGGTTCTGCGCCTTGCGTAGGTCCGTCATCGCTGTTGCCGCCTTGGCCTGCCGCGCCCGCCGACCGCCGCGTTTCCGCGACGGCTTGTCGTCGGGTGCTGGTAGGGCCCGTGCGCCTGTATTCAGTGGCTTCTCTTGAAGCTTCTCCAGCCGCTCCAGGCACTGGTCTTTGAGCTCCTCACCCTGGCTGCCGTCCGGCGACGAGTGGATCCGGTCGACACGCGCGGCCAGTACCACTTTGGCCGAGACAATGCGCATCGCCTGCTTCTTCAGGTCTGTCGGAATCGTGTGAATGATGGGTGATTGGTAAAGGTAACCCTGCTGGCGTGACGTCACGTTTGTCGCCAGGGCGCTGGCGTTGGCGCCCCTTTTTGAACCCCACGCCGCAATGTTGCAGGCGGGGGTCTTGGACAGGCCCGTCAGACCCCCGGCCGTGTTGAGAAGCTGGGCGGCCGTCAAGGAGCCAATGAGCGCTGTTAGGTTCGGCGCAAAGATAGTCATGCGCGACTGCACGTATTCGGTCAACGCCCGTTTCGCCACATCGAGCTTCACCATCACGCCACAGGCCGCCACCACGCCGTCGAGGTCGTTCTGCGCCATGGGCTGGCCCTTGGAGGTGATGGCGCTTGTCGTGACAATCATCAGGGTTGGTTTGTCGAGCACCGAGTCGAGGGACACGCCGAGCGGGTTGTCCGTCGACTGGGGTATCCGGCGCATGGCGTCCGAGTCCAGCGGGCCGTTGCCGAGCACCGCGGCAGTCTTGGCGTACTCGAGCGGGTTGGTGACGAGGGTCTCGAGCTCTGGGAAGCGCACCGAGTAGTGGTCGCGTACCCATTTGTGCACAAGGACCACCTCATTGTCAATGGCCGTTGAGAGGCCGTTGGCCTGTGTCAATAGGTGGTACTCGGGGTGCTCCTCGACGTTTCCGACGTGTTCGTGTCGTGTCTCGCTCGGTTGTGCTTGGTAGAATTTGATTTTCTGTAGGGTGTGGTCCAGACAGGTCAGGGTTGCTATTTCTCGCGCAAAAGAGAAAGAAGAGAGGACAGATGTAAACGCTGTATCTCGGTTTGGACGTCCACGACACTCGGCACAAGACCGGTGCGGGACGAAGTAGTTTGAGGGATAAGAATGATCACGAACCTCTAAGATGGAATCAAGCGTCTTGACGAGGCTCGTTGCGGACCGCAAATCGCTCGGCTTGCCGTTCTTGTCTGCCTTTCCATTGGTCTCCTTGTCATCTCCTTCGTTGTCTTCGTTCACACCCCCCATGGCGTCGTCATCGTCATCGGAGCTGACCAGGTCTGTGTCGTCCATTGGCACGTCGCCACCGGACAGGCCCATAATGGCCGCCGTATTGTCCTCGCCATCATCCTCCACGCGCTCGCCATTCTCAGAACCAGAGTCCTCAAAGTCCTGCAGTAGCTCGTCTGCGAGGGTCGACATTTTTGTGGTGCGCAGCACCCAGGAGCGCTAATTTCGTTTATTAGAGGTGCTAGTGTAGATGAAAGGCATCAATAGTATCGTGTATGTGGCCGATGAAAGCAAGATCAAATGTCGTCGTAAATGAACGCTGTGCAGTGAAAACAAAAAGAGAGGTGACTGTCAAGCACAAAAGTTGCGAACGCGACAAAGAGGCAGCAACCGCGATGTCACTAAATTTTGGGTGGCGAATGACTACATAATCAGTCACGTGCTGATAAGAGCGCCTCCAACAGCAAGTCGCTTGTACCAAAAGGCAAAAACCAGCGCCTAACCAAAACAGCGTCAGTCGAACACGACTACATCTCTCAACATCACTTGGACAACTTTGTGTCGCACAGCCGACGACAGACACAGTCATGATGGAGTCGCGTGGACCTCCTCGAGTCAAGAACAAGGCCGCCGCGCCTGTGCAGGTTAGTTCAAATCAGCGTCTCCTCGTATTCTTGTTGCACCGCGTCTGTATTGTAAAATGCTAACCGTTTTGTCTGTCGCATTAGATCTCGGCCGAGCAGCTGTTACGAGAGGCGGTTGACCGCCAAGAACTGCCGCTCCAGGCACCGACGACACGATTCGAAGATCTCGAGGAGCTGCACGAGTACCAGGGCCGCAAGCGGCGCGAATACGAAAACTATGTGCGGCGATCGCGGACCAGTCTCAAGCCATGGGCCCAGTACGCGCAATTCGAACTGGAGCAGAAGGAGTTGGCACGGGCGCGATCTGTATTTGAGCGGGCGCTCGATGTGCTGCCCAACAGCGTGCCTCTCTGGATCAAGTGTACGTTTCGAGGCGGCTGCCGTATTCTCACTTCCCCTGCTGTTTCTCCCCCCGCGGTACATCAAGTGCTAACATTTGGCAACAGACATTGAGGCCGAAATCAAGAACCGCAACATCGCCCATGCCCGGAATCTGCTGGACAGAGCCGTCACCCGTTTACCGCGGGTAGACAAGCTCTGGTACAAGTACCTTTACGTGTAAGACTGACCTTTTTTCATAGTACTCCATATGAAATATCTGCTGACACAACATATGACAACAGCGAGGAGATGCTTGGCAATGTGTCGGGTACAAGACAAATCTTTGACCGCTGGCTTAAGTGGGAGCCAGCCGAGGAGGTCTGGAACGCCTATATCCGGCTCGAGAAGCGGTACAACGAATACGAACGCGCCCGCGACATCTTCCGGTCGTATACGATAGTGCACCCTTATCCTCGGACATGGATCAAATGGGCTAAGTTTGAAGAGGACTTTGGCACCAGCGATCTGGTCCGCGAGGTGTTCCAGACGGCGGTCGAGTCGCTCGGCGACGAATATGTGGATGAGAAGCTGTTTATGAGCTATGCGCGCTTTGAGGCCAAGCTCAAAGAATACGAGCGGGCACGCGCCATCTACAAGTTCGGCCTAGACAACCTACCACGAGCGCGGTCGATGCTCCTGCACAAGGAGTACACGACATTTGAGAAGCAGTTTGGCGACCGGGAGGGCATCGAGGACATTGTGGTGTCGAAGCGTCGGAGACAGTACGAGGAGCTGGTCAAGGAAAACCCCAAGAACTACGACGTCTGGTTCGACTGGGCCCGGCTCGAAGAGACGACGGGCGACTTTGACCGCATCCGCGATGTATACGAAAAGGCCGTCGCACAGATCCCGCCGGCACAGGAGAAGCGGCTCTGGCGTCGGTATATTTTCCTGTGGATCTTTTACGCTTTGTGGGAGGAGACGGACGCCAAAAACCCGGAACGGGCGCGGCAAATCTACGACACCTGCTTGGGCCTGATCCCACACAAAAAGTTCACGTTCGCCAAGGTGTGGCTGCAAAAGGCTCTCTTCGAGGTGCGGCAGGGCGAGTTGACTGCGGCACGCAAGACGCTGGGGCGGGCGATTGGCATGGCACCCAAGGACCGGCTGTTCAAGGGCTACATTGAGCTCGAGAAGAAGCTGTTTGAGTTCCAGCGGTGCCGTACGCTCTACGAGAAGCACATTGTCTACAACCCGGCCAACTGCAGCACGTGGATTCAATGGGCAGAGTTGGAGCGCGGCCTGGACGACCTCGACCGTGCGCGGGCCATCTTTGACATGGGTGTGAGCCAGCCGGTGCTAGACATGCCCGAGGTGCTGTGGAAAGCATACATTGATTTTGAGGAGGAGGAGGGCGAGTACGAGCGCACACGGGAGCTCTACGAGCGGCTGCTGGAGCGGACGGACCACCCCAAAGTCTGGATCAGCTACGCCCAGTTTGAGATCAACATTCCTGAGGCGGGTCCCGACGACGAAGACGAGGAGCAAGAAGAGGACGCGCCGGTCAGCGAGGAGGCCAAGGCGCGGGCTCGCAAAGTGTTTGAGCGGGCGCACGACAGCTTCCGCGACAAAGAGCTCAAGGCGGAGCGGGTGGCGCTGCTCAACGCGTGGCTGGCATTTGAAAAGACGCATGGCAGCGAAGAGGACGCGGCCAAGATCCAGCGGCAGATGCCGCGCCGGACGAAGAAGAAGCGGCGCATGGAAGACGGCAGCTTCGAGGAGTACGTGGACTACGTGTTCCCGGCAGACGACCGGCAAGCCAAGAACCAGATGAACCTGCTGGCAATGGCCCAAGCGTGGAAGAAGACGGGCGGAACGGTCGCAGCATCGGCACCAGCGGCCACATCCGAGGGGCCCGAAGCAGCCTCCAGTCCGTCTGCATCATCTGTGTCTTCGCGAGGGGATGATCGAGATGAGTAACCGCGAGTGACGGCAAAAAGGTTGGGATATGGCATGGGGATGCATCAGCAAGCGTCGAAATAGGATCAGGATAATGATAATAATACCAGGTTCAATTTACACAGCACGACACGCCACAACGCTGATTTTCATTCGTGGCGCCCTGCTTACTTGTGCGGCCCCCCCTTGCCTTGCTGTCCCTCGCATATGATTCCTTTGTGCGCTGGTACGGCATATCTACGCTGTCGGCGTGTCATTTTGCATAGACACCCATTCCCCTGCCACAGCTCTAAGAAGCGAAGCGGCGCAAGAGCCTGGATGGGCTTGCCACGCATAGTTTCATGCCTCGCAGACGAGAGATTTGTTCACAAGGAAATAACAATGCAGACAGTATCTCCCATTTCCGAAGCGGGCTACGCAAAAATAGTGTCATTGCGTGGAGGAAAAGTTGCGGAAGCTATGGAATGCTTCGGGAGTTAATTAATCCACATTTTATATAAAGCGTAATAAATGCAGTGTCCAAAATCACACTGGTCGGCGATCTATCTCGATCGATCGCTCGCTGGTGGTCTTGCTACGGTCTTGGCGACATGCGGCGATGGACAGGGCCGAGAGGAAGAATCAGAGACAGCGGACGATGCGCTCCAACAAATTGACGATCATTTGATTATATCTTTTGACGAGGCTTGTTGAATGGGTGTGTTAGAAAGAAATACAGAACAGAAAGACGGGCAACAGCTTATCGATGTAGGATCGTACGACACGTATAGCCAATGAATCCAGACTGCATTGCCGCTCTATCCGTCGTTGACCTATCTTTTCGTCGTCCCTTCACCGCTTGTCGCTGTGCCTCCTCCCCTGGTATTTGTTACGTGAAAGTTACGTCGACGTTGCGTCTTTTCTCCCCACAGCTGGAACAGACCAGGAGGACTAGAAAAAAGTGCAAAGAGAGCAAAGGAGGGTTGGACGGAAATGGAAGAGAGGCCTCACAAGCTGCACCAGAGCGCCACTGAGACGCGATCGTCGCAATGGTATGGCCATGGTCTTATTCTCGTTGATTTTGCTATCATGTTGAGCGAATTGATCCGTTGTAGGGATAAAAGAAGAGGAAGCAATGAATTCAAATAAGAATTTAAAACAAGACTTGGAATAAAATATCAGAAGAAATAATCGGTTTTATAAGGGTATCTCCTGCTGGCAGTCTTTCTCCAAGCTTTTTTTTCTGTCCTTGTTCTGTCTCTTCTTCTCTCGTTTCTTACTCCTTACTTTATCTCTCGCGTTTCCACATCCTTATTGGCCATGATGAGTGTTGCGCAGCGTTCCACTAAGGCAGGCAAATAAAGAAGTGAAACAAAAATGATACTACGAATGTACTAATAATAATAAATCACAGTAAAAGACCACGACGCAGGATCAAGGAGACACTGGCGAAATGCCCCAATGATGTGCGCTCCTGATAACCATAGAATGGAGCCTTCGACGTACGCTAAGCCAGTACCAGTGCAACGGGCCACTCTCGCAAGACTGCCACGATATCCTCGCTTCCTTGGCCTCATCTGCCGTCGGCTTCATGTCATGAATGATGAGAAACACGGTAAGGCAACATCGATGCGATAGTAGGATGCGTGTGACGGGCGTCTTACTCTATCACAATGTGTAAGCACAGGGAGGCATGAGCTGAGTTCGCCTACCCCGTCGTGCTCGTGTATTCGATGCGAAGCATAAAGCCCGTACTCTGTGATAATATGCGGTTAATTCTTGAAATCAGATCAACAGCTGTGGAGCGCACCCCTGATGACTCATAGGCTATTGAGAGCTTTGCACGTGATATAGCCCGCAAAGCGAAGGTCCACAAACCCCTGTCTTTCTATTTCGTTCCCATTATTTTTTCTTGGTGGGGTGTGCAACAACACTTTGCTTCCATCAAGGTCAAAACCTCTTTTTTTTATCATGGATGCTACAGCCAAGAGCGGCTTCAGCCGGCCGCAGTTTGAGTCTTTGCTCAAGCGTCGGTTCTTCTTCACAGAGTCCTTTGAGATCTACCGCACGGCACCCAACTTCCAGGGCGACAATCGTGGCCTCTACGACTATGGCCCGCCCGGTTGTGCGCTGCAGGCGAACATCGTCAGCGAGTGGCGCAGCCACTTTGTGATCGAGGAGAACATCATGGAGCTAGATTGCACGGCAATCACACCGGCTGATGTGCTCAAGACGAGTGGCCACGTCGAGAAGTTTGCCGACTACATGTGTCGTGACCCGGCCAAGGGCGAGTATTTGAGAGCCGACCACCTTGTCAAAGGCGTGTTGGAGACCCGGTTGGAAGGTCATGCAAAGGCCGTGGCGGGCCAAGCCAAGTTCACAAAGCTAGACAGCGCCGTTGCACAAGATTTTGAGTCTATCCTCGCTCAGGTACGTCGTACACATTGTTGGGAGAGGAGGAGGTTGGCTGTCATACGCATTCCTAGAGAGAACGGTTGCATTAACTAGCGCACAACTCCTCCACAGCTGGACAACTATGGCGGCCCAGAGCTGGGTGAGCTTATCGAGAAATATGACATTCGGAATCCGAACGGCAACGGCAAAGTACTCCCTCCCGTGCCCTTCAATCTCATGTTCCAGTCGACCATTGGCCCCAGCGCCGCCGCGCCCATCTACCTGCGGCCCGAAACAGCCCAGGGGCAGTTCCTTAACTTCCAGAAACTGCTTGAATTCCGTCGTGGTGCGATGCCGTTCGCGTCTGCCTGTATCGGCAAATCCTACCGGAACGAAATCTCCCCGCGTTCGGGGCTGTTGCGGGTGCGTGAGTTCCTCATGGCCGAGATCGAGCACTTTGTCGACCCGGACACCAGCAAGAGCCACGAGCGATTCGGTGAGGTAGCGGACGTGCAGCTGCCACTCCTGGACCGCGGCACACAACTCGCAGGCCGCACTGACGTGCGATTGCTGTCAATCGGTGAGGCGGTCCACGGGGACTCAAAAACGGGCAAGTCATTGGTGGACAACGAAACACTTGGGTACTTCCTTGTTCGCATCTACCTCTATTTGCTGAAAATCGGGGCCGACCCTGCCCGTGTGCGCTTCCGGCAGCACTTGGACAACGAGATGGCGCACTACGCGTCTGACTGTTGGGACGCGGAGCTGCTGACCAGCTACGGCTGGATCGAGTGCGTTGGCTGCGCCGACCGCAGCGCCTACGACCTAACGGTACACGCCAAACACACGGGCTCACCGCTCAACGTCGAGGTGACCCGGCCGGTCCCGGTGGAAGTCGATGCATGGCAGGCTGTCTTGGATAAGAAAGTCCTTGGGCCACGGTTCAAGAAGGACGCGAAAAAGATTGAGGCTTCCGTCGCGGCGCTCGACCAGTCGACGCTGGCCAGCCTTGCCGACGAGCTTGCACAAAAAGCAGTCATTACCGTGCCGACCGAGCCCCTGGCGACCGGCGCTTCATCTGTAGAGCTGTCCGCGGACATCTGCACGATTGAGAAGGTGAAGCGCGTCGAACACACGCGCAAGTACACACCGAATGTGATTGAGCCTTCCTTTGGTATCGGCCGCATTCTGTACAGCGTCCTTGAACATGTCTACTGGCACCGGCCGGATGACGTCGCGCGGGGGGTAAGTAAAAAACAATGTTGCATGTCATGCTTGCTATTACAAAATGCAGCTGCTAACATGTCCAGGTCCTGTCTCTCCCGATCCTGGTGGCCCCGACCAAGGTGCTGATTGCACCGCTTTCGAACAACGCAACTCTGCAGCCCATTGCTAAAAAGCTGGCCGCTCGCCTCCGGCGTCTGCGTATTGCCAACGATGTCGATTCGTCTTCTACGTCCATCGGGAAACGCTATGCACGCAATGACGAGCTCGGCACGCCCTTGGGCGTGACGATTGATTTTGACACCGTCCAGAATGGGTCGCTGACGCTGCGCGAGCGAGATTCCATGGCACAGGTGCGGGCGTCCGAGGATGAGATTATCGAGGCTATCTGCAGCCTTGTGGAGGGGAGAGAATCCTGGGCAGATGTATACAAACGATTGCCGCCGTTTACGGGCCAGAACCAGGACGAGTAATGATTTGAGGTTTGCAACTTCCGCTTTTACAAGGTAAGAGACAGCGCACACATTCTAAGAAGCTATAGTTGTAAGCCAATCTATGAGTAGAGAGATAGAGGCAATATGTAGCTCAAGTTCAAGGGATGGCCTCAACATATAAAAGATATATAAATCAAAGCGTACCTCCATAGCCGCCGATAGACGAAGTTGTGCTTAAAACGTCCTGTATTTACATAGATCGCGTAGGCAAAAATTGAGAGCACGGGTCTACGCAGCCGGCGATTGATCGAGTCGCCGAAGTGCCTCACCAACAGCCATTCTTTGAGCCACCAGAAGACGGTGGAATCGGCAAGCCTCGTATCGTGATGCCTCAGTGATTCCAGGACGGTGGCCAAGGTAGCCGCGGTGACTGCGCAGGTTCGATGGCCCAGGCCCTGCGTGACACAAACATTGTGCCAGAGAAACACAGCGCCAAAAAACGATAAGTAGCTGTCTAGTGAGCTTCGGATGGCCGACAAGGGGTAATGACACTGTTATCTAGGCCGCGGCCTTGGCCTTGATGACGGCTGTGCTGTGTGGCGGCTACGAAAATGATTCAGAAATTGCAGCAGTAGCTATTGCTGCAATTTCTGGCTCAACAGTATTCTTCAACATAGCGTTGGGCGCTCAACGGCCCGCCCCGCCTTTGAGACAACGCTGTCTTTTTCACACAAATTATGTGTTTAGTACGAACTTGGCGCGTCTACGAATGTACTGTTGTAGGAGTACTTGGTCCGAGGAAAACGAAATCGAAAATCGAAAACTTCGAGAGGCAAATACCAAAAACTGCAGTAATATTGGCCAAAAACAGCAAGCTACTTCCGCAAACTAAGAAAAGAAAAATTCATAACTCATAAACAACATCCAACAAATATGTCAGAACCGATGAGCAAATATAGATTTCCAACACGCAGAATAAAAAAGAGAGGCGAAAAGCATGCAATACATAAAAGACATAGAAGACATTAATAGCCCACTCACTTGGCCCGTTTCCAAGGACCGTTTCGACAGTCCCGTTTGCCGCTGGCTCCCCTCTTTCGCTCCACCCCGCTTCTGTATGTCGTCACAGACAATGGGTGTCTCCACCCCTGACGTTGCCGCTTTTTTGTTGCTCGTCTTGTGTCACCCAGTCAATCTTTCTCGCTCGTCTCGTTTTGGAAGCAAAATCATCATTGAAAAAAAAAAAGTAAGAAACAGAAACGGCAGGGGGGCTTTTTGCAGCACACCCTACTGCATGACACGCAGCCACCCCCCTCCTCCGTCTCCTTGCATAACATGCTGGCGTCCTGGAAAGCCCAGACCCACTCAATGAAGCACGCACACACAAACCGTCCATTCCGACCCATCTGCGGTGTACGTGTTGTAGCCGCAGACGCCGTTGTGTAGAACCGTGCAAATCGGGACGCACGGGTTCACACACACCTCTCTTACTTCTCTTCTGGCGTTGTTGGCCAGGCCCACAGAAACGATGGGGACTTTGAGTCGCGGTCCATTTTAGTGGCGATGGCGGCCATCTGTTACAAGAGGGTAAAGAATCAGTGATATTGTCCTTAATACATTAACAAACAGGGAGAAAAGAGGAAAGATCTGCGTCTTTCGTGCTATGTGTAACCGCAAAGTAGCGAGGCAGAGAGAGTAAGAGAGCACGACGAAGAGGAAGAAGAGACGGTGTGCACTTGTCGCCATTGTCTCTGTTTTGATTTCAACAAGGTCGTTTGCTGACAGAAGGTACAACGGCAATTGTTTTGCAAGCACAAGTTGTCTGGTTCTCGTGCTACTGCACGCCAGGGTTGCCACTTTTTTGGTTGGAAAAGTGATTCAATTCGTCCCTTGGTTCCTGTGTTTTTGTCACATCTTGCACACGCTGTCTCTTGCCCTCTCTTCTTTGTCTCTCTTCGCATCTCTCACAAGGACACAACGGGGTGCCGTGCTCCGTGTATCAGAGGGGATGGTCGTATCTCAAGTAGAAGTCAAAGGCAATGGTGCGCGATGTGATCGAACGAGCCACCGTGTCTGCGTTGTAGCTTGTGTCATTCGCAGCCATCTCCGTGCAGCGAAGGACAAAACAGCGCTTCTGAGGCACAGAGCTCTGGCTGTCACCGACAAGAGACGTGACAGCACGGGAGATGAAAGAATGGCGACGCGGGGTGTTCAGGGGAGAAGACATGGCGAAGGATGTGAGAGGTGAGACGACCAGTCAGGAAACCAGAACGTGTGACCGCACTCTGCGTGTTCTCAGTCCCGATAGTCCCTGTATTTGTCGTCCCTGCTATCCCTATCGTACGCCCTTGGCGCGGGTAGAGCGGCATATGGGTTGTCATCGTTGTAGTGAGGCCCGTCGTCATAGTCACTCGGTCGCCTTGACAAAGTGCCGTTTCTACCATCGTCGTCTTCGCGGCTGTTATTCCGCGACTTGAGTTGCCGTTCGAGGCGGCGCTCGTGTCGCCGTGTCTTCTCCTCGCGCCATTCTTTCATCTCATGGTTCACTTCGCGGACCTCCTTCATCTCTGAGATGGCACCCTTGATACCCAGAGCAGCAATGCCCACAGATGCGGCATCCTGCAGTAGGGCTTTTTGCTTCAACTTCTTTGCCTCTTCGGGCGACAGGCGGCCTTCACGCACGGCCTTTTGCCGCGAGCGCCGCTTCTCCATGCTCTGATACACATTGTGGGCCGCGTGGATGGTGGCAACAGCGGCTAAGCCGGTTGTCAGAACTTGCTTACCTTTCATCTTCTTTGCTTTCTTCTCATCCCCAGACGAGCTGCCGAGGTCAGACTCGGGGTCGGAGCCACTCCGGTTGCGACGCGACCCAGAGCCGCCACGGCGCCGGGTCGAGGAGCGACCGCTATCATCATAGTCTCGGACGCTGCCGCGATCGCGGTCGCGGTCACGGTCACGGTCATCATGTCCTCCGCCGCCTCGGCGGCGGCGATCGGAGGGATAGTCATCGTAGCTGTCGGCCGAATCGTCGCGGCGGCGGTTGTTGTAGCGTGATGATCCCGACTTGCGACGGGGTGAAGCGTCACGGTCGCGGTCGGAGTCGTCAGGCTCGTTGCCAATACCGAGCTTAGCAAGGCCACGGCGAGCCGTGTCCACCACGCTACGGCTTCGGCTTCGGCGCGATCGGTCACGGGAGCCGTCTCGCGAGTCAACGCTGCGCTGGCGCGACCGCTCCTCGTGTTGGTCATAGAGTTTCTTAGCTCCAAAGGCACCCAGGCCGGCGGTCGCCAGGGCAGCCAGGCCGCTCACGCCGCCACCTCCGCCGCCGCCATCTGAGCGGGCCCGAGAGCGGGACCGACTGCGTCCTGTGCGCTTGTCCTCTTCAATGTTGTGCCGGGAACCATTAACAAGACGGTTGCCAAGGAGGCCGCCAATGACTGACTCGGCAATACCAAGCTTTCCGTGTTTCTCGTCCTGGGCAGCATCAACAGTGGCCGCACCGGCAGCGACAGTCAGGATACGCTTAGCCTTCTCGCCCTTCCAGCCACCGGGCTCTTTGGCGACGCGGAAGGCTTCCGTAGCGCCAGCAATCAGAGATGCCATGGCAGCCTTCTGCACCTTGTTAGCCACTTTGCCCTTGCCGCCGCCCGATGGCGAACCGGCGCGCGAGCGGCTGTCGTTGCTGCGTGCGTCGGAGCGCTTGTCCTTGTCGCCGTGGCCACCACCCGTGAGGGCGGTCACAGCGCCACCCAGACCAGCAGCGGCCAAGGCACTCTCGAGGAAGTTCTTGTGGCCCTTCTTCTCGCCCTCGTCGCTCTCGTCGTCGCTGTATCCACCACGACCTTTATGAACGAGAGCCTTCTTGTCACTCTTTTCGGCATGCTTGTTGTAAAAGTCGGCACCCTGGTAGGCGGCAAAGGCGCCGGCTGCACCGAGAGCGGCCGAGCTCAGGGCGTTGCGCTGGACGCCGTGGCCCTCCTGCTTGGCCTCGCGGCGGTCAAAGAGCTCCTTGCCGCCCACGGCGAGCGCACCACCGACCACGGCGGCGATGATCTTCTCTTGGTTACTCAGAACGCGACGGCGCCTCTTTTCGTCGTCGTTGTAGCCCCGCGACTTTCTGCTATCGCGGCGATCATAGTCGCGGTCGTAGTCGCGGTCGTAGTCCCTGTCCCGGTCATAGCCACCACGATCTCTGCCGTAACGGCGGTCGTCGACATAGTCACGGTAGACGTCTCTCGAGTACGTCGGCGGTGGGAATTCGCGGCGGATCTCCTCGACGGAGAGGTCACTGTCCTCGCGCGAGCGGGGGATCAAGTCGCGCGATGTGGTGTGATGCGACTTGGTGACGACGTCACGGGAGTCGGCATGGCGCGAGTCACGCGAGTCACGGGCGTCACGGGTGTGGCGACGGTCGTCGTAATAGCGTGTTGACGAGTAGTCGCTGCGACCATCATCGTAGTTGTCGTACGAAGCCATGGCGGGCAACGACAGCAAGTGCTGTGTCTCGTCTGCTAAGAGGGGACTTGTCTAAGATGCACGCTGAGTTGGTATGAGAACTAGGCCGTGTAATCAGGGAGGGGGTAAAGAAATGCAATGTAATGTGGTAGAAAGGGGAGAAGCGGGAGGAATGTTTCTGATGGAAGGACAAGCCGTACGTGGAGTATATAGACTAGGAGTAGCAGGAACGGTGGTCGACGGGGAATGGTGTTTGGTGATGTAGGGGCCCGTCCAACACCAAAAAAAAGAAGAAAAGATTAGAGAAAAAAAACAGAATAATATAAGGTGGGCTTTTGCAGTGTTCTGCCGGTGGAGCCGTTGGGCTGCGTACAGATGCCTTTCTGTATCTCCAGCCGTGCAAGTGTTGAATAGTGCAGATGACGGAGGCAAATAAACTTACCAAAATGTGAGGCCGCCAGAGAGTAGAAGAATGGAACAGCGATTCCGACGATGGATAGGAAAATAGAAGAATTTGGAAGAAACGCTGGAGAGAGCGTTCGTTTGGGGGCGAGGGAGTGGCGCGGGGTTGGGAGGGGCGGAGGGGTTGTGTTTTGTATGATCTGTTGATGAGACGGCTGGGCAGGAAATGAGAGAAGGGGCGATCGATGGTTGCGACACGGGTAGGAGTGCTTGTGGGCTTCTGCCCATGTAATTGCATCAAATACGGAAGTTGCGAATCTGCAGGCGCCGCCATGATGCTAAAACGGTGGCAGGGCATGAGCGCGCACCATTGCACGTAGGATGGCGAGGGATGGGCAAGGATGGCCTGGCGGCAGGAGGGAGCCTGTTGCAAGTGCACCACGAGCTATTGTGGATGTTGTTTGGCAGCAGCGTCTCCGTCATGATGGTTGGCTCGGCAGTGTCCGTTTTTAACAGGAGACCAGATGGGCGCCGTTGGCAGCTTCCCCAACAATAGCGGCACGCCTGAAAGACTGAGACAGGGCGCCAAAACGGGCACCAGGCGGACCGTTCTACGCTATTTGCTAGGCTGCGAGCGGTCTTTCTTTGTTCAGTGTACGGAGTACGTTTGTCAGAGGAACGCCACGAGGTCTGTATTTTTACATGTCACCCCCCAAGAGACCACCGGCCTATTACCTGTCGAGACGGAAGCATCTGTCACCCGTCCATGCCCACCACAGCCACGCAGGAGGCCGCTACGACAGGCGGCAGCTGCAAGCCAAGCAAAATGACGACGCAAAGGACCGTCGGTGTCTGGCTACACTCTGTCGACCTCTGCAGCCGTTTTGCTTCAATACCAATGGGCGACGCTTGGGTGAGTCGTGGCGCAGTATCAAAACTGTGCGGAGAGCCCGAAACGGAGGCCGCTTTGGCGAGGCCAATGAAAAGGTCGACGTTTTCATAGGGCAGGTGCTTGCTGGTTCTGGCCAGGTCTGCCATTGCACACCCTAAACGGAGGGGAGGCGCGAACGACGTAATGCAGGAGAATCTTCGCCCAACAGAACCCAACGTCCAACCTCCCACCATCTAGCAACAGACGTCTCCGGGGAGCACACTCGACACCACCGGCCACGATACCGCCACGGTCTTGTTTCGTCCATCGATCTTCGTCGTTGCTTGTCTTGTCTCGCATATCACCAGCTCGTACACGCATGCCGTACTCCATTATGCCATACCTCAGTGCCGTAGCACAGACATGAGCGCGACGTTGATGTATAACGGTCGCTTCTCAACCCTGCCGTGCCCGGTTTCCACGGCAAATGTGCTCTCATGAGCTGTAAATTCTTCACTCTCCTGTCCTCCGCGGCCTGCCGTGTCGGCCAATTGTACCCCGGCGATGCCTTGCCTGTTTCCATATCGTGACACCCAACCGAGAGCTCCGACGGGAGGCAGGAGCAGTCTCTGTTCATCTGTCTCTGTTCATTGGTTCTCATCTTGTTCTCTTTCTTTTCTTTCTTTCTCGCTTCCATCGCACGACCCTCCACCGCGGATGCTCTCATTTCCCCTGCCGTGTTTGTACCTCGCTCTGTCACCAGATATGACCAGCAAAACATCACCGTCTGCTCCCCACCTTGCACAATATGGCACAACGGTATTGCGGGTGCACGATACACGAGTGTACCAAAGCATCAGACAAAAGGCCCTTGGCTGCTTCGTTCTATGAGGGAGCGTACCCCCCATGCCTCACTTCATTGCCTCGTGAACAGCGTATTTAAGCACCAGTGTCTCCTAGGCTCTTCCGTCTTTCTTCTGTTTCTCCTTCTCTTCCTCTTTCCTTCGACTCGTAGACACAGTATCTCGTTCGTATTCTATGTCTACTGTCTCTTCCATCCCTTCTACTGTTCGTCATCAACGCTCGTTTTCCACTTCGCGTCTATGAAAAGAAACGAAAAACGTTAAGTAGTCAGAGTTTAATCACCATACCTTCATTTGTTGTTACTCCCCTTACGCCGCCATGATGCGTTTGTCACACGTGCAGTCCCTCCTACTACTGGCACCGGTCGTCTTTGCTTCGCCAGACAAAGGCCAACCTGCGTATGGGATTCCTTCGTCCCTTGCATACGTTTATGAAGACATTGCGAGCTAACATCATTGACATTGTACAGCACTACCACCCCGACTGTGCAAGACGATGCTGCCTCTCTGGTCTCCCAGTACGTGCCAGCGTCCGCCTATGTCCAGCTCACCGCCTCGGTGGCCGCCGCCGCATCGGCTGCGTCTGTCACTGGTGATCCCAGCTCGCTGTTCCTATCGGCGCTGCTGGCCACGGCGCCACCTGCCTGGTTCAGCTCGGCCGTGCCGCCGTACTTTAGTAGCAACATTGCCGCCCTCGAGTCAGCCATAGCACCGCTGCGCAGCGAAGCGGCCACGCTGTCGTCGACAGCGACGAGCGAGACCCTCGTGGTCACGCAGACCACCAACAGCCAGGGCAGCACGGTCACGACGAGCTACACGTCGACGTTTCCGGTCACGACGCACACGACGTCGTCGTCTGGCAACGCGGCAGCACCCACCGCCAGTGCGCAGCAGCAGGCTGGACTGGGTATTGCGGCTCTCGCTTTGGGCCTGGTGGCCATCTTTTAATACGATGCTCTTGGAATACATGGGCAGAGACTTGGTCTGAGTTGTCACCTTTTGATAAAAATATTTCTTGTTGGCTTCAAAGAAACGCCGCCTTCTATCCCGTTTATGTAGGTAATTTCGAAGGTAGCTAATTGATATCGACGGGGTTTTTTTTTTTTTTTTTTATTACATTTGCAGTTTCTCCCGATCACGTCTAATTACTTTATTACGAGCTAGGATAGAAAAATTCGCGAGTTCAATGTAGATTGAATCCTGTCAAAAATTTAAATTAAAAAAACAAACAATATTTTTATGCTATAATCCTTTTAAAATAGAAGGGAAAATGATAGAATGAATCGCCTCTGTTAATCGTACAAGTTTTCTGGCGGGGACAGAAAGTGTATCAAGATAGAATAACAAATGGCTTAACCGCGTAAGCCTTTTTTTTTTGCAGGACATGTAAAAATCAAACGATATTCCCTCTCCTCTCACCTTTGCGACCATTTTCAATGATGCACTGTGCCTCTATTTAGGCCATCCCCCGCCCCCTCTCCCTTGCTGACAAAATGAAGTAAACGAAGAGAGAGTAGTTTTGTAACTGGCATGCGCCGAAACCCTCAGTTTCAAGCCGGCCTTTTGCCTTCCCTGTCTAAAATTACCGAAAAAACGCTATCTGCGTCATGACATCGTTTAGATAACGTAAAGAAAGTCACACCCGTTCCCTTTTCTAGTTGTAGTATTTTTGGGTTGTTGTTGATTAGTGGTTGGGCATTTTCGCCGAGTTTGCAAATGGATGCAAAGTCTCTGCATGTCCATGTCCAGACAAGGGAGACACGGCCTTTGCTGCGAATTGCCACAATCCGCATTGGGTTGGGAAGAGTCGAGATGTAAAAAGGTGAGAGGAGGGAAACATAGCTCAAATGGTGAGCCGCCGATCGCTGAAACAACAGCAGATACCAAGACCAAAAGAAGACGGCAGAAACCTGTTCGTCGTGCAACACCGAGCATGCGAAGGTCACACAGTGAGTGCAGACATGGCCCTTTGATGGAGAATAGGTAGGGCCCAACAGAAAGTTGCCCTGATTTCCGACGTCCATAACTGGATCCACGTCCCTCTTTCCTCAAAATAGAACCGCAGTCTGTGACCAGATGGAACAAAAAATCAACTTTGGCCAAATAGGCTGACAAAAGCGACTATTCGTATCAACGAAAAGCAATTGTAAGCCTTAGGAACACGAAAATGTTTCCAGAATCCATCGTCCCACTGCCATAACCTTCTGATGTGGTTCGCGCCAGGGCTGAGCAAGACGCACAAAAGAGGCACAATGGTCAGGACAAGGATACAAGCCAACTCCCAGAGCTGAGATGTATAAAAAAAATCAACCACCCCAAACCAGATGCCGAGGGCTCGTCAAATAAATAAGAATGTTTGCGGAAGGCTGGACAACTGCCCGTGTGTTTTGCTCGTGGTCTCCTTGTTCCCTGTTGCAAAACAACAAGGAGCCGATGCTGTGAGGAAATGCTGAAAAATGCGAAATTGTAAATGAAATCGTCTAGTCCCGAGACAGAATAAGAGCATTACACCATATTGGGATATGCACTCTAAGCATGAGAGTCACCGTTGACTCGCTTAGAGGCCTGAGATTCGGAAAGTTTCTTCGCCTCCTCTTGGTGCGGCAAGAAAACGGCAGGATAGGCCTTTGCGTTGCTAGAGCTGGACAGCACCCGGTCGTAGTACTGCAAGAGGCACTTCAGACCAAAGTCATTCGGCGCGCCGCGCCGGGCGTCCTCGAGTGCAAAGGTACGGAAGTCCTCGTACATGCGCACGTTGAACTTGTCAGGAAGGCAGTGCGACCAAAACCGATACAGATGCTTCATCGTTGCTGGGACCTCGTTGTCCTTGGCACTCGCCCGCTGCTCGAGAGCTCTCGCGCGCATGTCGGGGTAGGGTTCCTCTCCGATCTTGCGACTAGTCGCCTGCTGGTCCGACGACTCATCGGACGAGCTCTTGGCGCCGCTGGCATCGGATCCGTTCACATGTGGCTGGTTAGACAATTCCCCACCAGTGGCAGCGGAATCAAGCTCGGATCCGACAAGAACAACCAGCTTTTCGACCTGCTCGTCCGGGTACGTTTGGTAGTCCTCTAGCGTCGTTGGAGCTCCATTGCTTCCGCTCGGTGAGAAATCCGGCACCGTGGCAGAGAGCTGGATCTCACCGCTGCGAGTCGGCCGACCGTTCGGTTCGGTGTTGCTGCCCCTGGTGGGACTCGTGTAGTCGTGAACGCCGTTGTCATGAGATTGGTACAGCATCTCGTTGCTGTTCACCGGGTACGCGGGTGGCGAAAACATGGGCTGTTGTGGCATCGCCGGATAGGCACCGTTCATCATGGGGTGAACGTAGGGTGATTGGTTGGGGCGGTTCACCGACCGGAACAAGACCGTTCTAAGATCTGGGCCGGGCTTGCGTGCTTCCTCATCGCGATCCTCGTGGGGCATCACAAATCCACTCCACAGGTACCGTGAACGAATCCACTCGTTTTGCTCCTGGTCGACAACATAGTCCAGGTTCTCGGACTGCTCACAAGCGGCCCTAATGAAATCGATTGATGGAGCGAGTTCCGACATTCTCTTGAACTTGGCAATCACAGACAGTGGAACGAAGCCCTGGTCGTTCATTTTTCTCCGCAGAAAAACGTCCTTGACGAGGTTATCAAGAGAAAAGTAGTACTCAACTTGCAAGGTCAACCCGTGGACCAATTCAACATCCATGTAGGGGCTGAACGCCTGAATAGGATACTGCGGCTGAAACTCAGTAGGGCCGTTCATAACACCATGAGTAGCGTGGCCGTGCATTCTCGGGTTGTTACTCACGCCATTCTGCAGGCGGCTGTTGAAGGACATCGGGCCTTGCGCGGCCAGTTGAGCCCGCGAGGCGTTTCTTCCTCCAATTCTCACGGACTTATGCTGGCCCCCATATGAATACTGCTGGTGAAGTGGGTTGAACGGGGCCGCTGTGGGTGGAAGTACGGCAGCACTGCTATTATAGGAGTTGGGTGGCAGCCTCTGTCCGTTCGGTTGGTATGTGGAGTGACCGATGTGCTGGCTGTTTTGCGTGACGCCGCCAGCCACACCGCCACGCCCACTGCGGAAACCACCACGTCCAGGACGCTCTCCCCGCGGTTCGGTTCGTTCTCGGTGGTTCGTGCCATGTTGATCCTTGTGCTCCTGTGAGTTGAAATCTTTCGCGGCAGAGTTGAAATGACTTGTATTCTTCCCTGCGTACGGCGGGCGGCGATCAGCATGCGCAGAGGGCGTGGGCTGGTGGTGCTGTCCATTCGCGTCACCATTGGCAGCGGTGGTGTGGGTGTTGTTGTGGTGGGCGCCCTTGAGGGCAAATTCCGATTTGCCAGTAGCCTACATGTTGATGTCAGTAAAACAAATTTGCACTGTTTGTGAAACACCGTATGAGACAACGCGAGGAGGATACGAGGGTAGCGTACAGTGTGGTCGGTGGTAGTCTCCTTGGGCTTCTCAGGCAGTGTGGAAGCGGAGGGTTTACGTTGTTCCCGAGGATGCGCGTGCGACGCATCAGTCGAGAAGCGTTTATGAGAGGTTGTCGTGTGGTTTGATGGACGACTGGGTAGTGTGCTTCCGTTCGTCTCTTTCGTCGCCTCGCGAACATCAGAATCGGCTTTATGAGCAGGGGAAGATACAGTAGCCGTCGCAGAGGCCTTCTCGGTGCCGGTCGGTGCTGTGCCGTTCGTAGCGGCACCGCTGGCGCTGTTGTTGTTGTTGTTGTTGTGGCCACTGGACTTCGATGAGGTCTCACGGTTGGCTCGGTTGCCTGCCTTCGGCTTGGAGCCGCGCACATTCGGTAAGGGCGTCTGGAAGGCAACGGTGGGGACAAATGGTAGTGGTGTCCAGCCCTTCTTACGGGACTTTGCAGAACCCGCATCCTCTTGGGAAGGATCGACTGGAGCCTCGACTTTGGTGTCTACCGGAGGTACCTTCGATTTGGGCTCTTCTGAGGCGGTGGCTGTGTCAGGCGTCGGCCAAGATACAGCATCACGAACAGGGGGCAAGGAATCGCGTGTGGCCGTAGTGAGCTTCTCGTCCCTGTCCGTAGATCTAGCACCACGAGGTGCATTGCGGCGTGCGTGGTCGTTTCCACCAACACGAGTGCTCTCGTTGAGCCGCCTTGTCTGCGACTTGGCATTCCCAGAAGATGCGGTGCCGTTGGCATCGACGGCAGCGTCGCCTCCTAAAGTCGCGTTGCCTTGCTTGCGTGTATCCTTGGTCTTCTCCTGACTAGTAGTGGCCGTGGTTACTGTCGATTTGCCGCTTGTCGCGACGGGCGGGCTCTGTTTGACCTTTGCGGCCTGCTCAATCATCCGCTGGCTCCAGATGTTCACAGTTGGGAGTGGCGCGGGAGCCAGCTCGATCTTAACAGGCTCTTTCCCATTATCGGCTTCCTCGGCCTGGGCCAGTTGTGAACCATCCTTGTCAGCGGCGGCTTTGGCTGCTGCCTTGCCCTTGCGGCCACCTTTCCGTGCCACATCGTCGACAGCGGGAGATCGTGTGCCAGGAGTGGAAACGCGACTCGGCTTGTCGCTGGAGGCCACAAGGACCGTTGCATCGTCGAGCGAGAAGTTCGACGTGGACTCGTTGGTCGTGCCAGCCAAGGTAGACGACGCTGCAGGAGATGAAGGAGCCTCGGAACCGACTTTCAAGGGGCTTGCATTGGCATCGTGATTCAATGTTTGTGCGGACGCCTTGCTAGAGTCGGTCGTGGTAGAGAGAGCCAAAGAGGCAGTAGTTCCATTTTGAACAACGGAGGCGGCGTTCTCGCTATTTTTGTCCGGTGTAGCTTGCGGAGTAGCAGCCGTCGTATTCGACGTCGGAGCAGACGTTTGGGATGATGGTATGGATTGGCCACGTGCGGCCTGGGCATATGAGAAACCCGACATAATGGCTGCGGGTTGAGTGATGGCCAAAGCGATCAAAACAAGGATGCGAGGAGCAACACAGGAGAAATCAGAGCGCACGCTCAGCAAATACTGCGTGATGCGCTGGCCCTGAAAAACTAGAGGCCTAGATTGTCCGCCAGCCTCGCAGCTTGCTATCTATGTTGGAAGCTCTCCAATCGATATGAGACCGGGCACAGCCGCCAATCGTTGTGTCCTGCAGGAGTACCAGAAGTTGGTTCGTGCTCGACACGTCTGCTGGTTCAAGACGAGATGTGATGCCGATGCCAGCCGGGTCGGTCGTGGGCACAAATAGCAGCCTCAAGTGGTGGTTATGAATGTGTGTTGTTGTGTCTGAGAAGCGGATTGGTTTGGCAGCTGCGAAAAAAAAGAGAGAAAAGTTAGCAAAACTGTTGCCCATAGGTAGTATCCGAGTCTTTGACTAGATTCCAATACACGTCCAAGCACGAAGAAGGATGCGAGTATCGAAACGCGACCCAGGGCCAAACGCGTGACAAAGCAAAGCGGTTGGTAGGCCCCGGATGTGGTTGCCTATTACCGACTATGCTCTTCCTGTGCGCCCCGAGAGTCCGACGATGCGAGTTTTGTATTTTGAGCAGTGCTTGCCTTTGGTTATTGACACGTCGATGGAAAGATGCGGTTCGAATGAGGTTCGTCAACACGCCACTCCGGAGGTGCTTTCGGGTAGCAAACAGTATCGAAAATCGAGACGGCAGCAGCACGATGCAAATAATCGTCGAGATGTACGGCAGCGGAGGAAGACAGTGTGCGTCAGGGTCTGAAAAACCAAACACAATGGCACACGACGGTTGTCGAACGTTGCGTGGGGTGTGTCAAACCGCGACAGGTTGTGCTGGATGGGTGCTGGTGTTGTGAGGTGTAATGCTAATCGAAATAACGCTGTGACAAAGGCAACCGATGCGAAATCATTAGCAATCGAAGCTGCCTGGGAGTGGAAATGGCGAGTTCGAAATGCAAAACGCAAATGGTTGGTGCAGAGACAGGGAGGAAAAGGGCGGAAAACGCGGTGGGCTCCGGAAAAGATGTGTTTGCCTTATTTTTTTTTCTCGGCTGTTTCGAACGAAAATAATACTAAAAAAACAAGAGGAAAAAACTTTTGGAAGGGCCGACAGAGACGAGAGGAAAAGAAGAAAAAGCGTAATGAAAGGGCAATGGCCGTCTGTCGGCGAGAACAAATACAAAAGAAAATGGTGTGGAAATGCGCAATTCGAGATGGGAATGCAAGCTGTGAGGGGCGAGAGCAAAAGCTTCCTATTGCATGCGGAGGTGAGGTCGAAAAGAACGAAGCAAAGAAAAGCATGCACGAGGTATGGTCTCGCGAGGCAAAAAGACAAGACTCAAGCCGAGAGTGTGCGTGTGAGAGGCAAGGGATTGTGGAGGGAAAAGAACAAGGGCAGGTTTGTGTGTGCAAAGTAAAACTTTTTTCCCTACTATTTTTTTAAAACGGGTCGCTGCTGAGTGAGTAGTGTCTCTCAGTGCGTTGTAGTGAATGCGGTGGTTGCTTGCGGGTAGGTTGATTGTGTGCGTTGTGCCGAAGAGGAGGCGACAGTGAGCTTAATTCGCGGAGGGGCAGGAGCGAGCGAAAGAACGCAATCGAACCAAAAGAGAAGGACGCAGCAAAGTGGAGGCAAGAGCGTTGTGAGCACGCGGACGAAGAGCAGGTGCGATCCTGGCCAGACTAACAACAACGGAAGGCGTGCGCCCTGTCACAGGAAAAGCAATTTTGGGGGCCACAGAGCGCAGTTGTTTCTACAACATACATCCCTCGTGCCTGCCGTCCAGTACGCGAATATGAGTCGGCAATTTTCGTCGTAGCGGAGTTGCGGCTTGCTGGTAGTAGCGATCGCGCTGTCGTGCGTACAACAGTCGAAAAGCACGGATTCGGAGTGCAGATTGTGGAGCCCAAGCACTAACAAATAAATACCTTGGCCAAGCGTGACAGCCCCGCCTAATTACAGGTCACTTCCGAGGCGCAAGTGCAGCGAAGGAAAGTGACTATTTATGAACAGCGTTCTTCCTAAGAGTTTAATATATGTGCATGCCCCTTACAGTGTTCTGTCAAGCTCGTAAATTGTCGTTGGTGCCTTCAACCGGAATGTGCTTTGGGAAGGCTGAGACGATGCCCTCCATATGTTACCAAGACACGGCAAGTGACGACGTTGCAGCAGTTATGCGACTCTTGCAGCTAGCTCATATCACCCCATCACAGCCGCGGCTCGGCTCCCCGGAAATATTTACAAGTAGGATACATCCTCGCTTAGTCTGTTAGGACTCCGCTCAATCTCCTTTTGCAAACTAGGATTTCTAAATGCCTTTATTCAAACAAAAACAAAAAGGACGCAGTTCAGAATTACAACATTTATACATGAGAGACAGCAGAGAGAGAAAAAACATGTGAGCTTATCCACCAGACGAAAAGCCCAGGAAAAGCCCAGGAAAGGATCAACGCAGTTTTAGGGGTGTGAGGTATGTAATATGTGACGGGGCGTTTGAAGTGGAAGTGTGCCGCTTGGGACACAGCAAGCCATCAACGCTGTGACGAGTCCGCCACTTTACTATCTCCCTCCGTCGGTCGCCGGTCCTTAGGACGTCATCCAAGCGGCGGCCCGGCGGGCGCCGAACGTCGTGGCCAGTCGCAGACCGCTTGAGCCCATCGGGAAATAGCTCACGAGGTACCACAACAAGCAGGCAAGTTGGATGATTGCCGAGATCAATGTGAGTATGGTGCTGTGAAGGCCAAGCGAGAAGTACAGCGTCAGGGCGATGGAGCCAAAGTAGGCGGCGGTGAATGGCAGCCGCGGTGTCGAGGCCAGGTGCTGCACATAGGCCCAAGGGCCCATCATAGCCGCAAACGACGACAAGAAAAGGATCGATCCAAGTGTCCATCTAGTCAAAGGGAAGGCAAAGGGTCAGCAGACCGTGGTCTTTTAAGATGGAAGACCCCGTGAGGTCCAAGGAGGCGGAAAGGCGAAAACCCCAGAGCTGAGGAGACTCACAAGATAACAAACTTGCGTGGGCGCGTCGCAACAATGGGAAACAAAGCAAAGCAGATTACAAAGCACGCCAGGGCACCAAGGTTGCAACCGCCGAAGATCAACAGTCGGTCCCATCGACTCACTGTGCATGGAGGCAAAGCGCCGTTCTGGTCAGCCTATCACAGATCTTTCTATTCACGTGGGCATGTGTCTTGGAGGTGGACGAGCTGGAGGAGAGGGTAGCGGGACGGCGTGCTGATCTCATGAGCATGCAGGCACGGGAGTCAAATGCAAGATCCAGGCACACCCGACGCGCATGCATGATCCACCAGTTGCCATAGCGGAAAACGCGCGCGAGGCGACAAGATAATAGAAACGGGCAGAGAAATGGGCTCCTCAAGATGCAACAAACTTACAGGCAAACCAGCCTTCTTCTTCTTCGCGCCTAGTCGGCGCAGGCAGCGGGGCACCGGCGCCCTCGCTTGTAGGCAGGCTAACATAGCCACCGCCATCACCAAACGGATTCAGGGACTGCAGCGAGGACAGAAGACCCGAACGCTGTGTGGTGTTGATAGGCACATCGGCTTCGCGCCGTGACCAGCCTAATGAGTTGAGAGAGTCTCGGAACGACTGTGACGTCATGTTGGGTAATCTTAGGGGGACGTTTCGAAAGAAAGTGGGAGAAGGATAGTTCTCTCACGCCGGGAGAGAGCGGGAACGTCGGTATTTGGAAGGAAGCAGAGGGCGAATGTGATCTACACAACACTCCCAGGGTCCCTAAATTGACAAACAACAATACGAAAAGGTGCCAGTAAGGTCTGTCTCGGGATGCGATGTGTTCGAAGTGGGTGTGTGGGAAAAGGGTGGGCGTGTGACCTATGGAGAGCCGCGAAGGTGTCGAGGTAGGACAGGTTGTTGTAGAAGGGTGTGGCCCGATACGGAGACGGACGTATCCCAGGCGCGGGCCAGGGCAGGTGCGAGGGCCGGGACGAACAGGAAAGGCGCGGGAAAGCGTATCCTATTATTGGGCCAGAGCTATATCGGTGCAGAAGCAAATTGTTAGCAGGCCGCCCATAAGTTGACAACTGAACATGCCTACCAGGCAGGCAAGGCGCCTAGCAACAATGCTTGCAAGCGTACCCAGTTGACGGTGCGCTCTACGAGCTTGACAACTTAGTCGAGACAGGGCAACGGAGTGGGCAACGTATGTCGTCGTTGCAAGGTCTCTTCTGATATCAATAGGGATGAAAAAGGATCGAGCGGCCTGTGGAGAGTGACGGAGGTAATTGTAGGAGAGCTTGGTGGTATGCCTGCAGAGTCGACGCGTGTGCAAACGGAGCGGGCGGCGCGAGAATCTGGCCACGGGGTGATGGGTGCAATGCGGAATAATGTCTGCCTGCAGCACGGTCGAAAAAGGTCAACGTGACGACGTCGGACAGGATGAACTACGAAGAGGGGGGTGTGTGGTGGTCGAAATACTGCTTTTGTTCGTCTCTCGTACATGTCGGGGCATTGTGAGGAAGAGAGCAGGCTCCTACGAATAGCACCTGCAGATATGATTGGTCCGAACCTTCTCCATCAGCAGGCGTCTGTGCGCCTGCCTTTGATTGGTCGCCGTGCAGGCAAGGCCATACGTTGTAGACCCCTTTGCCTCAAACATACACACACACGCGCACACGGCGCGCACGCATTCGCAAAGGGCAAAACCAGAAACAGACCAAGACACACAAGATACACGACGGCAAATGATCGTCCAGTCTATCCCTCCTGCCCTCCTCTTCTTGAGGCTGTGGCGCAGCACGCCATACAATATACACAAGTGAGGCAAGGCAAGGAGAGAAGAGTTGCTAAGAATTGCTGAGCAAAGGCTGCGGTGTGTCACTCCCACAAAGGGAGCAAAAAAAGGGTGTGGCAGGGCCAGGCTGCGGTGTGGCTCACTGTCTCACTTAAGCATGCCGATGCAGGTCACGACCAATGTGCGGATGGCTCGCGTTGTAGCCCACGTTTACGGAAGAAACAACGAGCATTGGAGAACGTGGTCATTGGCAAGAGCGCAGCGACCGGACAATGGGTGGGAAGGAAATATTAATTTCAGAGAGAACCAGGCGGGGTGCAGACAAACCGGGAAGAGTAAAAGACCAGACAGCGGTGCTCCTGCTCAGTCGCTTGTTGAGGCTCGCGGTAGCTGTCATCTCCTTTTTTGAAGCCTAGTTTCGCTCTCCAACAGCAAGACAAGACGCGGTCAATGTCTTGATATCTGAACCCGCCCTCAAATCTCCAGGGTGCCTGGGTTCCGTAGTTGTGACTCCCACATATCGAGGTATCATCGAAGCTTTGCCATGTCTTTTCTTTCATTCTGGACTGTCTGTCTGGCTTGCACACCCTCCCCAGGCGGAGTTTGGTCAGAAGACACAGGACACGAACGAGGCCTGGGCAATGGGTCGTTGGAGTGCACTCGCCGTGCTCATTTCCAGCCTATCCTATTGTCATCGCCTAAGGAAGACACAACGTAAAGTCAAAACAAGGACATCTCGAGCAGTTAACAAGGCGCCATGGCGAGAGACATGCAGGACGACAATAAAAGGTATAAATATGTGCCTCGCGCCGCATGCGCGCGCCGACCAATGATCACCATCTCTTGCCCTTTACCATCAAGCACGCCAGCCAAACAGACGCGAAGCCGACCCAAGCACGCATACACAGACACAGACGTCGTACACCACACATACACTACATACATACGCATTCGCAGAGACTGTCGCATCCCACCTCTCCAGCGCCATTTGCTCCTGCCCCTGCGCACAACCAGCACAGGCGGACGCACCGTGTGTTGAACTGTGTACTACAGCCCGTCTGCTTAATTAAGCGGCCACCCTCTTGCCAACATCCAACATCAACCAATCCCCTACCTTTCTGAAGAGTCAGATAATCCAGAACTGGTAACCCGGCCAGAGGACCTGCTGTCTGCCAGAATCCTGCAAACGAAAGGAAAGGAAAGCCACCAGGGCACAGAGACCAGTCGATTGGCTCAGCATCCAGCAAGCGTCCAAAAGCCCGCGTCAATGCAACTCGCCTCTCGGACGTCCAGTTTCGGTGTTGCTTGCCATTTTTTATTTCCATATTGCCTCTCGTCCCCTTCCTATCTTCCTTCTTCTGTGCCTTCTCCGTCTTTTCTCCCCGCTTCTCTTTCTCTCTTCGTCCTCTCCACAATAGTAGCCACGCGTGTCAGCTCGCGGATCGCCACTACTAACAGCCGCCCCGCTGCCCACGCCCAAAATTAGACCTCCGTATATTGTCTATACAGGGTGTGCATGCGACCTACTAACGGACTGAAGTTGGAGATCTCACAGACGCAGCCCAGCCCAGTTACAGCCTAGCGTGCTCGCTCCCAAAAGCCGCTCAAAGGCTTTCCATCCTTCGCCAGCCTGGGCTCACCATTTGGCATTTCGCATCGCCATTTCGCATTTGCCTTTGCCTTTCCAGACCGAGCCTGCCGTTGACTCAGCCATTAACACCCACTAGTCTACGACGGCAACCTAGCGGGTCCAGCCCGGCTTTCCCGCAACCACTGCTCAACTACGACCTATCTGAGGCTCTCCGTTTCTTTGATGGCCTTGCCTCTCTGTGCCTGAGAGCAATTCCAGTGATCCGAACCCCAGAAGACCACTTGATTTGCGGCAGTACCAAATAGAGCGCACCCGAAACTCAAGGACCTCTGACACCGCCGGAAAGCGGCTGCTCTTTCAGATCCCACTCTGCTGCCGTTCGACCCTGTTGCGTCACACTTGGGTACTGCTACTGTACTTACTTCCTGCTGCTGCGCGCCCCCAGCTTGCATTATCAAGCTGTCTGCCTGCCATTTTTTCGAGATTCGACCAGCCAAGCCAGCCAAGCAACGTAAGTCGTTTTCCGTTTCCTTTTATTCCGGCTCCGTCCTTTTATTTGTTTCTTCTCTTTCCCGGCATTCTTCTACCTTTCTGTCCTCTACCTCCTTCCTCCCTGTTCTTGATTTCCTCCCTTGGCTCCTCTCCTTCCTCCATATTGCAGCACTTGTCCCCTGCTCCTTCCTCCGCTTGTCGCCTTAGGGAGACAGCCATAGTGCGTGCAGCGCAAATGCCACAAATGGCCCGTTACCTAATGCAGACTAGTCTCCTAACTCGCTTTCCCAGTTGAAACCCCAAACCTGGCGGTCAACGAGGCCACCGCCCGCCTTCCGCCTTCCCACGCACAGCGCTCCAAGCAAATTCCCCTCTCTTTCTCCCTCCCTTCGTCTCCCCTCCTCACCCGTGCACTTTCCCCCAATAAGACGAGCAAGAGCGGCCAACCTGGCTTCCTGTGCCGTTTCCCTTGATTCTTGATTCTCGTTTCTCCGAGAAGTCATTTATCTTCATTCTTACTTTTCACCTCTTCCTTTTCCTCTACCTTTGGCGCACCCTCGACCGATCGCATTCCGTCACCCCTCATCCTCCCTCGTCGCCTCGCTTCCATACATCCCTTGACTGCTCTCACACACTTCACTCTTGTCTTCTATCAGGCCCAAGTGCGACTATACAGTCTGCCTCGACAGACCGCATTTTCATCTCTACCTGTAGGAGACTTGGCCCTGTTTTGCGATCCTTGTAAGAGGCACTGTTTGTTCTTGAACTGTGTGACTAACCATCCTCGTAGGAGCGTCTCTTTTCCATACCCCACAGATTTCTCCCAACCCTCCGGCTCCAGCAGTTTCATCGCGCGCTCAACCAATCGCACTTTGGACGCTCTCCGTCATCATTCACGCCATCGAGAATCGAGGAAGACGACAGTGACAAAGTGTACGAACCATTGCAAGAATTAGCACCTTATCATGGCGCAGCACGGCTTCGGCCAGATGGGCGGTGGCAATGGTGCCATTGACCCCAACGACCTCACTGGCGGCTTCGGCCAGTCGTTCCAGAACAACTTTGGCTCCAGCCAGAATAACCACTCTACCGGCTTCTCCAGCGGTGCCGCACTCATTTCCGACGACGACCTCTTCGATACGCTTGGCAGTCCTGCCGATGCACAATCCGGCCTGGGAGGCCACGATTTCTCCGGTATGACCGGCGTCGGCCTTGGCGGCGGCTATTCACAAAACATGTTTGCCCAACACGGCCTATCACTCGACCAGGCAAATATCAACGGCTTTTCCAACACACCAGAAGGCGATCCGATACAAAGTCCGTTCGTGAACGGCATGGGCCAGTACCGGTCTATGCAGCACCCCCATGCCTTTGGCTCGCTTCAGTCGCCTGGTGGCTACACCGGCTCTCCGCTGGCCACCTCAAACTTCGCCGGCGACGAGGCCAGCGAAGCTGCCCTTTTGAAGTCCCGCGCCCGCCTCTCCCAATCCATGCCTCGCAAGGCGCCCACCGCACGAAACCCGCTCAACTCCAAGTCTATCGGCACCTCCATTCCTACTACGTCAGTCGACTCCTTCGTTGGGTCCCCACAGCCGATCCGCACAAATGGTTCAAACCACGAGAAGTCCGCGTCAGGCCAGTGGGCACAGACACCCAACAGCCTCTCTTCGTTCCCCGGCTCCGGCTTTTCGTCTCCAATGCAGCCCGGCGGCCTCCACAGCGCCCAAATCAATGAACTTCTCCTCAAAGGTGGCACATCTATGCCCGCAAAACTCGGCGCCCCAATCAACACCACGCAGGAAGCCAAGCGGAAGAGACGTCGGGAGTCGCACAACCTCGTCGAGCGACGCCGCCGTGACAACATCAATGAGCGTATCCAAGACCTCAGCAAGCTTGTGCCCAGCCACCGGTTAGAGGATGAAAAAATCAAGAAGCTCATCTCTACAGGTACACCGCTGTCACCGACTTTGACGGGGTTGGCGAGCCCCTCACAGGCCACATCGGGTCTGGCCGGCCCGGGAGCACGGCGGGCGGCGGGCACGAGTGCTGGCAACATTACCACCGGTCTGCCGCTTGAGGAGAAGGACAAAGGTCCCAACAAGGGCGATATTCTCAACGGTGCTGTCAGCTGGTGCCGCGACTTGATGTGGATGTTGGACACATACGTCTCGCGTCAGGAGGAGCTCATTGAGTACTTCAACGACCGTGGCGAACCGATGCCCTTCACCATTACTGACGACGAACGCCGGCTGACCTCGGAGCTGATGATTGCCATGCGCAACCCCGACGGTGCCGAAGGCGAGAAGAAGCACTTCACTTACTCGCGGACGGACGGGTCCGGCCTGCGCGTACCCGACTACACGGACTACAAGGGCGACCCGCTAAACGGCTCCGGTCAAATCGATACACTCTCGCTGCTGACGGGCAATGGCGGCACTGGTGTTATCGCCACGCAAGATCTAGAGCAAGGCGATTTCTGGGGCGACGACGACGACGGGGGCGATATGGAACTCAAGGAAGAAGACGAGTTCATGGATCTCTCATAAACTCGTCTATCCTGAAGGACCTTCTCTTCCCTCTTTCGATCTGTCTCCGCCAACGTCATCTAATTCAAGCCACCGATACGTTTACCCTTTGGTTCACGGTCACCTTCAATTCCACCCCTGTACTTTCCTACTGCCTCGATTTTGTTTTGGGTGCACATGTTAGGCATCAACTTTCCCTTACAACCTTATCCTCGCACACTACTCACTTTCTACTCTTCGCTTTTATGCACCGGTATTGGGACCGTTCACTTCTTATTTTACTTTATTTTCTTTTTTTTTCGGTCCACCCATTCTTACTGCTTTCTGCTTTTGTTCAGGTCTGCTCATTTGACGTCGCTATATAATTGCTGGCTTTTATTTTGCTTTTTTCATCTATGCTCTCCTTGAGTCGACTTATTTTTCGGACCTTTCCAGTTGTTCGCGTTGTCTCGGTGTTCATTTTCTGTACTTCGATGTGGGTCCTTGTTATCAGCTTTGCTTTGATTTTACCTTTGACTGCTTTACTACGGATGGATGGTTGGCCGTACGGAGTTTATCATGTTCTTTAGATACACCCCATACTCTATGTCTGTTGTTGCGTCCCATGGTACGCTGTTGTTCGAAGGGGGCTTGCACTTAGACACCGGTTTATATTGACTGAATACTTATACATTGACTTTTTCCCACACTGGTTCGCATAAATGTATGAAGTGTTGCAAAATATGAATATTTGCACCTTAAACAAAATCGTGACGTGATGATTTATTCAGACGAATTGGTCTTCGCAAGCATAACCATCAACAGATTACATAACTGTACATAACAAAGGAACAGAAAGCCTTTCACCAGTGCCGTACACAGAGTAGGTACTCGCTCATAGACGACAGCAGATTCCAGACATCCTTTCTCTTCATATCTTCGAGTAGCGCAATACGCTCTAGCGCCGAATGGCCGTTGAGGTGTTTCCAAAAGACGGGCCACATCTCGGCGACACGCTCGTTCCACGCCGTTGTCTCGTCCACCGGGCTGTTGCCGCTCGTGGGATAGCGAATCCGCGGGCCTTCGTGTTGTGCCGCCACGTCTTTCTTGCTTGCAGGTGGGGGTGTGGCACGGCACGCACGCAGGTTGCGCTCAATGGCGCTCAGGAACAGACTCTCTTTGCCCGTCGGCTTGCTCGCATCCATAATTACGTATGGCTGGATGCCTGCGAGATGCGGCGCATTGTTGATTGACGGGTGGCTTGTCCGCGTGGGCAGTGGCTTGCGCGCGTGGACCGTGGCCCGCTCAGCCAGGCTATGCGCCGCCTTTTCGGCCATGCGCTGGCGCCGCGCTCGCTCGGCGGCGTGCTCGGCAGCTGACTTCCCACCATGCTTAGCACGGTCGCGGTCGTGGCGCGCCGAGGACGGCATCGACGACATCGTGCCAGACATTTCCGACAAGCCGCCAATCTCGCCAACGTCGCCCTCTTCGCCGTCGTCCGAATCGTCTCCAGCGTATTGTTGTTGCCTCCGGTGTTCCTTCTCCTGGTAAAGATTGCTACTGCTCAGACCACGGGACAGGGATGTGCGGGAGGATTGAACATTGTCCCTGCCACCGTCTCTCATCTTTTGCTGCTGCTTTTGCTTGATGCGTGCAAGGTCCTCGGCCTCGAGGTTGTACTCGACCTCATATTGGATTTCGGGCCAGACAACGACGTAGGCGAATGTGCACAACTGGCAGACCCAGCCGCCGCGAATCAGCCATGCCAAGATCCGCAAATACGCCGGACGCAGGCTCTTTGTTGGGCAAAATGATTTATACGGTCGAGGGGCCGAAGATAGGCTGGCAAGAAGATCCGGTAAAGGCGGTGCAAAGGGAAATGTCTCTGCAAAAACAGCAGAGGCTCGGGCTAAATGGTCAATGTCGCAGTTTGGCGACAGGATATACACGTCCCTAGCATGTATTGGCGGCACGGCCATCGCCCTTCGCCAGTATATGAAGTGCTGTGCATAGGCGCGTATTTGGTGGATCGTGAGTATTGTGTCCGGGAGCTGTGAAACTTGATAAAATCTGCACGGTATTAGAGGTTGAGACGCAAATGCGGGATCCGCAAAGAGAGTCAGAGCACTTACGATAGAGTCGGCTTCGAAGCCTTGACAAGTTCGATCATAGTCGCAGCAGCCTTATCTCCGCGGGCTTCGAGCTCCGCGATAATCTTTGTCTCGTCGTCATCCGTGAGAAGCAGGGCGAAGCACTTGTCAAAGGCTGGCACGCCGTCCAGCGTTTCGTGCCGCGAGACATTGTTGGCAGTGGTGAGCCAGAGATTTTTTAAGGAATCGCCTGCCTGGGGCTGTATATCGGTAGCGAAGAATGGCACCGGAATCTGGACAGAATGCCCGACGGATCCCTTGCTCAGGTTGAGTTCCAGAACGGCAATCCGGTTGCGGGAGATCGCCTCGTAGGTGTCCCTCATGGACGCCGCCAGCGACGATACTGCCAGAATGTCTTTCCACAAAACACTCATCTTTACTCCTACACGAGGTATTAGCATATTGAATCCGGGATGGATAGATAGTAAGGGGTGGACGTCGCGTACTGTCTTCTCGTGCGTGGTCTTTGAGCTGTATGATTTTCTTGCACTCTTGCCAGATAAAGTCTCCGCTCTCCTGGCAATACTTGTACACTTTGTTGACCTCCCGAACAACATGCGTATACATGGTGTCCAGCAACTCGTTCGCTTCGTGACGCTTGGGGCTCATGATGAATACCAAGGTGAACATGGTCATCGAACTGACTTTCTCTTCCTTGTCTTTGCCCTGCGTCGCTGAGGCAGCACCGCCGGCGGACGTCTCGCCAGCACGCCCAGTCGAGGCTCCACGCGTCGATGCCGCCTTGTCCTTGGCTTTGCTGTTGTTCTTATCCGTTGCGTTTCGCCGGCGCGCCCACACGCCGTTGCTTGGGACGTGCACCGGGTACGAGATGTACGTAACCGAATCAAGAGACATCTGGAAGCGCTTTTTGTGGAATGCACGCGGTGGCGTCAAGATGCCCTCCAGGGCCTTGGTCGGCAGCCCGACAACATACTCCCATGGCACAAACTGCGTGCCATTGTCCGCCACGAGGTGGTCGTCATGGTTCCAGCGCGCCAGCTCACTCGGGTTGGGCATAAAGTCCCGGGACCCACCGAGTGCCGCTCTCGCGTGTGCGGCAGTCGACTCAACAAAAATGTCATCATCGTCGACCTCCTCATTGCTGAGTTCCTTGCGGTGCTGTGAGTCTTGCGGTGGGGTGATGATACTGGGGTAGTGAAAGACGAAGCGCGGCCCTTCACGATTCCGATTGATTACGAGCGCCACGCCCATAAAGCTGGACGTGTCTGGTAGAGCCATTGACTGCGCCATAGTCGGTCACTGCATCCTCGGTTGCGCGCCCGTCTTTCCCGCGATGGTGATTGTTTGTCGTTAGAGGGCGAGATGCAGTGAATGGGAGAGCTCTGATGATCCGCCTGTAGTATGTCGTATTACAGGGCTGCTGTTTTAGTGACGGCGCTATCAGTGAGTGGCAGCTATTTATGTGACTAAGCATATCTATCCCCGACCCACACCTTTTAACAATCTCAAGTGGCATCGGCCGGTAATGTCAATGTCAAAGTAAATGTACGACAATGGACATTACGGTAGTCAATCAGCAACAAAGGTCAAAATATGGATGGAGGTGTCTTTTGTTCACTTTCTCATTCTTTTTTTTTTCTCCTCCAGAAACGGAGATATAAATTTTCACCAAATAATATAAGAAATTATAACACATTCGCATTAGTCTCATCAAATATGACAACAACATTTTACGTTAAAGTAGCTGTATAAAACACTTGTCAATCGAATGACAACGCCCCAACCGTCTAATATTCAGGCCCTTTGGAAATAAATAAAGCTAAGAAACTATGTGTTTGCGTTGGAAGCAAAAATCAGCCACCATTTCGACCCATCTTTCTCCAACATCAGGCGTCATCCGTCACGCCCGAATACCGCAGCGACAGGGCATCAAGAAAGTGTGAATGGCGGATGCCAACGGGACGACATTCGGCAAAGGTCTTGATTGCCTGTGACAGCTCGTAGTTACAGCGGTCCACCAGGTAGCAGACGATAAAGTAGCCCGTGCGGTTGAAGCCGTAATGGCAGTGCACGCCAATCAGGTATCCCGTCTCAGCATCAGATGCGGCAGTTTCTTCCGATGCCGACGTTGCCCGCTCAGCAAGCGCCTGTTTCTTTTGCTTTCTCTGCTTTGCCTGTAGGTTTTCTACAAGTGCGTGGAAGACTTCGACCTCGGCGTCGGTCGGAGGGATCTTGGACACGGTGGGGAATTTGTGGTAATGGATGCCTCCCGCCTCGAGTTCGCGGGGGTCATAGACCGGGTTGTCATGGGAGATGTCAATGACATCCTTGACAACGTTGGCCCACCGCTTGACAAAGATCCTGGGGCTGTGGACCTCGTCGACCTGCCGCAGGGTCTTCATGGCACGAAATATACCAGCGATCGGTTTCGAGACAGGCTCAACCTTGCTCCACTTCTCCAGGTTCTTCACGTCCCACTTGCCCTCGCGTGACAGGAAGCGCAGTTGCCAGCCGCGGTCCAGCCGCCCTGTCACATGGCGTGCGAGGAAGTTGGCGACGATGCCGGCTACGACACCGACAGTGGCCGGTGTGTAGATCATGGCATGGCCTGCTGGTGCCGGTAGGACATGCGACTCGACAAATTTGGGCGGGTGACGCCGGAGAACGGGGATATCAATCTTATCTGACGCCCCACGGGGGGTCGTCGGCGTCTCATCGTCATCAGCCGTTGATGTTGCTGGCCGGGGCAAAAAGTCCTTATCGGCAATGTCGTCGATATCGGGCGGTTTGACTGCCGAGGCCTCGCCATTTACTGCTCCCGTAGTCGCGGGAACGGCTGGTAAGGTGGCTGCAGCGGTCGAAGGGACCGTTGTTGTGGTATCGACATCGGCAGCAGACGCTGCCGGTATAACGGATGATGCATGCAAAAACGAACACACTTTCTTTGCTTCCGCCGGAGGTGTGATGTGGTCGCCATCGCCAGCGATTAGGCAGACCGGTAGCTGAAGCGATTCCCACACAGCCTTACCGGAGAGGCCGCTCACTTGCGCGCCCGACGCATCAAATGCTGGCAAACTGCCCCACGCCATGCGGCGCCAAACTGCCGATTTGCTTTGCCAGTTAAACTTGGCCTGCAGGATCTTCGACTCTTCGTCGGCATCGTGGCCGACAAACCGGCGGACACTGGCGCTATTAGGGCCTCCGCGGGCGTCCCAGGCACGCCAGATATCGAAAATGGACGTAGGGATCCATAACAGTGTTTTGAAGATTGCGATCTTCGTGCGGTCGTCCAGACCAGCGGGCGGGCAGATGGCGACCAAGCCCGTGCATGGCGACTCTTTGGGGGACTGCCGGCTGGCTAGCAGGGCAGCGAGGCTGCAGCCCATACTGTGGCCGATCAGGACGACACTCTGCTCGGGCCGGCGGTACTGGGCAATAACCACCTCAAGTATATCGACCAGCGCTTCGAACGAGTAGGCGGCCCAGTCCTTGGGCGCAAAGGTGGAGCGTCCGCAACCCGGCAGATCGACGGCCAGGCAAGAAGCGCAGTTGGACATGCGGGTCAGGAGACCGTCGAATTGCGCCACCGAGCCGCCAAGGCCGTGGACGAAGACGAGGAGCGGCAGGGGCGCCGGGTCGACCGGCATCTGGTCTTCCTGCTCATGGCGTCGGAAAAAGACACGAACAGAGGGGTAGGTGTAGCGGGCCGTCTCGACCTTGATCAAGGACGAGTGCTTCTTCAGCAGCGGCGGGTCCGTGGTGTGTGCATCTAGAGAGAGGGGCATTAGAGATACAGAGCCCAGCCTCAGACTGTAAGGGAACGGACGAATTGACGAACCGTAGATAGAGGTCATGGCCGAAGGAGCTGGGGCCTTCACAGGGCTGCGACCAGTGTAGACTGGCGCGGCCTTTCAGTGCGCGCACTCTGGGAAGCTTAAAGTCGCTCTCGCAGACTCGATCGCCGGTCGTAATGTAGGCCCTGATTCGTGCCACTTTTTCTCGTGTCCCTGAGGTTCCTTTGGTAGCAATTGCAGAAATGCCGCGTATGGCTCGACAGCAATGGCGAAATAAGAATGCAAAGGAGCAGAGACAATCAAAAGATAAGTCAAACCAAACTTGGGTGGATGTGCTTTGTGTGACTCCAAGTTGGAGCTTCGTTCTCTCAGCCCACACTGTTTGGTAGCCACTCAGAGCAGTGACATCACACACATGTGTCGGGCGGGTTGGCTTCCCAGACTCTGTCTGGCTCCTAGCGGGTCGTGCTTTCCGTTTGATGGGTGGCCGTGGGCTATGCGATAACGAAGAATTGCGGCAGAGGCCAATTGTGTGCTTTGCGGCTTCCCTTTTTGTTGTTCCTGTTTGTGTTGCGCAAGACGGAGGTTTCCTTGCTTAAAATGTCGTTCTTTAATTTTTTTTGACCTTCAGGCTTTACGTATTAGGAAATAGTGGCGTTTCTCTGACTGCGGCTACGGGCGGAATAATCGCACGCACGACAGGCGCTACTACTACAGGTATCTTAACAAGTGCCTGCACCAGGAACATGCACCAGCGAATACACCTGACAACATCGACTCGGCGTTCGAAGAACAGCTTGGTGAATGGCGACGCAATCCACTAAACCAGTCGCAGTTTACGTGTTTTGTAACAGGTATATACGGCAAGCCGTAGATGCCCATTGCTCTATAACTGTGGCGATTGCATATGCGACTGCCGAGGCGAAAGGCTTTCCAAGACACAGGAGGCACACAATCATTGGCACAGGACGTGTTGGATGGCACTAACTTTCATTGTCCTCGTTCACTGTCAATTAACTGGTTATAATCACAAAAGAGATTGTCCACAAGAGTGGTCGGTCGAGCTACATGGTAGCTTACGCCATGCTTTTCTTATGTATGCCCGGATTCTTTCCTTCTTACTCGTTCTTCCATCCGGTGGGTATCAAGGCTGCGGCGACGTCGTTTACGCCGCGCTCTGTAGCCAGCATATTGAACTGCGATGCCGCGTTGCGAGTGTCCAGGACCTCGACACGCATGCCGAGGGACGTGATGTGTCGTTTCGTGTCGGGACTCAATGGACGTATCTCCGGTCCCAGACCAAGAATCAGCAGATCTGCAAGGCACGCTGGTTAGATTGCTTATTTCGGAGTCGAGATTCTTCTTCGAGCCTTGTTCGGACGGAAAGCGGATTCCTACCTGGTCGTGGCCACACCAGTCCCAGCAGGTTGAAGGCGCTGGTGTCTACCTCCCATTGCCCCTTCGGGTTGACCATGCTCTTTCTGTCCCCCCATGGCCGCCACGAAAACGCCTCTCCACCCACGAGCAGTACTCCGCTGCCGTCCGTGGTCTGGAGACCGCTGTTTAGCTTGAACCCATTCGAATAGCAAATGTCGACCGACGTAGACGGCACCGGCGTGTTGCCCAGTATGTCGAGGCTGCTAAAGTCGGTGGCGTCACGCGGTGCGGATGGTGGATTGCTGCTATTGCTTTCTCGCGGTGAAGATGCTTGTCTTCTTGCTGACGAAGAACTGTGGAAAGGTGTGCAGGGCCAGATTACTGTCGCCCGGGGGAGGGGAAAGAAGGGTGCTGCTCGTGGTCGTGGTGATTTTGCTGTTGTCGAGGTCGAGAAAGAGCTCTGAAACGGACGGCCAGAACGGATACTACCGCGGAGCGCGCGCGGACAACAATTCATGGCTTCGTAGGACTGGTTCGTAGGGAGCGCGTATGAAAGGAGGGCTGTGATTGTTGTGCGTGTCGCTGATTACGATGAGGGCGATGAACAGTTGAACCCTGGCTTGTCGGCTGACGTATTAAAGTGGGAGAAAATCCAGCCGATATTGGCACGTCCGGACTTTACCATCAGACATCCTAGCAACAACTCTCACACTAGTACTGACGCAGAAATACTTCCACAACCAACATATCAATTGAGATATCGGCATTAGGGCAATTGTTTTGCGATGGGTTGCACATTTCAAGACGTATACCGTCAGTCCAAGACAGGTAGACAGCCATAATTTCACGATACAAAAGGGAACGAAGGAGGCAAACACAGACATGCCGCCGCAGAAGTGGTTTTGTGTTATTTTTGTCCTTTTTTTGAGTTACCAGAAATAGAATAAAGGTGTACAGCTGTCGAAGAGCCGGTGGTCTGCCGCAAAAACAGAGCAGTCCGCATCCGTCCTGCCCAACACCATCCTCGTAAATGAAACACCGTGAATAAACCATGAGTTTGCCCGCTTCTCCACTCGGTCGGTACGGCGTTTTTGGAGCCAGCCGTGAGGTCATCCCGTTCCTCCCCAAGCGCTCTTTCCCTCCCTAAACTTTTTGTGCAAAAACAAAAGAGATTCGGCATAACGCTTATTTCTTCTTCTCGGATGCGCTCTGCTCCTTGAGCACCTTCTTCACGATCTTCTGCTCCTCAATAAGGAACGCGCGGACGACACGGTCCTGCACGCAGTTGGCGCATCTTGAGCCACCGTACGCGCGCTGGACGGTCTTCTTGGGCTTCGAGATCTGGGCGTACTGGCGGGGACGCAGTGCGGGGATCTATATTCGTGGGGGAAAACGACGGTCAGCATATAGTCAACACGGCGGTCCAAAATAGCGAAATGGACACTGAGTCATCGGCCCGAGCGAAGAGTTGGATGCGGCGCGAGACAATGAGACAAAAACGGGGCTGGTCGTTCGCATGGAGAAAATTGTTCGTGTCCGTCGGTCATCCAAGGGTATAAGAGATCGATTCGTCGTGTGCCTTTTCATCCATTCCCATTCTCGCTCGGGCCACAACTCGTTCCATTTCTGTCATTTGCCGGTAAGTCGTCGTGGTTCACTTACACCAGGCAGCTTGATGCCGCAGTCACCGCACTTCGGGGCAGTGCCGCGCTTCTTGATGTGGAGGACCCGGAGCTCGCCGCCGGGGGTCTTGACGACACGCGTCAGGTTCGACGACGTGTTGTACCTATTACCATGCCACCAATGTCAGTTGATGCTTGCTCCTCCAAACTGAGTTCGTCGTGTTTATGTATTCTTTCTCCGTTGGATGGGTGAAATCGGGGACTGGATGCCAAGGGAAATGGGCGAAAATCGATTCATTCGAACAAGGATTGGCTGCTTCGTTACGTACCCGTTGCGGCGACGGTAGACAACTCTGTTGTTGGCCATTGTTGCTGTTCGATGTGCTTGGTGATGTGCGATAGAGGGATCGTGAGGAAAACGAAAACTTTCGGGGCTATGAATTTGAGGGAAGGATGAAAAAAACCTAGGAAAATATTTTTGGTGCGTTTTCCAAAGGGGGGCAGCATCACATGACCGACCCCAATAGAAAAAAAAAAGACCAGCCAGAGACTAAACCCGTGTGGCTTAATTGTGGCTCAAATGTGGAGGTCACATGACATTTACTTGTCACTTGTCGTTCCATTCCGCACCGCATGCGACCCACCGCTCTCTACAACGACCACTGAACAGAGATCGAGAAATGTCATCATTTGCAACGAGAGCTTCCATGAACTGTTACGAACCCAATACTCCTTATACTCCGTGACACTGTGAAGAATAACCTCCATGATAAAAACACCGCTAGCCAAAACCTTGTATTTGCGACCCAAGTAACCACCATTCAGAGAGTAGCCCAGTCCGGCTCCTCTCGGGCTTTCCAAGGTTTGATATTCTTTCCATTGCGTCTGCGGCTCAAGGTAGCATGGTCGACAACCTTGCGGAACTCCTCGTTGGTGATGTACTCTTTAAAGCCCTTAACTTCTTGCGCTGCCCCCAAGAGCGACGCGTGGCTTTTGGCATGTAGAATCTCGGCTGTTGCAGGAATCAGAAAATGTGTCAGCAGGTCGAGCGCTCGGGGCTAGGGACAGTCGTCCTTGTCGATTAATTAAGCCCCAGTCCTGCATATGTAGATATAACTTACGTGATGCAGTCGACTCAGTTGTCAACGGTTGGACCATTCTCGGTATCGTACTCCGGAGGCTCCGTAACTTTGGGTGGACATATGTTAACCTGCTGAACCCACTCTAGCCCCTCCTCTGCATCAAAAGAAAACGTGTTGCTGGCGTTGACAGCTCCTCAGAGCAACATACTTTGAGATGAGCCTCTTTGAGTTTTTGGAGAGCGGCTTCAAGCTGCGCCTCGTTCCACTCCTCGAAATTCACGTCTTGTGCGGGAGGTCGCGGGCCTCCTTTACCCGTAGGCCTGTTTGCCGACATGCTCGATTGATATGTGCAGTCGAGGGTTAGGCCACAGCTGTTCGCAGAATCGATGGTCGAGATGAAGCGCGCCGAATTCCTGTCAACCGTGACGCCCCACAATAAGCAGGCCAAAAGATCGCACTGTGGCTTATACGTATCACGTGATAAATCAAATTCGCCAGTGTCGTTTTTGACAAAGGTACAAAATAGACCGTATATCTTCATCGGGCACACTGTCCAGCCTCCCGCATTTGCACTGCACACCAAACGCCTCGACTCCATCGAACCATCATCGCACGCGTCAAACTGCATCACTGAGATCGCTTTGTTACTTTTGTCACTTTCAAAACAGTGTCCATATTTCATTGGGTCTAGCCTCGATCAAGTCTGTCACAGCGTGTGTCGAACACAAGGCGTGTTTTTCGCCTCTCCCTTTTATTGGACATTCTTTCAACCTGTTCCTCCCTCTGGCATCGTCGTTACTATCGTCACGCGCTGACCGTATCATACACACGGTGATCCAACTTCCGACCTTCTTTCGCAAACCCCTTTAGAAGTTTCAGTTGTAGCAACGCGGTTGCTGCTCCTGAGCTTCGCTACCGCCTCAACCACGGACAAACCACGGGTATTCTTCCCGGCCGACTTCTCTCCCACAGAGACCTCTGTCATCGACTCCACCGTGGCTTCCGCATCAACACACCCGGGGACCCCCAACACAAACGGGACCAACGCGCCGCAGCCACCCGCGACCGGCCAACCGTTTCCCGATAGCGAAGGCTTTGAGACCGATACTTCTGCGCTTCTGGCGCAGGGACAGACATTCGCGCTGGCTTCCAACGCCCCCCAGCAGCCTCCGGCGTGGAGCCTGGGGTCCACCGCGCCCGGTACGACACCGATCCCCCAGAACCAAGGCACCCCGGCGCGTACTAATGGAACGGCGAATGGTGCAATCGCCGCGTCTACACCGATCGGCGCCGTGACTCCCGCCCGCCAATTGATCACTGCCAGCACACCTGCGACCTCGCCGGCCACCACGACTCTGGTCGCGCCTCCCGAAGGCATCTACCGCTCGTTTGATGATCTTTTAACTGCCGTCCAGCGCGTCGCAAAGGACAACGGCTACGGCATCGTCAAACTTCGCGCCTCCAACTACCGCGATGCCAAACCGACGCGCTACGACCTCGTGTGCGACCGTGGCGGCGTCAAGTACAACAGCACTGCGAAAAAGCGCAACCCATCCACGCGCAAGGTCGATTGCCCCTTCCGTGCCAAGGCTGTTTGTGAGGTGTCGCTGGCCAACCAGTGGCGCTTTGTCGTCCAGGAGTCCCGTCACAACCACGAGGCTCGCGTACCGGCCGCTCCTCCAGGCCAAGAGGCGACGCCGATTGCGCAGAATCTGCGCAGTTTTACGAACAAGCTCGACCGCATTAGCCATGATGTCAGCCACGGCTTCCAGGAGATGAACAGCCGCCTTGATAAGTTTATGGAGTCGATCGAGAAGCGCCTCGAAGCCGTGGAGCAGCGTCTAAATAACAATCTGGTCATGGCAAACGCCATGCCACCAAACTTGGCCAATGGCCTCGGAGGCGGCATGCCTGGCCAGCAAGCTGTCCTGGACAGTCGCTTGAACAATGTCGAAGCAAGACTCAACGCTATGGAGACGCGAGGCTTGGACATGCCGCTGGATGACGTCGACTCTCGAATGTTGTCAACAGGCGTCATGTAGCAACGTGATCAAAGCAACAAGTCTACATCTTCACCAACTGCAAGTCCTCTTGCCAGGACAATGCATCCACACTTGGCTTAATAGCCAAGGCTGTCGACAACATTCTTACTCTTCCCGCTCGTATTTGGGTTGTGGTTTTCTTTGAGGTTTTGTCGTATACATCCGTCTTTGCTCTCTTTTCCGACCCTTTCTATGTCTTTCCCCAGATACTTCATCCGTCCCTTATTTTGTTGCTCATTTCGTTTTACCACTATCTGTTGGTGGGTGAGCGACAGTTTGCGCACGACATTGGCTCACGTCAGTCCGGCTCTGATCGTTCCTTTGTTCACGATCTATAAAATAATTAGGGACGAGAGTTTCGATTACTCTCCTGTGACAAGAAGGTATACGGTCAGTGCCGGCTTGCCTTTTGTATTTTTTGTCTGTATTCACGTATCACCCTTTTGTACTTTATCCTGCTGGCCTTGTCATATATTTGTTTCGGTTTCCTAGTTTTGTGGCAATCACTTTCTTTGCTTTCGTTTTCATTTTGTTGCTTTGGGTGTTTTCTGTCTTCGAGTCGGACATCTTCACAATATTGGGTTGGGTGGTTATATTGTCAGGATACCCTACACAACAATGTTCGATGAAGTGTAGTTTATGCGGCGCAAGGTCAGGAATTGCGTTTTTTTTTTTACTTTCGGGACTCGATATGCAGCGTCCTGATGTTTTATAATATCCGGTCGACTATGTTCCTGTGTGTATGTCTCAAAGGCCTACCCTTTTCTCAGTCTCTTTTCAAAATACTTCGATACAAAATATGGAATTTGTACAACGCAATACGAACTATTACTGATATGCATGTGAGATCGACCAGTTATATGATTTCCGGTGTATTTCAGACCATAATTTATTAGCATGCTTTCTTTACCTACGTGTTGAAGATTAATCTCACGTCTCAATCGCCCTGACTGTTGTGTTTTATAGAGTATAACAGTTCCGTCACTCATTATGCTCAAGTGGGTAGCAGCAAAGTGCCAAAGACAATGATCAAGGCTGCTAAATCAGACAACGATGTAGATCCCGCGTACAAATCTATTTTTATCAGCCCAAAGAAGGTAACCGGAATGGAGACTAGTAATGCAGGTCAGCACCTTGTACGTCTTAACAGGGTCGCAATGCCCATGAGCACAATTATTGTTTTTGTTCTTATGTATTTAAAATATGTTGGAAACAGACGTTGATATACTCCGTAAGATATAGAAACCCTTTCAAATCTAAATGGCAAGAAAATACATAGTGCAGGTGAGAATATTAAACCAAAAGACTCAAGCTTATTAACAGGCGACAGAAAGCGATGGCATGGGACGAATGTGTAAGGTAGAATAAGGTGTGACGAAGTCGACAAGCTTTATGTAATAAGCTCGTGGGATAGACAGAAATGGACGCTTGTAGAGTGGTTATTATGTACACAGCCCAGGTGCTGAAAGTGTGCAATAAGGGCATTAAGAAAGAAGGCACGAAAACCAAAGCCAGGTAGCGGCGAAATTGGACATGAAAAGAAATCAAAGCTGCCGTAAATAAACCAAGGAGACATAGAAGTTCGTCCAGAAAAGCTAGCCTATCACAGGGTTTGAAGGGGTATAAAGGTCTCCTAAAGCTGCCAAAGGAGCAAGTGTGTAAATGTGTACATTCTACATCTCTTGAATCCAGATCTGTGAGATGGGTAATTAGCATGCGACTGTGAGTAAGAAACGACACAGAAAAAGATAAAACTCACCTCCATCTTTCCGATATCCAGTCTCTGCTTGCGTGCATTTGACTTCGCGGTCATCACAATCATTTCGAGGTCGTCCTGATCGCCCATGGTGACCATGTCTCCGTCTGGGCCGTCATCATCGCGAACCTTGATCTTAAACCGACGGCGAATGCCAAACTTCTCGCGGATACGGTCCACGAGATCGGGGAATTCAATGGCAGCACCGATCATGATGTACCGAACGTCATCAGCATGGACCTTAACCCGAATCTTCCGGATTTCTGGTCTTCTGGACTGGCCGCGAGAGCTTCCGGACATGGAGTTCGTACCAGGGCGGCGGCTTGAGACCATCTCGAAGTCGCCCTCGTCGAACGAGCCGTCATCGTAGTCGCTGCCACCTTCGTCCTCTTCTTCGATATACCTTTGCTGGGGCCGTCTGCCTGAGTTTTGCGAGCGGCTGCCTCTGTCGTTTCCCCCCCCACCTTGGTACATGTCGTAGAGCTCGTCTGGGTACGCGTCCTCCTCGTCGACTTGTTGCCGTCGCGACTGCGGTGGACCGCGCTGTGAGAAACTCCGCGACGGCGCTGTCGAGTTGGAGCGCTGGACTCTCGGGCGGCCGTCTTGTGGCGAACCCGCCTTCTCGTAGCGGTCGTTGGGGCGCGTTCGATCGATATTAAGCTTCGCTGGCATCGGCTTTGGGCCGTTGCGAACGGACGCGCCTCTGCTGATGCCACCCTGCTTGTCGTTCTCGGGTGGTGGTGTAGGTGGAAAGACGTTGCGGCCAGCGGGAGGTTCGGACTGTAGCCTCCGGCTCTGGATATCGGCTTTGACGAGGTTGGTAGCGGCAAACGAGATGTTGTCTGCCGGGCGGTCATCTTTGACGTCGACCATGCCGGCCTAGGAATTTTAAAGCGGTCAACAAGTGTCCCCACATGTATCAAGATGCAGATACGGCGTGAAATAAGTGAACCTACATTTTTGATTTCGGAGCCAGCGAAACCGGTGAAGGCGTTGGCGCGATCAGAGGCCGCGACTAGACGAGCCTTGCCGAGATAGTCTTTCGTCTTCAAGTTACGGACCTTGGCCTCGTTTGGCCGGTAAACCACGCCGACGGGAATTGAGAAGACAGTGTAGCCCTGTCCGAAAATTAGCCGTCAGGTATGTAAGTGGATCACGGGTTTAACAGAGAAGAACAAACCTCGGCTTCTTCGCGAATAGCCTCGTCGATGACATTGTGGTCTTCGACGACCTTCTCCTTTACGGCGTACGACAGATCCTGCATACCGGCATCTTTCTGCTGCAGGTAGATGTAGCACAGACCGCGGTTGAACAGAACTTCGCATGAGTACAGTTTGAACAAAAGGCCGAGCTGTGCGTAGTCGATCATAGTATTGCCCCGAAGATAGAGGAGTGTATCGTTGAAGTTGGCCAGGGCTTCTTCGAAGTCACCAAGCAGAAAATTCGACACGCCCTGCTGGAAATAAGAAACCGCGAGATACTGGTCTAGACGAACAGCGCGCTGGTAGCACTCGACCTGCCAACAGGAGCAAAGAGGGTTAGTATTGTGTCGGCCCGGAAGATCAATGTAAACAACTCCTGGAGACGAAAGGAACTAAGGAGTCAGGACGGTCTTACAGCTTTCTCGTGCTCGCCAAGCGTGGCATGGATAACGCCCATGTTGAAGAGGATTTTGGAAGTGTCAGAGACTTTCTCAAACTCCTTGAGGGCCTCGTCGAACTCATTGTTGTCGTAGTTGCTCAGCGCGGCCACCCACGTTTCGATTTCCTACACGGCGCAAAGAGCGCCAGGTCAGTACCTTGGACACATGGCGAACAGTGCCTGCTCTGTGAATGTTGGAGGACAAGTATACCTGTTTGAGAGACATGGCTGCTAAATGTCGTGTTGCTGACAACCGAACACCGTCTGAGAATTGAGAAGCGGTGAGGGCGAGTCAAACAGTTCAGTCAACGTAAGGCTGTTGCGAGAGGCTTGGATGAGATTCCAACTCTCTTCGAAAACAGCTACGGGGCAAAGGAAGGCGAAGAGGTGGCAGGACGGATATATGGATCGAAGGAACCAAAATAAAGAGAACCACACAGGGAGAAAACGGCAATGCTATTTGCGGGAAAATGGCCAAACAAGTGAGCCCAGCCCCGAGAATAGAAAATGTGCTAGCGAGCTTTAAGAGGTTGTATCGTGGGCTTTTGGACTTTTCTTTGGGAGTCGTCGGGCGCTTGCGCCAAGGTCAAGAAAGGAAAGGCTTCCCCTCCTTTGCGGTCTGTTCTGCACGAATGCTGAGAATGCACATGCAGGTCCCACACCTTCTCCGATGGGAATATTTTTGGTGATGGTGATAGTGACTGGTGACTGCGTGCTGTGTCTGGTTTGTGGTGTCTTCTTCAAAGAGCTTAAACGAGCCGCAAGTGCGGTTTGCGGAAAGACTGCCTCGCGCTGCGAGTCGAGTCGTAAGGGTGGTGCTAAGAGCCGGGAACGAGAGACGAAAGCAAGTTTGCTGCTGTTTACTGCGGGCGAGATATAACTATTTGAATGTTGATTGTCGGTGGTGATGTTGTAATTGGAAAGAGACAAAGACACGATCCGAAGAGGAACAAAAGAAAATAAGAAAGACACCAGAGGAACAGAAAGAAGACAGAAGAGGCAGGGGCGGTAGGAAAAAGTGAACGAGGAAAGAAAAAAGGCAAGAAGGAACGGGACAAAAGCAAGCAAAGGCACGGGAAGGGATTGGGACGTTTCGTCGGTCGAATGTTTGAGAAGCAGAAGGGGCGTGTGGGCTGGTTTGCTGGGATATGGGCAGGCAACGAACAGGGGACGGTATGCATGCTGCAACGCAGCTGGTAAATCGAAGAGGCAAAAGGCCTGGCCATGCCTGACAGAGAGCGTCCGTTCAGAGCATCACGTCGTACTTTCGTCTATCGTATGTGGTGCATCTCCGCTTGAGCCCATTGGGATGGGCGAAAGACGGGGCAGGGGCAGGCACGACTCAGGGTGACAGAGCGAGGGGAAGGAGGTTGGAGGGGAAGGTGCTGGTTGGCTGTGCGGAAATGGCGTGGGTCGCACCTGAGCGTGGCCTGGCCAGGGGGTGGCAGGAACGAGGATATGCAGAATTTGGTTCAGAACATCCTGAACCACTGGGTGACAGTGCACAAAGTTTGCAATCTCCATATATGAAAAGGCTGTGAGCAACACGGCAATTGACCCAAATATGGTTGGGTGGCGATGACCAGCATTGGCCAACAATGGATGTGCGAACCATCGAACCTGCATCGAGGCGCCCACACTTTGGGAAAAGATGTGCAGCATGCCCTGTGGTGACGCCCATTTTGCAAGATCGCGAGACGCAGCACGAAGCCCATCACATATACAGACTTGCACAACCAATTCACGGACAGTTCTGTCTCTAGATCAACTCTACTTGAACTACAGAAACAGGCAGCACGGCCGTCTGGCAAGCCAATCAGCCAGCGAACCACGCACTGGTACCGTACCATGGCTGGTCGAGATGCTCTTGGAATCGAACGACGCAACGAGGCAAGACTGGCTCCATTAGACTCCCTCATGCTCGAGAACATACTTCTGAGGTGCAGACCGGCGCCATTCAACAGGTCTCTGCGTCTTTCATCCCATTGTGAATATGGCCACGAGATGCTGCCACCATCGAAAATAGGATTGGGAAGGGCCTGGTCTGCGGCCAGGTCAACTTTCATCACATTGGCAACCAGGCGGCTACATGACTGCTGCGATACGTCGTACGTTTGGCGAGAAACAAAATTACTGTCTTTGATTGGTATATCTTGGAACAGAAGTACGAAAAGGGACAGGTTGGCAGAGGGCTACCGTGGATGTCGGCACGCGATTCGGCTCGAGTCGAATTTAGCGTGACTAGTCCACTAGAAATGCTTCCATTCGACACTAAATCACCCTAAAAATACCTCTGTGAGCCATCACATCCGAATGCCGTCCAGCACATAACGCCCAGGCAATCTTGCTGGTGCGGGTCACCATCACAGGCCCCGCTGCCCGATTTGGCATGACGGCAGGCTTGGGCCCCATCAATGCAATGTGAGCATAGCCGGTCACAAGCCATTGCGAATCAGGGCCCGGCCTCCCCTTCTTCACCTCATGCACCAAGTGTTCCATGTCGTGGCGGTATACGCTGATTCGCTGACACTCAGTTAATCGACCCACTTTGGCCCCATCGCAAACCAGCGGGCGTTTCCAAGGGCGCGTACAGAGTCTCAAGTGGCACAGCATCCATGTCCAATGTCTGGCTGCGAGTCTCTTTCCCAAACGCCAAGAACTCTGATCAATCGTGGCGGGTCTTGGGTTTTGGTCTCCGCCAAGAACACGGCAAACTTACGACGAACTGAGTGCAGCACACCGTAAGACAGAGCTGGCGACACGAGACGTTGACAAGGATATGGCTGGGCCAGAATTCGATATGAAAACACTGGGCACTACGTGGGACTTAGTAAGAAATAGAGTGCTATAACGAACTCTTCAGTCGTTGCTTCAGACTCCATTTGGAAATCCAAATCCAACTGCCTGTTGACAATCAGAATACAATGTACATTCAGCATATGGTCGACGGTGAGGCTAGACACATCCCCGGTGAAAGAGGTCTTTAGACTTTTAACGGTTGGCAAACCTCCTATTGAGTCTTCTTGCCCGTACTTGACTCGAATGTGGCTGTCCGACCATGCCCGAATGTGAGCCTCATGCGATGTTTGCAAAGGTCTTGGTCGTCATCGTGTCGGCATATTATGCTTCGGTTTTTTTTTCGGGGTTCATTTGATTGTAATTCGCTTATGCTATCGTAGCATAAAACGCCACTCTACAGCATGCCTTTCTTGACCTCGTCAGCCCGCTCCTGCCAGAGCGTCTTCCCTGTGCACGAGCACACCGTCTTGTCGTTGTCCCATACGCCGGCACTCCTTGCAATGACACCGACAACCGTGTTCTCGTCGTTCTGTAGGGGTGCCGCGCCAGCCTGCGACTCGTCACGAGGCGACACAACCAAGGCATGTCCAATCACCTCCCAGACCTGGAACGGGCGGTCCAGGAACACAGAGCCGCGACCGTCGGCGCCGATCTCGACAGTGCCGAGATCGCCCTGCCTTGACACCTGCTTCTCGCCAGCGGCGGCAGCGCTGCCCGACCAAACGGGCCCGGCCGAGAGCACGCCGTGCTTGAGATCGCCAAACTCCCGAATGCTCGCATAGTAGCGGCCAGGAGCTACACCGAGTATTGTGAGGTCAATGACGGTGACGTCAGACGACACCTGGACCATTCGGGCCAGACCCCGGACGTAGCGGTCCTTGTCGTCACTGTCCTCAGCTGCCGCAGGCCCTTGGTTATGGTGGTAATATGTTTCAAGGATACTGACAGCTGCATCTTTAAAGATCAAGTTCGTTAGCATATTTTTGTCTCATCTCTTTATTCCATCCCTTTATTTTTCAGACCCGTGTTTGGAAAAGCTTGGCCTTTTTTTTTGGTCCCTTTTTCTTATCGTCCGACCAGGGGCCATGCATCGCCTGTGTAGACCCCGGGCCCGTGACGTGGCTGTAACGGTGTTCGTACACTCTCCGTTCTGGAATGTTTTACGGGTATGCTCCGTACGGCCATATAGAGAGGCATGGGGAACAGGGTCATACTCACTGTTCGATGTTCCCGAACCCCGGAGAATTGCATCTCGTCCAGTCTCCTGGATGGCCTTGACAATGGCAGACGGGGGTGCTACGGTTTTAAACCCAAGTCAATAATCAAGCATTCGCAAAGACCCCTTTCCACCACGGAAAATAAGGGGGAAGGAGGTAGAGGAAATGGGAAAAAGGAAAAGAAGAAAGAAATAAAGAATAAAAGAACCGAAAGAGAAGAGCCAAATTACCTGTCCCTTCGATCGAAACCAGCTGGTCTTTTAGATTACCCTCTACTTTGGAAATCCCAGACACCTTGTACAGGGCGTCGGAAACGTCCTTGACACAGCCATCACAAGAAAGGGGCACTGCGAACAGTGTCTGTTCAGTTGGTCAGTATTGCAGTTTCGGATGTAAACCAGTTGAATCGGAAACACAGAAAAGGAAACATACCCGGAAAGAGTGTGTCACCGTCATCGTGGGCTTCACGCCTTGATGGGCGTTTTTTGGTATTGCGTCGGTTGTGGAGGCCGGACCACGTCGGAAGAGATATCCTGTTGCAACGGCCGTGAGGGCAAAGCCAGAGATCGTGCCGACAAAATATTTGTTCGCCGTTTTCATCGACTGGCTAGAGATCTATGCGAAGTGGTAGCAGGGCGTTGTGATGAAAAGCGAATTCGGTCCTTGTGGACACAGTTATGGGATGTCGTGAGCAGCTGCTTTGAAATCACTCTTCGATATCGGCCGACTACTGAGCTTGACCTCTATCTGATCAACTACGACAGCTTGTGCTACGCTAAAACGGACCTCTGTTGTCGGAAACTGCACTAAATTGCCGTGCTTTCGGGCGAACACATGGACCCATTTATCACGTGATAGTGTCCGGAACCAAGCGACGTAAATTTTTGGCCTCGTCGAATATATGTGATGATGATCTCAAGACGACGAAGGCTCACGACTCACTACAGTCCCAACCCGCCAAGCGCACAAATCTCGTCCTGTGCGTGCACACACAGCCGCCGCCATGTCTCAAACACTCGGATTGGTACGTCTACAATATAGTGGGAATTTTGCTGTACACGCACGCGATCAGAGGCGTGATGGGTATCGAAAGGAGCATCCCAGGAACGACAGAAGAGAAATTGCCAGTGCAATTGACGGTCTGAGATTAAAGTCGACTGGTACGGATCCGGGGAGATGCGATATTTGACTCATTGCTAATGCGACGTTTTACCGCAGACGCGGTTAGCCTACTCGCGGACATGGCACCAGATCTCGGCGTCCGCTCCCCACGCTGAGCTCTCGACCATCAAGTCGCCGGAATCAGCAATTACACCGCCCTCGCTCGGCCGCCTTGCCTCGCGTATCGCGGTACTCCTTATGGGCAAGCACAAGCCGATTTGGGACCCCTCGACCGACTGCGGCGACTACGTTGTCGTCACCAACTGCGCAGCACTCTACACGACGGGCAACAAGAAATGGCGCAAGGAATACCACCGCCACAATACACGGCCAGGCTCGCTCAAGACGGTGACCATGGACGTACTGATGGACAAGTTTGGCGGCGCAGAGGTCCTGCGGAAAGCTGTCAGCGGCATGCTGCCCAAGAACCGCCTGCGCGAGAAGAGACTTGCCCGGCTCAAGGCCTTTGAGGGCGACGCACACCCCTACAAGCAGAACGTTGTACGATTTGGCGGCCTTGCGGTCGGCTCTGAAGGCTGGGAGGAGGCCGTTAAGGCGATACGGGACGCTGACAAGGTCAGATTATGATGAACGAGGACCTTGCGGGGAAGCATCTAGGGAAGCGAGAGTTTCTTGAAAATTAAAATCACAGCGTGTATTTCTATGTATAAATAACAACTTCAAACCGGAGATTTTTTTCATTTTGTTTAGAAAGGCGTCTTTTGCGGCGTAAATGTCTGAATGGTGGCGGTTGGGAGTAAAGGGGAGACACAGATTACTAGCCGAAAATAGGCATGTGGAAGTAAATGATGCGAGCGAACATCACATGGTCATACGAGTATGGAGAGAGGTAGACTACCAAACAAAAAGAATCCCGAAAGTGCGCCAGGTTTATGCAACATGAAATGCACTTCAAATCCCCTAGGAAGATCAAATACCCAGCAGAAACGACAAATGGCTACATCCACCACGTAACTATGTCATGACCTCGCTCATCTAGCGAGACACCTCACAGATGATAAGGCCGTTAGGGCCAGACTGCGGCGCAACCACTTCGGCATCCGCACGCGTGTTCTTCGTGCCCTTGTACCAAGACATGTCAATGTCAAAGTAGTGCTTGTTGGGCAAAGAATACGTGACGGTCGCGACGTCGGGTGTAGTCTCCAGAATCTGTTCGGCCATCTTGTACATGGTGGCTTGGACCGAAGCACTCTCGTCGTTGGCAAAAGTCTTCATCGTGATGTTGCGGGAGTCCTCCCACGCCTTGTCAAACAGGGCCACATTCTCCTTCACGCCCGCCACGTTGGGAAACGACTTCCAGGTCCACGTGCAGTCAACGTCGGTGCTCAAAATGCGGTCCCAGGTTTCGGGCAGCGTCGTATACTCGTCTTGGATGTAGCCATGGAAAGCCGAGCCGGTGCTCTTCAGAACTGTCAGGCCAGTAATGCTGCTGTTCAGCTCAATGTTGTCGCGGGTAACCACGGCCTTGACGTTGCGGGTCTCCTCGCTGTCGCGCAGGAAGCTGTGAGGGTGATCCGCACCATCAATCACCATGCGCGTCCAGCGGTGCACTTTGACGGAGACGTGTGCCTTGGAGATGTGCGCATAGGTCTCGAGGAAGTGCGAACCCAGGATGCTGGCATACAGCTCAGGCGGGTTCACGGGGTTCTCCTTCGCCTTGATGTATATGGTGTTTTTAATCGAGTCGGTTGCGACAATCACGCTGTTGTCGGCTTTGGTGTACCTATAGAATGCGCGAAGCACAGGTTAGAACGCTTCTGCACTTCCTTTACATCTGCATCTACTCCCGGCATAGGCCACTTACGACGTCTCAATCTCGCCCTCAAGCAGACAGCATACGGTCATCTCCGTGACCGTGTGGACACCCGTCTCTTTGTCCTTGTGCACCTTGTAGACACGGACATTGTCCTTGCCGTAGCGAGCTGCCGACAAACTAGGCATTGTAGCGGTCGTAAATGGTGGTGTGGGGAGTGTTGAAGGGAGCAATTGTGAAATACCAAGGAATGAGAGTGAATAACAACAAGAACTTTGTAAATGGAGGCGGAAACCAAGACAAAAGACGGAGAGTTGGAACGGAAGGAAGCTACAAAGACAAGGGCTAGAGGGGACGGGGAGAGGCTAGCATAATATATGTCGGTCGGACGACGGTTTCGTGGTTGCTTCTATTTCCTTGATACTACAAGCACAACTGTGCAATCTGGAAGGAGCGATAGGCAGCGATCAACTTGTTACGGCGCGCAGAGAAGCAACACAAATCGACAAAAGAGAAATCTCGGCCGCGTGCGACGGAAAACGCCATTTGCATCGGCCCAGAGCAGAAAAGGATGGCGCGGTGCATTATCGAAGCCCAGGATCTGGCGGGGCGCAACTTTCCATGTGCCTGACGGGCCGAACGGTCTATGATGGTTTGCAAAGCTCCGCCTGTGGTGCAGAAGGTCTGGTGGGATGTACATAGGTGAGGCAGAAAAGTGGAGAACCGGAGCCCGCCGATAGCCACTTCGACGATGGTTTTTGCTGCGGGCTTCGGAGGAATGAGCGACCCTCAAGCATATTGGAGGCACAGACGTTAAATATCCAGGCCGTTAATCGGTTACAAGGAAACGCTTATCGATACGAATATGAATTGAGGAGATGTACGTTGCATCAGACTCTTTCGACGTCATCCGTCCTAAATAGATGCACCAATTGGTTGTACGATGTATTACGGAGTACGAGAGGTGCAGTATGCGTTCAGAGGTTTTCAAGAGCAAGCGGCTTTGCAGGTCGTGATTGCGGCTGTTAAGCCACAACTACACATTAGCCCCTCCTGAGAATATTACATAATGCAAATTACAGTGGGGCGCAGTGCCTGTAGTGAGCCTGCCATTTTTTGGCTTAGTCCAGCATAGCAGGAGCCACCAGCCATGACGGCTGTGGACTGGAACGAGCACCATCGTGGTCCTGGAGCAGTCTGTGTTAATCGAGATAGACGACCAAACGCGCAGCATCAACAGCACCGGATGCCCATCAACTGTAAAACAATTTGTTCGCAAAAGATACTCTCACAATAGGTCCTTTCCACACCACGCAATAACGGTCGACTTTGGCGAGTCGCTTCAACATTCTAACGTACCTCCCAAAGAACGACCCGATTGGCAGTAGCCTCCTTTTCGCGGTCCTCCATCTATCTGCTTTAGAATACCATGTTCTGGCTGGCCCAGTCATCGCGGACAGGCATCCGACTATAAGCTCTTTACCTGCCACCTTCCCCGGCTTGCCCTGATAGCGACGATCCTGGGGTCGAACCTCGTGCGACGTCCAACCCTTGCATCCACCTCCAACTGCCATCGCGAATGCGCAACATCGCCGGATGTGTACGCCGGCAAACCGTGTGCACAGCTAGAAGCTGATGGCCGGACCTACCCCGATGCTGGGTGCTTCGGCAACGCCCACGCAGAGGTCCTTTGCTGCTCAGCAAACAACAGGTGCTACCACCGCGAACCCACCACGGACCAGCTTTGATCGTGATGGCCTTCAAATACCCAACTCCACGAATGCGGCCGCGTCATTCGGTGGCCGGAGCCTTGCAGCTTCTTCGGTGATGTTTACTCCTCGAGGATCGTCACTGAACCCTTCTCCCGCTCCAGGGAGTTTTGTATCGGACACGCGCCAGGCCCCAACGTCTCGTGGCGGCTCCCGGCTTGACATGTACAACACCGACAAACTCCCAGATATCGACGATTTCGACGAAGACGATGACACGGCAGAGATCGAGCGGTCTCTTGCTGCATTAAAAGATCTCCTCAACCGAGAGCTCAAAATTAAGGAAGGCAGCGAGAACATGCTCGAAGCCCTGAACAGCAAAAAGGCTAAACAGACCAAAGACCAGCGCTTACGCGTTGAGGCAGAACTCTCTTCTTCCAACCAGCGCATCAGAGAAATTCGGAGTAAGATCACCGAGTTTCAACGACCCCGGCCGGCACCTTCGACACCCTCCAAGGTGCGCCCAGAGCCAGCTCCCTTACCAGCTGGCTTGCGGTCTCCACAACATACGTCACGCAGCGGAGCTGGCTCGGATGTGGAAGAGCAGACGGAATCGCCGACATTTGTTCTAGCAGAGATTCTACGAGCATTAGAGGTTGAAGGCATGCCCCCAGAGTACTACGTCGCCCGCGCAAACTCTCTTGTCGACCTTTTCAAGCGCCACCCGACCTTGAAATACGATCTTGTCTGGTCTGTGTTTGGCGTGCGCATACAGAACATGCTGCTTAGTGACCACAGAGAAATCATGGCAGCTGCCTACCGCATGACGCGATACGCTATCTCGGACGTCACCTCCCTCAAGAAGATCAGAACGCTCTATACGGACTATTTCGTTGTTCTGTCTCTGATCAAAGACCGCAAGGCCGATGTAGAGCGAGAGCAGGCGCTCAAATTTGTGAGAGCCTTCTTAGAGACAAAAGACGGTGTCCGCGAGCTGTCACGGGCTGTCGTCCGCACCATTGCCGCTGTGGCCGAATCAGCTGAAGATAGATTGCGCCCGATCTGCCTGGAGACATTGGCTGAGATTCTGGTTCGCGACCCGGGCCTGCTCATTGCGTCGGGTGGCCTCTCTTCTCTGTCTGAAGCTTTGTCAGATGGCTCGTACAAAGCACCGGAGAGCTTGACTTCTGCAATTCTCTTCCTCCTGGACGCACCACAGCGGAGAAAATATCTGCGACCCGGGCACGAACTGGAGGTGCTGTTTACCGCTTTCACAGATCAGTTCTTTGCTACCGAAGCGGTCCTCAAGCAGAATGCCAAAGCAATCTCATCCGCCCTCAAGACATGGTCTGGCATCATGACTTTGTCGATGTACGATTTTCGGGCCATACGATCCCTTGTTGCGAGCCTTGCCCTTCCTAGCCCTTCCATAAGGGAAACGGTACTAGAGCTCATCTACTCGCTCCTGCGCATCAAGTCGCCGGCCTGGGCTACATCCTTTCTTGCCGGCCGCCGCTTGACCACATATGGCCGCGTGGCGAGCCTCAAGTCGTCAACAGAGGCAAAACCGTCTGGTGTGTCATATTCTGATGACGACGGTGGCGAGCAAAATTTTGTGGAGCATTATACAGCTCTTCTCCTGGCTGTGTTCATCAAATCTGGCCTTCTACCTCACTTGTTGCATCTCACCCAAGATATAGACAACCCAATGCTGAGGCGGAAGTCTACGCTTCTCATCGGCGAAGTCCTCCGTCTGTCGAGTCGCCTTCTTCCGCCATCATGGAGCAAAGACTTGCAATTGCTCCCAGAGCTATTTGCGGCGGCCGCAAGTTTCCAGGACGAATCGCATTTCATTGCCAGTGCTACAGTCTATCAGATTAGCAGTGTCAGTCGAACGCTGTACCGTTCAACGCCATCGTATTGGGTCACCGGTGGAGACCTCGCTCACCACAGCGTCGACTTTTCAACCCTGTTAGACGAGCAGCCCAAGGCTGGTGCAAACCTAAGCTTCGATGAAGCCACATTCCGCCAACTACAGCTTGACTCGGGCGTCGTCAACAGCTCCAACTATCTCAAGTGGAACTGGGACATTATTTTGAAGATCATTGAAGGTCCTCTGCTCAACGGGAAGCGCCTTGAAGAGGCGGTCCGTGCCTCCAAGTTCGTCAAGCGGCTGTTGAGTTTCTACCGGCCCTTCAAGTACAAGTTCTCCGACATGAAAAGCACAAAAGGCACCCAAAAATACGTCCGCGTTGGCTGTGCGCTGTTCCACACGCTGCTCCAAACACCCGAGGGCTTCCGTTATTTGGGCGACAGCAAACTGATCAGACAAATGGCGGAGTGTCTGGCCCAATGCGATCCAACCAGTGGCATCACAGCCCAGTATCCAATGTTTGCCAAAGACAGGCTAACGGACACGCTCTGTGGTGGCTACTTGCCGATGATTGGGGTCCTGAGCAGCGATCCCAGGGGCCTCCAGATGATGGAGCGGTGGCGCATGTTCAACATGATGTACCACATTGTCGACCTGAAACAGCGACCGGATCTGATCAAGCTGCTCTTGTCCAACTTCGACTACTCGGTCAACGGCCACCAGCGCGTTCTGCTGTCGAAAGCGTTGACCGCAGGGACAAAGGACATCCGCATCCATGCCACGAACGTGCTTCGCAAGTATGTCGTTCGATCCAGCTCGGTTGCTATGCTCAGCAACGGCGTAGGCGATTCAAAGTGGGCAATCCAGCTACTCGTGACCCAGCTCTACGACCCGGAAGTCGAAGTCTGCGCCACGGCCGTCAAGATCCTCGAAAAGGCCTGCAACAGTAAACATTCACTCGAGTTTATCGTTGAGTGCCGGCCGGCGCTCGACCATCTTGGCGAAATCGGCGCACCTCTGTTACTACGGTTCTTGTCAACCTCGATCGGCTACCACTACCTGGACGGATTGGACTACATCAGCAACGAGATGGACGACTGGTTCCTCGGTCGCAACGACGCCTACGTGGACTTGATTGAGGCAAGTCTGGCGCGAGCCTTCGTTGAGAGTTCCGACGAGCAGCTTGGACGAATACCTGTTTTCGCCGACGAGAGCGATGTCGACACAGATGCGCACATTCCACCACACTTCTATCGCGAGCTCACACGGACCGAAGAGGGCTGCCGGCTCTTGCGCGAAAAGGGGCATTTTGACGAATTTGCCACCACCATCCGGGATTACGGTATGCAGACGGCCGATGCCGAGCTGATCACCAAGGTCAAAGGCTGCCTGTGGGCTGTTGGCAATGTCGGTGCCATGGAGCTTGGTGCACCGTTCCTCGAGAGCTGCGACGTTGTCGAGCAGGTGGTTAACATCGCGCGGCACCAGCAGATCATGAGTCTGCGCGGCACGGCCTTTTTTGTCATGGGCCTCATCTCGCGCTCTTTGCATGGCTTGGAGATCCTGTCGGAGTTTGGCTGGGACTCCAACACAAACATGCTTGGCGCATCACTTGGATTCTGCATACCGTCCGACCTGTCCCAACTGTTCTCTCTCGACCCTTGGCAATACGCATCCCCCGCATCGATCGTATTGCCGGCCTCGCAGAAGACTGCAAAAACCGAGCTGCCCGCTGTCCCCTTCCGGCCCCGGGCGGACACCATTCCAGGCGACGACACGCCGGCATCCCTTACCGCGGCAGAATCCGCCGGGGAGGCTGCCGCTGTAATCTTGGATGCCGATCCGACAAACCAACGGATCTTGGAACTCGTTGTCGACCTAGGCAACATGGTCATTGTGAAGCGTGCAGCGTCTGAGCTAATGCACATTAAGAATAAGGAGGGCATTGCTCCATTCCGGCAGCCAAGACTGTTCCGCAAGGTTCTTTCGCAGCTCGAATGCCGGCACTATCCACTGAGCATCCGGCGCATGGTACTTGACCTGTTCGACCCAAGTGTGATGCGGGGCATTGTGTTTGAGGAGGACGGGGACGAGTCGGAGGAAGAGGAAGATGACTCAGAGGAGGAGGAAGAGGAGGCGCCAACGTACACGGGCAAAGGCCATGCAAACGAGGGCGGCCGAGCTGTGCGAGGAGAGCATGAAGGTGGAGAAGACGAGGACAGCGACGGCCTCGGAGAAGATACCGACGACGAGGAAGCGTCTGGCCCCGGCGACAGCGAGGAAGGGGAAGAGGAAGAGGAAGAGGACGAAGGGGACGAAGAAGACGAAGACAGCTCAGGCGACGAACAAAAAACAGAGCGGCAACGGAGCATCAGCGACCCTGCGGAGCTCCAGCGTCGAGACACGGCAAGACGACGGCCAGCGAGATAAGGCTCGCTTCCTCGGCTGGCAAAATCATCATTGTTTCTTGTACTATTATACATTTTGAGGGCCAAAACTAACCCAATACGCGGAGCGTCTTGGGTGTCTTGTTGTATTTATGAATACTACCGGTGTCACTATTTTTACAACCTTACTCGTCCTTTTTTTTTGACGACAGAAAATTGCCATAAAATGAGCAAAGAACAAATAAAGTATTTTCGAAGCCTTGTTTAATGGCAGCAACTTTGAAGACCATTTCAGGTGCACTATTTTATTTCCGTAGCGGTATTTCGATTACGTCGCAAGCCGCTTCCAGTCCCGCCCCCACCGATTGTAGCTCCCCTCTAGCGAGAATACAAGGCATATTACTTTGTGTTGAGTGAAATATAGAATGTCCGTTTATGACCGATGATATCCTTTCCGGCCGGCCTTGGCAAAGGACATCTACAAAAATTGTCCTGCCTCCCACCCCCCTCCCCGCCTGTTTCCCGGCAACATCAACGGGACTTGCAGCAAGCACAAGAGCAACAGCAATGGACAGCAGGCGGATCTTGGTGATTGCAGGCTCGGACAGCTCCGGCGGCGCGTACGTATGACCCGACTGACTTTATTGACTTTTATTTGGCTGGGCTCTCCTAGCTTCCCCAAATCGCTCCTCCCGCCGGCCGCCGGTTTTCGGCTTCATAATTTTGTGATTTATTTTCCCATGACGCATGGCAACCGGGCGACGTTGCAGCTAGACTTATGGGAATTATTGGGCTTCATGGAGTTACTGACTTATCTATGACGGCACAGCGGCCTCGAGGCAGACCAAAAGGTCATTGCCGCCCATGGATGCTATGCCATGACGGCCACGACGGCCCTGACGGCGCAAAACACTCTCGGCGTCTATGGCATTCATGCGATTCCGCCCCAGTTTCTAAAGCAGCAAATCGATGCCTGCTTTGACGACATTGGTGTCGATGTCGTGAAAACAGGCGAGTCATGGCAGCGCTGCGTCCCCAAACAACGGACATTCACTAACTACATGAACAGGGATGCTGGCATCGGCCGAGACGATCAAGCTCGTGGCCGACACGTTGGAACAACGAGCCGTCACCAAATCTGTGATCGACCCCGTAAGTTGTGTGTTGTAGGGCTGGAAACCGGAAGACAGCATGGAAAGGCACGGTACATCATGCTGACTGCCAAACGTTTCCGGCTTAGGTCATGGTAGCCACGACAGGCGCAACATTGCTGCCACCGGAGGCCCTGGCCGACTTTGGCAAACTGGCCAGACTTGCCTACGTTCTGACTCCCAACATTCCCGAGCTCAAGCTTCTGTTGGGATGCAAAGACGAGCCCATTGAAACCGTCGCAGATCTGGAGCGGTTGGCGCGGCTGGCGTGCGACAACCTCGGCTCGACATGGGTGTTGGCCAAGGGCGGCCACACCCCATTCAAAGCCGACTACAGTGTCGCCAAGACGGACGTAGACCGGGCACTTATTGTCAACGTCCTCGCGGGGCGAGATGGTCAACTGATCCGCATCGAGAGCCAGTACCAAGACTCCAAGAACACCCACGGAACGGGCTGCTCTTTAGCATGTAAGTTTGTCTCGGTGATCCTCGTGGTGTAGGTGTCCGATTCGCCGTCTAAGTCTTTTCTTCGCCTCCTCACAGCCGCCATTGCGTCAAACCTGGCCAAAGGCCTCGATGTCGAGGCCGCAGCTCGTGCTGCATGCCGGTACATCGACGCCGCGATCCGCCACGCACCCCGCCTTGGCAAAGGCCACGGTCCTCTCAACCACTTCCACTCGCTCTTCGCTCTGCCGTTTTCCCGTGGCCATTTCCTGGACTATGTCCTTGAACGTCCAGATGTCGTCGACATCTGGCACCAGTTTGTCAACCACCCGTTTGTCAAGGCACTCGGTGCGGGCACCCTGCCCCGCGAGTCTTTCAAAGGCTACCTGACCCAGGACTACCTCTACTTGGTGTGTGCTGTCGCTGACCATTCTCGTGCCACCCTACCACACGCCCTTGTTTCCCGAACACCAAACAAAAAAGCGCATAATATGAGACTTCCTAACAGGCACCAGGTTCATTTTGCACGAGCGGGCGCGCTGGCCGCGTACAAGTCCAAGAACATGCCGGACATTGTCAGCGTGAGTGGTATCACAGTCGTCGTCGAGATCCCGGTCCAGCCTTTTCTAACTGGCAATTTGTGCCCAAAAGTCGGCAGCTCTGGTCCAAGGAGTGGAGCACGAGATGCAGTTGCATCTGAAGTTCTGTGCCGAGTTTGGCCTCGCCAAACAAGACATGGAGGCCACTGAGGAGAACATTGCCTGCACTGCCTACAGCAGATACATCCTCGACATCGGCCACTCGGAAGACTGGTTTGCCCTGCAGGTCGCACTCGCTCCCTGCGTGCTTGGATACGGCGCCGCAGCTCGTGCCCTCCATCAAACGCATGCCACGAACAAGGATGACACACACCCGTACTGGAAGTGGGTAGAGAACTACACCAACGACGACTATGGTGTCGTGGCCAAGGCAACAATGGGTACGCCTGCACTGCTTTGCCCCCAATACAAACGTGAAGCCGGCTGACCATCAAAACAGACAAGATCGAACGGCATGCCGTCCTGCAGTCGGCCTCCAGAATCGAAGAATTGATCAAGATCTTCAAGCAAGCGATCAAGGTACATATTAACCCTAGCCCGGCTTCATTTGCTTGCTTATTCACTGCTAACGACGGTGGGATGATACAGATGGAGATTGGCTTTTGGAATATGTACAGCGCAGAGTAATATACAGCACGTTGGGCTTGGTGCGCTATTCATACGCTAACTCGGTGGCTGTTGACCGCCTTTGCTGGTTCTGGTGGCGCTAGGGATCAAAAGACTCAAAAGGCAATATCACGTGATGTGGCGACAGCAACGAGGCGGATAAGATAACAAAGGCAGGCAAAATACCATAGAAAAAGAGAAAAGTGGATCTGTCTATGCTGGGCCACGGTCCCTTCTCGCCTGAAATTTTCAGAAAAGCGACTAGACTAGCCAGAGAAAAAAAAGTTTCGATAGAAAATTCTAAACTTTCCTCCTGCTCCCTTTATTCCCATCCTTTTTCATCACCGTCGCTCTCTCCCCTTCCTCTCTCCTTCTACACAGCCTCTCGCTTTTCGCTCATCCATCGTTTCCTCCTCATTTTTCGACAAGCATCGCCTTTTGCACCCCGACACTCCTTCGACTTCGCGCCTCCCCTGTACTTCTGTCGCCTTCTCGCTCTTATCTCACTTCCCCTAGCAACCAAAACAAAACAATCTAGCAAACAATGTCTTACGGCGGCGGTTACGGTGGCTCGCGCGGCGGCGGCGGTGGCTACTCCAATGGCGGCCATCGTGATGGCGGCTACTCCAACGGGTACGGGTATGTCTTTTTGTGATGTGACAGAGTCGGCCGCTCCTCGCCTTTGGCAAGCAGCTACAGTCAGGGTCTAGAGTCTGTGTTCAGATCGGGCGTCGATTGAAACTGCGGGTCAGCGACAAGTGGTCTTCTCTGTTCTCGATCTCTTTGGCATTATTTTCTTTCTTTCTCTTCATCCTCTCTCACTTTCTTCTTTAGATCTCATTGTGCTAACACGTCTCTTTCAGCTCTCATGGTGGTGGTTACGGCGGCGGCTACGGCGGTGGTGGCGGTGGCTACGGCGGCGGCTACGGTGGCGGCGGTGGTGACCGCATGTCTGCCCTCGGCGCCAACCTGCACAAGCAAGAGTGGGATCTGGATGCCCTCCCCAAGTTCGAGAAGTCTTTCTACAAGGAGCACCCCAGCGTCACCGAGCGCTCGTCTGGCGAGGTCGAGAAGTTCCGTCGCGAGCACTCCATTGCTGTCACTGGCAAGGACGTCCCTAAGCCTGTCGAGACCTTTGACGAGGCTGGATTCCCCCGCTATGTTATTGACGAAGTCAAGGCCCAGGGCTTCCCTGCCCCCACTGCCATTCAGTCCCAGGGCTGGCCCATGGCTTTGTCTGGACGTGATGTTGTCGGTATTGCCGAGACAGGTTCCGGAAAGACCCTGACCTACTGTCTGCCCTCCATTGTTCACATCAACGCCCAGCCCCTGCTGGCCCCGGGTGACGGCCCTATCGTCCTCGTCCTCGCCCCTACGCGTGAGCTTGCTGTCCAGATCCAGCAGGAGATTACCAAGTTCGGCAGATCCTCGCGCATCCGCAACACTTGCGTGTACGGCGGTGTGCCCAAGGGTCCCCAGATTCGCGACCTGTCGCGCGGTGTCGAGGTGTGTATCGCCACCCCGGGCCGTCTGATTGACATGCTCGAGTCTGGCAAGACCAACCTGCGTCGTGTCACCTACCTGGTTCTCGACGAAGCCGACCGCATGCTGGACATGGGTTTCGAGCCGCAGATCCGCAAGATCATTAGCCAAATCCGCCCCGATCGCCAGACCCTCATGTGGTCCGCCACCTGGCCCAAGGAGGTCCGCAACCTCGCCTCCGATTTCCTGACCAACTTCATCCAAGTGAACATTGGCTCCCTCGACCTGTCGGCCAACCACCGCATCACCCAGATTGTCGAGGTTGTTACCGAAAGTGAGAAGCGTGACCGCATGATCAAGCACCTCGAGAAAGCTCTCGATGACAAGGAGAAGGCCAACAAGGTCCTGATCTTCACCGGAACCAAGCGTGTCGCCGACGACATCACCCGCTTCCTGCGCCAGGACGGCTGGCCCGCACTGTCCATCCACGGTGACAAGCAGCAGAACGAGCGCGATTGGGTTCTTGACCAGTTCAAGACTGGCAAGTCGCCCGTCATGGTTGCCACTGATGTGGCTTCCCGTGGTATTGGTATGTATACTACAAGCACCCGCCACCCCGTCCCCTACGCTTCCCATCATACTGTCTCACTCCCAACTCTTGCCCATGATGCCCCTTACCACCTCCCCTTTATCGTGATTGATCGATCGTTCGACACGGTCGTCCATTTCCAACCAAAAACCTTACGCCTGCGTCCCTTCACCGTCCCCTCCACCCACCATCGTCTTCCCCCGAAATCTACAACGCCAACAGCAACGCGAGCTTTGTCGTGCTTTACTCTTATGTTTAGGGGCTTTCTTGATTGCGCAAACTTGACACAGCTGGCCTGCTCTCGAGCTTCGTGCTCTTGGCTTTGCCAGTCTTTTTACAGGTGATGTCTTGGGTCGGACGCGTTGCAAAGAGCAAGAGAAAACAACGTCAAGCGGTCTACCGCTCTGCGCCTATCTCGCTCTTGCTATCCTTCGCTCCTGGTCCTATACTTGCACCGGTTCTTTCTCTCCCCGTGGTTCAAGTGTAGGGTTGGCAATTGTCTTGATTCCCTGCCTCTGGTCTGATCAAGTTGTCTCCAAGGCATCAGTTCCTACCTGGAATAGGTTCCAGGGACCTTTCCCATGGAACCACCTACCGTCATTTTTTCTCAGGCAGAAAAAAACACACGCAGGCTCTCCTTGCGGTCGCGTATGTCAGACGTCGTACGACGTCTCCTGTGTTTTTTTCTTTCTCCGCAACGGACAGCCCCATATACCCGGGAGCAAAGTGCTGAAAAGGGGGCTCCAGAACACGAGTACTTCCGTACACTGCGGCATACCCGCCGTAGCGCGGTCGCCTTCGTATCTGCTGGAGCCCATCGTAGTGAGATTGTTGTCGTTGTATTTTTTTACGCCTTCGTTTTCCAGTTCGCCCGCCGCTGCTTGCGGCCACATGCCATTTGTAGTATGCTAACCAAATGCTTTTTTTCTTCTGTCATGAAGACGTGCGCAACATCACTCACGTCATCAACTATGATTACCCCAACAACTCGGAGGACTACATCCATCGTATTGGCCGTACAGGTCGTGCTGGTGCCACTGGCACGGCCATCACCCTATTCACTACTGATAGTACGTTGCAAACCCCATCCCCAATCTTCACTCCTTTTGTCACATACTAACAATCGTCTCTATAGATGCTAAGCAGGCCCGTGATCTCGTTGGTGTGCTGCAGGAGGCCAAGCAGAGCATTGACCCGCGCCTTGCCGAGATGGTGAGATACGGTGGTGGTGGCGGAGGCCACGGCCGGTACGGTGGTTACCGTGGTCGTGGCGGTTACCGCGGTGGCGGACACAGAGGTATATTCTGAAAAGCCTTTTGTTTTTGTTTTTCCCGCGGCTTTCTAATCTTGTCCTGTCCGGTTTGATTTGCTCGAAACAAAGGACTAACATTTTTCTAATCTTAGGTGGCGGTGGCGGTGCCAATGCCATGCCGGTCAATAACCGCCGGTGGTAAGCGATGGAGTTTCATCAGTAACGTCCGTCACGGTTCGTCACGGGTGCTGTGCACGGAGTAGACCATCTTTCATTTGCGAATCTCTCCCAAAAAGCGATCCAGTCTGGCAAGCGCGTTACTATCGATCCTCACTGATCCCAGTGTTCTCGCCTTGGCCAACGACGTCGTCTTGTTTTTATCGTTATTTTCCTTTGTTTTACTGCCACTAATTGGTTTGTTTTTTACATCGTTCTTCTTCCCTTGCTCTTACCACTTTTCTTACATCGTCCTTTTCATTACACCGTGGTCTGCCCTTTCTGTTGGCGTTTATGTAGAACGAGAGGCGGGAAAACATCACAAGGAAACTCTTAGACTTCGGACAATATGCCAATATACTTGGCAAATTACATCTACTTTTACCAAGAGTTTCTTTTTTTCTTTCTCGCCGTGAGACTTGTGACAAGGTCAACACAACTACACACGTCTCTGTGTTCTTTCGTAAACGTTTTGTCCCTCGGTCGTTGTCTTTTCCCTCGGACAAAAGCACGGCGACTTGTAGGGGCAGGGTATCATACAGGCTTGGGCGCGAACGGGTCTGGGAAGCTGCTAAGCCTTGTTTCCAAAGTTTTGGCGGCCGTATGCGTTGGGGATAGCTGTGGGAAAGCTGTGTGTGATATTGGAATTACTTGGTGGTTTTGGTTGTTTCTGTTTTACTTGTTTTGTTTTTCTGCAGATTTTTCAATTGTTTATTGTTTGACATCTTTGGCCTCCATATTTTCGGCGGCAGTTTTATTGCTTGTTTATATTTGGATTTATAGTTTTTTCAACAGACAATTACTTAAAATATTGGAAGCAATACCAATAATAACGGTGAATTATGTCCCGGACAAAATGATACATTAACAATGAAACCCCAGCACTGTCTATTCATAAGTTTTATAATGAAGCGCCCCTGGCTCCACGATCTCGATTCCCATCCTCTACAGTAAACTTTTCGGTTGAACTCTGACTTTAGACTGGCCCTCGTTGGATGCATCTGGTTGTAACACTCGGTATTCCGTAAATATCTCATCGTGTCCAGCGTTTAAAACTAGCCTTAAGGTGCCAGGTTTGTCGCGCTGTAATGTCGTAGAGCTGCTAGGTTCGGGCCTGTATCGAAAGCCTTGATATTCCTCGTTGCTTCTCAGGTGTGCGGCACTAAGGACTATCAAGAATCCAGGAAGACGAGGCTGGTCATTTTGTGAAGGAACCAAAGTGAACCAGTCCAAGTTAAGACGTTTTAAAAACGCAGCTTACGGTTTCACCATAGGAATAACTCTAGGAAAGAAGTGGACTTTTCCTTGCAACAGCGGAGTACGACAGTAGACCAAGGGGAAGAAAGCCATGTGGCTTTCTTCACGCCAGCCTTGCGCCGGCGCATTTTTGACGCCGTTTGGTGGAAGCACAGCATCTAAACGAAGCAGCTTTGGACCTAGCGGCAACGGCGGCTCGGCGACACGTTCGCGCAAGGCTGCGAAAAGCTGCTAGTCGTTCTGTAGCGCGATCGACGTTTTCGTGATGGAAAACAAATAGATGTAAGAAGTAGATATACAGAGTACGACATACAGAGTGCAATAGATATGTAGCTTGTCAATGACACACAAACTCTGCAAGTACAATGGAATTACGTCGCAATCCCGCACGGAATAGGCGACCGATGGCCGTCGGTCGATGTCCCCTCTCTTCTCCTCGCGACTGGCCCTTGTTCCCTGTCTGTTTCCACCACCCTCATTTGTCTTCCCAGTCCTGGACCTGGTCACATCCCAAAGCGCGATGCTATGAGTGGCGATGCGCGTATTTGGGGGCTGAACACACGCCGCAATTTATCGTGCCTGGTGCCAGAGGCCCCTCGTTGGTCCTTGTCATCCAAAAGGAACCAAAAACGACCGCATGGTCACGGAACCGACCTGCCGTCATTTCTCAGCTGCCCCCTGGACTGTGCTCAACGCGATGCGACACTGGGGCGTGCTTGAGAAATCGGCCTAGTGATGCTCCGTAATGATTGTTGTTCTCTTCCGATGGACACTTTCTCATCGACGGAGCATCTTGCAGAAATGCTCGGAGCAGGCGTGAGTTTTGTCCCTTTTCTATCCCTACTTCTTTCTTCGGCCAGCTCTGTTTGGTAGTTCCTGCTCTGTATTCTTCTCCCCATCTGAGCTCATCCGATATACCCTGTTCTTTCTGTTTCGAGACACCCCTTTTCGGCCTCCTCCTTTCTCCGTCTTCTTTCCTTTCCTGTTTGGACCCCAGCTCTGTTCCTTCCTGTTTGGTCATGTTTTCCCCCCTCCCATCTCTCGTTTTCCTCTTGGCACGCCCCCTCCTTAACCATTCCGTTCTTCTTCTTCTTTTCTCAGCTCATGTTGACACCCCGGTCTCACCTGTCGCGTCTTTATTCTTCCCATTCGTTATTTCCTTTTGATCACTTTCCTTTTTCACGGCTTACCTGGTTTAGCTTAGCCGAGATTCGGAATCGTTGAGGTAAGAATGGCAGATTGGCGTCCACCACAGCGCCGGGAATTTCAAGGCCTGCCCAACGGCACCAACTATCCTTTCTTGTTTGGGTCTTCCTGTGATTGTTGACCTGCCCCTTCCATTCAGGGTGTGATGTCGCACTCTAACTCCTTTGCGCCGGCGTTGAGGGTAGCTCGTGTAGTTAGTCGGTAGTGCCTCGACACCCTGCAAACAAATCGTTCGCCCTGCAAAAGGGGGCTATTTATTCTGTTAGGGCGCAGAGGTGCGGTGCGATGTCACGACAAAACAATTGACGAACGGCACTACTTCTTCTTTACTGTACGTTCCCAAGTCCACCAATGCCACTAATACCAGCAGGTCGGTAACCGGTGAAAAGTTACCGACGCGTTGTGCAGGAAATGAGTGTCACAGGACGTCCTCGTAATTATTGCTCTCCCTCTCACCGCACTTTCGTGTCTGTGGGATGGTGAAAAGGGAGCCTTTCTCTGGAAATAGGGGGTGAATGATGTTCTCACGTGTGCGATCCTGACAGGCAGTTTGGCATGCCCTTGATTGAGATTGCCCTTTTATTTTGGGCATTTGCTTCTTTATTTCCCTTGAATAATGTCGGCTGCGGCGGGAAACAGGAAAAGAGGAAATGGCAGAGAAGCATGTAACATGTAAGGACGTTGCATTCCCTTGTATTCCATCCAACAGCCGCTGCTTCTGATCCGTATATTTCACTCCTTCTCCCTCCATCCCAATCTGCTCCTGTTCCAGTAGATTACCACTTTCCGGCACAGAGACAGGGAGCATATGTAGAAAGATGCAGAAGCATGCGCCATACGGAACATGTGTCGAGAACGGACATGTTTGCGGCCTTGCATGGGCGGTATTGATGCCGTCGACCATTGGGCACGGGTGAATGGACAGGAGTATGAATGCCCCGTTATGAGGAATGTCGTGGTATTATTGGCATGAGGCCCTGCGTTTGACCACTCCCTGTGTTTACCGTATCTCACTGCCTTGGCCTGTTGGGACTGAGTTGCGTCCGTGCTGGGAAGACAACCCCATGTCTTGCTGTATTAGCGTTCCACTCTGCTGCATTGCCTGCCCGAGGGTGCATCCCACAAACACGAGCCAGCTGTATGTAAAAATGTGCGATGGCGGCCAATGATTGAATGCTACCCTCCACCAGTACAGACACTGGGCGGTGCGCAGGGTATTTCCACCGAGACTTCTCCGTGCGTCCAAGATCGAGACACACTCCTATGGAAAACCGGGTATTACAAAGAAAGTAACAAATACGACGGCAAAATGCATGCGCATCGTACGTCGTAGGCCTGGTCCGAGAACAGCTGGCACAACCGGGCTCACGTAAAAGTAAAAACGGGTGACAAGAGCAAGCATTACATTGTAGGATCGAGACATCCCCTCTCAAACACTCGTCATGCTAGCTGCATCCCTTTCCTGGTAAGATCCAAAATATATTAAGGCAGTCCTGCAGGTCGCCGAATGAAAGTGGACTTTTGCGCGAGAACCTGTTCGTTTTCTAGAAACTGGGCCAGGCCCATGTCTTGTGCATACAGACAGAACAGAGAGCGTATGACACATTTGGTACGTGCGGTGGAAGAAACAAATCACGGGGGGCATATAAGTTATCCACCTCACACACACACACATGATAAAACACAATGTTCTTTGGCCACAACGAGGTAATATTTAGTCAAAAAAGGAATCAGTAGTAAACATGGAGGAGTCCGTGATTATTGATTACGACGACCGGGCCACACTGCAAGACGGTAAGGACAACTCCGGTCGTAGTTATTATCAGCAAGGAATGAGGGCCTGCTCACCTGAACGATACCTCGATGTGCCGCCGTGCCTAGAGAGCTTGAAGTAGTATTTTTTTCATTTTGCTTTTTTGGACGATACGGAAGTGTGCCACATCGTGTAGGAAAAGAAGAGGGTGAAGTGGAAATAATAGGACAAAAAAAGCAAGTAAATCAACAGAAACGTGAATACATTCTGAACGTCATTCCTATCCATTCTTTCTTATTATTTCTTATCAAGTTTGCCTCTTGCTGTCTTTGATTTCCTGCCAGCCTGTTGTTTCTATGTTGCCTTTGTTCTTGTGTTTTTTCGTGGCTTTCTACGACGTACTTCTCGGACCTCTGGGAGAAGCAATGCCACAATGCCTGGGAGGAATCACACAAGAGGCAAAAGAAAGAGGGTCCAAGGTGGATGCACTCATGCGGTAAGAAGTAATAGCACGACCGTTGCCCTGATTAAAACTCGTTTTATTCATACCGATCTGTTCAGGTGGTGTGGGAATATCTGCCGAGCGTGTGGCTGGCAAAAAGGCTTGGGAATGTTCGAAGGGCCGACGGGCAACCTCCGAAAACGCAGCGAGAACGACAGCCGATATGCGGTCGGGAATTGAGACTGCGGAAATGGCCCTTTGCAAACGGGTTTTTATGTTCGCACTGAATTTGTCCGAGAGAGACGTAGTTCACCAGACCCCCAGCAGGAACGACCACAAGTGAATGTTGTTCTTTTGTCATTGGTGGTTGGCCCCCATTCCTTCTTGACGCATCTTTCCCCAACTTTTGTTGAACGTCGAATACAACTTGCTACTGTGCTTCGCCGGTAGCTGCGTATAGTATAGGCTATGAGCAGCGACCCGGGTTCTCGGGAAGCCGCTATTCCTTCCAGTTTGACGGCGGCATATGAGGCCAAAGCTTACATTGCACGGCAAAAAGCAAGTCCAGCTGGGACGCTGTGAATTTGTTGCGGTGGGCTGGAAGTTGGCCGAGAAGGCCAACCAGGCGAGAAGAAAGAATCGCCAATGCTCGAACGCACTGGCATGCACAGTTCGAGACACACTGTGCGATTTTAGTGGGCGCAGCGGGCGCCTCTCATTCCTGTCATACTCCACAGGCGTCCAAAAGTCCCTAGGTCAAAGTACTCCGTACATTCCCTCCCTCTCCCACTCTGAACGTCTGTCTTCGTCAGCGACTTCGGGAGACAAGTGGAGGGGCGACCCCCGCCACTTCCAACCGTGACCATTGCCTTCAATACCATCACACCCCCACCACAAATGTCTCCGTTTTGTGTCCTACAGGGCCTCGCCGTTCGAATCACAGACAGATGCACGAAAGCGCCATTTTTTCGAATGGTTCGCTTTTTTTGCTCTCTGCGGGCCATGATCGGTGCTGTGAGTTCATCGTTCTCGACGTAAAGCATTACACAAGGCGTTTTAGCGCCAACCCGAGAACCTGGATCGCTCCAAATAGTCTAAGATCCGCAGGACCAAGAAACGAACAGAAGGTCAGGAACGTCGTAATCAATGTTTCTTTCATCTCTTTCCATCGCATGCCGAATTAGGTAGTGTGCTCGTGCTTTTGCCAATTGGGTGGGGCTGATTGTTTTTTGTTCTTCTCGCCATTTCTCACACTCGGAAGTACTCTCCGACGACTTTGCGAATACCCACCCCGTCGCTTTTTTTTCCTTTCTCTGTTTCCTGCCACTTCCCCCCGCCACCACCCGGCATTTGGCGGGATAGAATCGAATGGGCAGCTAATTCACTCTTTGCCTCACCTGCCTTCCCCAAGAGACCCCCTCCGGCTTCCGATGCCGCGTCATACAACCACTTGCGTTTTGTCCTCTGCTCGGTCTGTCTACGGCGAGTCTCAAGCACCGCCCCCTCCTCGAACAGGGCACCCATCTCTCCTTTCCGGCACCTTTCCCGGCACAGACATGTGAACGATGCAGCTCTTTCCTTCAGTTGTCGCTCGTAGGAATAACCATGTCGTTGTAGAACGCACCGCCAATATAGTTTAAGATGCAGTTTGCAACGGCGCCCGAAGATAGTTACGACCTCTCTTGTATGTGGCCCGGGGACACTACCGAAGCGTCCGCTGGGACGGGCTCCGTTTCTCTGGCGTTGTTGACCAGGGTGTTTCCAGGTCCTTTTTATGCTTTAGGGCCAAGCCATCTTGCCTTACATGCATACTTTTGCGCTTTGCTTTGCGGAGGCGAGAGCGCCTTAGTTTTAGGATGCCGTTTTGTTCAGATTGGTGAGACCAAGCGAGGGCAGCCCCCAACTGTAGGTGGCCCTTTGGTTTGTCCAGTGGGCAGATCTGGTATTGTTTCAGCAGGGTCGTCGGTTTGGCGTAAGTTGGGGTGGCCTGGCCTCCACCTCCAAGCCGCCTGTGCGCCGGCTCGTTAGGGCCTGCATCATCGTCTGCGCCGGCGCAAAGGGACAGCACCTCGCACTAACACTAAGACGAGCACCAGCGCCATTGGAGCTGTCAGTGCCCAGGGGCATGTTTGGGGGCCTTTAGGCAGCTAAACCAGGAGGGGCCTAAGGCGTAATACTGGAATATGGGGGAGATGGAGGGGGCCTGGCCAGGCCATGCAGGGCTGTAGTTTAGCAAGGTGGTAGGGTGAGCAGGCTGAGTAGCGCCTGTATCTTGTTTCGGTCAACTGTTATCTTACCAGGGGCGTTACGGAGTAGGGCACAGCGTATCTTAGGTGCAACATGGTATGGGGAAAAAGGCTAGGCTGGACTGGACTACTTTTGCGCGCAGCACCGGATCTGTAGCCAATTTAGCCCCCGTCACATCGCCAACACCAGCATATCATTTTAAGGCGATGGACCAGCACGAATTTAAAGCCTTGAGACCCCGGCGTTGCACTCACGACGATGAAAGCGCGCGATGGACAGACAAGGCCAAAGTAGCGGATATCAATATAAACAGAAACATCTGTTGGTAGGCCAGACGGGTCGAGTTTGGGAATGGCTGTGCACTAGCACTTTTCGACAACGACTCTCTCTATCGTCTGGTCGTGCTACGGAAGGATCAGGCATCAAACACAATTTCTGCTTTTCGTTTGACAGGCCAAAGCTCCAGTCAATCCGCTGCGAGTCGTTGTAAAGCCCACGGCAAATGTTCCACCAGCCTCAAATACCCAACTGCACCGGCATGAGCGCGGCACCCCCGATGAATATCAGCTGAGAAGGCAGTATGGCAAGGGAGAGGAAAACATTCTCCGTCACATGTGAGTAGAGCAAGTCTATCTTACGTTTTTGCAGGCCCGGGACAAAAATTTGATAAAAAATTCGGATTAATAAAACACCAAAAGGAATCGACGGCATACCGCATGACATAAGAAAAAAGACAGGTCAACAAAAGGTACAGGGGAAGGGGTGTAATGCCTGCGAGTAAAGGAAACCCCAAAATCAAAGAAAAGCTGGCAAAAATGGCCCAATATTCTGACCACAATTCGATTCCAGGCCATGCCCGCGTCTCTCATTCGTCGGTCACACCTCTGGACTTTCTTTGACTTATTTGGAGCATGGATCCACACTTCCGCACAAGCGGAGTCTTTTGGGATATCAGGCATTTTCCAGTATTGTAATTTTTTGTCTTTTCTATCATACCTCGACCGCCACCTCTTTTTGTCATCAAAGGAAAGATTGCCACTTCATTGCCCTTTTTTGTTTCTTCATCTTTTTGCTCTCCCTGCTCTGGCTTATTTGCCTGCGATCTCCGAGTCCATTACTGAGGGACTAACAGCATGTGGTCATGACTGAGTTATGTCCTTTTTCTTCATTATTACTCCGTAAACTTATCCAGGGAGGGGGCGAAAGAGGCAAACCAAAGAGAGTAATTCGTTCTCGCTATTCTTTAACCCTCATTCGTCCAAATTCAAATGGACCAAATACACGCCCCTCCTCTTTAATTCTTGCAACATGACCCATGCCAAGCAAAAGGCAGAGAAAATGAATAAAAAACGACAATCCGTAGCTGATTTCTGAAAGCCGAGGTCAAGGGTACTTTGAGCAAGAGAAGCAAAAGAAAAACGAGGAAAACATGAGCAAGGGGCGTCAAGATGGAAAAAAGAAGAAAGCAGAAAACGCGCAAAGCGGGCCCGCACAGTGTTTGTTACTGGAGTATGTAGGTTGGGGGCCCACTCACATCAATGTAGCAGGTTTTCTTTTCTCGTTCTGGCTATACCGACACTCCTTTGGCTGTTCCCATTTCCAATCTTTGACATCAGGTCTGTCTTTGGCATTCGATCAGACACCTGCACGGCCGCAGCTTATGACTTGGATGCGTACGTCGACGATACAAGTCGACCTCTCAGTTTGTTGAACGAGACGAAAGGAAATACAGTAAGTACAATAATACCTATAATACCTATTTAGAGAAAAAGTGCAATTGGCTCGTTACGACCGGCACACCTGGATCATATGCTTAACGCCGTATTTTGTCGGCCGTTCCGGCCGTGTTTTGAGGCCGGAATTGAGCCTTTCATTCTCGACCTGGCCTGGCGCGGAAATATACCACAGGTCAAGGAGCGCTATGTCCGAAAGAGGAAGGGCCTGGGCTTTGACCATTTCTTAAAGGTTACCATTTCGCGGCTGTCTCTGTAATCGATGCTTGTGAGATATACGATGCGAACGTACATCGTATTTACAGTCCTCATACAGACAGGCCGACGAGCGCTGACAGATATTTTGCACTGTGAGTCGTTCTCGGTGTTTGTCAAATGCGGACTGGGTCCAAATCAGCCGATTACTCTAGAGGCTGACAAAGTGTTATGCAGCCTTCTTTGTGCGGGTCATCGTTTTCTAAGTGTGCAATTGGACCTCTCTACCGGCAGGCAAACACATACCCTCAGACGTGCACGAACTGGGTCATTCCTACAGTATTGCCCGGACATAGGAAAGATGGACACAACTTTTGCACGCTTCAGACGAATCAAGAAATTCGAAAATGAAAACGTCCGGTTCCCAAAGGGACAGTCGTTTGACGAGCACAATCGCCTTCAACCACATTGGCATGTTGCCCGTGTTTCTATCAGGTGGAGTATCAGACGGTAGATGGCATTTCTCTGACCGCAGCGAATGCATTGGGTCTTTCGACTGGTCGTGAGATACTCCGTTCCATTTTCTGTTTCTTTACCACCCTTCAATCTCCACTCGCGTGTCGAGTGTCCACCAGGCCTCAGTTTCACTTTCTCTCTCTTTTTCTTTTCTTTTTTCTCTCGTTTTTACACTTTCTTTTCGGTTCTTTTCCTGTTTAGTCTACCAAGCCCCGCCCAGCTCAGAAATCTTAGCTAGGATCTGGGTTACAACTTTGGGGCTATCCCCCCCCTGTACGACATACACTGTGACAGGCAACTTTCAGGGACAGTGGCGCTGTGAAATGTCTGGCGCGCAGTTGCGGAGAGCCGCAGCTGAGTTTTGTCTCAAATTTGTCTTCTATGTCTCTCTCTGTGCTCTGACAAACAGTCGCTTTCCGTTAGGAGAAAGAAGATCGTATGTCGTAGATATGTACGATCCGAAAATCAAGCGGAGTCTGGCATTCCTATTCTGGTCCTTTTCTACATGCTGAGGTTTCGTGACAAGAACGGAAGATAGTTTGCGACTATTGATACGCGAACAAGCGGAGATGGGAGCCGATTGAGCCGTCACTCTGCCGAGAGCGATCAAAGGGAAAGACAGACATTATCGGAGAACCCGTCCGTACCGGTGATTGAGAACATTGCCCGCGGGTCTGATGACATGACAAATATCCTGGGGGTGATAATCTTACCTCGGTTCTCAAAAGGAGCCAGCAAAGGCCCTTTCTTTCCCCAGAAGGTTACGTGTCTTTTGTATGTTGTAAGATTACTTCTGAAGCAGTTTGCAACGTACACAAATCTACAGTTTGTGCTGTGTCACTTTCCTTAGTCGTTAAAAGTTTGAATTCCGTGTTCCGGGCTCCGTGCTTCTCTCGTCGGATATGTGAAATTGCATCCTTCCTCAAGCGACCTGTCGAGGAAACGGTGTGGTTCTGCCCACACAACCTACGAGGGCGGCGCCAGAAGAAGCCACTTGCAACCGGCGCTGGTTCCCGCCCCGATTGCTTCCCCCGGACCAAGTAAGAAGTTACAGTCTTTAGTAGTCTTATCTACGACATGCCGATGAAGCGAACTCCATTTTGGATGAGCTTGTGCGTAGTGCGCGGCGCTTTGTGGGAACATGCCCTGGCAAGCCACGAGGTTTGGGCAATTGGCGCCGTCGATACTTTGTTGCTTTCTTTTTGGGCCTGGCTTGTCTGATTTTCGTTCGTTCGTCCACGCTGTGATCGGCTTCGTGCAGTGGCCAAGTCCTCTCCGGTCGTTGCAACCGCGCGTTCTTCCTCTCACTCGCTTTTTTTTTTCCAAGCCAGGCCAAGCCCCTGTTGCGCGTGATAGGGCGTAATAGTCTCGCTTTCGTGGATGGGTGGACGGACAGGCCCCGAGGCCCCTGCTTTGGTGTGTTCTCAGCGACGGGTCCCTCGTGCATGGCATTGGGAAAATAAAATGTCTTGGAGGCACACTTCTCGTTTTTGGAAGCGAAATGCACAAAAAACGACGCCAGCGCTATTCTAAATGTGGGAAAGCGACGTCTCGACAAACCCTGTCAACTCATGGCTGGGCTTGGTTTTGGTTGGTGTGGGTTTTGAACCACTCGTCTTTACAGATTATTTTACGTCTCTTTCTGAAGGTGATGTGTTGCCTCCACAGGGCAAGAACAAGGCACACGTCGAGCGTTCAGCGCCTGCCTCGCGATGCCGATTCCTCCGTTCCGACGAGACTCCATGGGCTCGTGTTAGCTGCAGCCATTCACCTTATTTCACCGACGAATTATTTGCATATTCCGAGAGCGGTGGGGTGCAAATTCGTCCTTTTGAGTTCTGCGAGGAAGGACGTAACACATTCTCATTCCATTGATGCTGTCTGTTGGCTTCCTCTTTGCTTAAACGCCGTCACCTCACACCCCCTCTCTCCAGTCTTTTGCATACACCCCACCCACCTCCTGGGCCTTGGTCATCCTGCTCCCTCATTGAGAAGTGTCAATCCTGTCTGTGCCAATTCCCTGCTCGGCACAGACAGCAGCAGAGAAATTGCGTTCTTGCAGCTCATTCGCGCGCCGTATTCGTAGGTCGGCAAGGGCGACGTGCGCACGGTGTGATTACGTCGAAAGCAGCGGCTGACCAGATTGGGAGAGATCAAGAACCTCCATTCGAAGGAGAAGAGACACGACATTCTGGAAGAAGACAAAAAAGAAAGTGGCAGGGGTACCTGTCGCAAAAGGAGGCAGAGCAGTGCGTCCTGACCTGGTCACTATTGCAATGCTGTCTTCCCATGCATGGGTGTTCCACAGCCCTCTTCCCCTTTTTGTCATTGCTCGATGGTTGGTTAATCGGCCTGAGCCCTCGAATGGCCCTTTAGGGACCCGGAGTGGATGGTCTCGTTCTCTTGATTCTGTAACAGACTCCATCCTTCCCTCAGCTGCCATGACCGCTGTGTTCCTTTACTTCCTCTGAAAACATGCCGTCGGTGTTTGTGGTGCAAGCTGCATGCGGGGGGGGGGAGCATTCTTCCACATCCTCGTTTTGCCCATATCAGGACACTTCTTTCCCAGGTGGAACTTGGGCAAAATTAACCTGCACAATTGGATTCGTAAATTCGAGGACAGGATATGGGGACCTCAACTTTGGTGTCCGTTGTCAAGGCTTCGAGCCAATGGCAAGGTCAGCGCCCTTGTTCTAGCCAAGTTAAGCTGTATTACAGCAAGAGCAGCGTCTTTCGCTAATCCTGGCCTGGCCGATTGCCGGTAGCCCAGGCCGGATGGCGGCCAGCGGAAAGCGGCTGTCTTGAACGACCACGGCCGCCACCACCACCACCCATCACAAAATGCTCTGGTACAGGGCTTTCGTACGCTAGCTCTCGCACTACGAAGACCACACGCATACGCTACAGCGTCGTGATATCGCGTTCTGCAGGGGAAATCCCTCCTATCAGGTCGCACAGGTGGTCCCGCCAGTGCGTGTGTCTTTCATCGAGCTCCACACCTTCCACCATCTCAGCAAATATGCTAAATCGCAGCGTCCGATCGGGGCCATCCATTGTTCTTACTTTTCACGTTCGTAGCACAACGCATCTTTACGACGTTTGAACAAACGGCATGCCAAGCACTGCCTACAACCCACTGACGATTCACTTTGTATAACTCGAGTTGCGCAAGGCAGGTCAGCCAAGTGTCTTCCGAAGACCGCGGCATTGCAGGCATCTCATTGAGCAATAAAGACATAGCCACAGGCTGTGTGGGGAAGACGAGGCAGCAGCGAACAACAGGCATTCAAAGTAGAACAAAGAGGACCCCAAGAGAATGAATGTCCCGTACTAACAAACGGCCTTCACGTGAATGGCCTTAAAGAAGACGTCCTAATCATCGCACCTAGCTGCCTTACACATCATTTTTGAAGTGACATAACTCTTCGCTCCACGGTATCCGAACGCATCATGTTTCCTCTGATTCCTGTTCAGCGCGTTGGTGATGACCACAGGCATTGGGCGGATCGACTATTGCGAACTGCACTCTTTTCTGATTGCCGCGACAAGCTCCAGCCCCCCCCCCACAACTCGCCAGCCGTCGCTCTTTCCGTCTCTTTCCCTTCTCATCCAAAACACCTGGGTCGTTCTTTCCCCTTGCGGATTACCCACAAGGGCACTGTTGTCGTCTAGACGCTGCGAATAACACAAACCATTCATAAACAAAGCTGTTGCTGCCCTTTGCGCCTTCTACTTTTGCCGCTTCTTTCTACTTCGCTGTAAAAGCACTCGGTTGGCCACGGTCGGCCACTCAACTGACGCTGAAGCTCAGGCCAGGAGGCAAAGTATGCTCGCTGTATCCGGCCTAAACCCCGGGGGAACCCACACCATGGCTTTGGGGTGACTGTGTGAGCCGAGCGAGGCATTACGGAGCACTCGTATGGCACTCTTCAGAGGAGATCCAGACATTCTCCGCACACGTCCACTAAACTAAGGTACACGCCCCCTCCCCGCCTCTTGCTCGTAAATCCCACCCCCTCTTCCTGCGCAAAAAAAAACAGTAAAAAAAAAAGGGAAAAACAAGAACCCAGAAAATCTCGTCGCTGGGTGTCTGCGGACTCTTCGGCCGGCTCCTGCGCGCAACTTTGCTGCCTCTCGCCCTTTGCACTCAACTGCTCGTACCGCAGTCAAATACACACTCGCCGCCACCATCGTCCCTCGCTGTGGGCGCAAATCTTCCTCGTCAACCTGACTCGCTCCTTCCTTAAACCTCTTTTGTTTTTTTCTTTGATTGCCTGTCTCGCTCGCCGTCTCCACACGCCGCGAAGCTCGTTACTGGTTCAGGAAGGGGTCATCAAGAAAGACAGACCGTGGTGATCAAAACCGCAAGAGCGAAGACGAAAGAAGGAAAGCACCATTTTTGCCTTCTCAGATCCGTTCGCGCACGCCCTCCTTGACTAGTCCAGTCTTTGACGCTTCCTCCGCTCGGCTTCTGCTCGCCAACAGCAAACACACACACCCACGCGCTACTTCTCGCACTACGGAGAACAGGCACAAGACCACACACCCCGTCATCGCATTCGACGCCGACTGATCTGGGCCAGCTCCGGTACAGATACAATTGCGACTAGCGACCAAGTAGAAGCGACCTACGCCGAACTGCTTATTGGCATTCGCTGCAGCCGTCACTGTTTTGTGCTGTGCCCTCCCATTTGAGCCATAGTTTGGTGATCGTGGTCGAGGCTTTCTCAAAACAGAACCCCCCCTCTTCTTCTACTTCTTTCTTTTTTTCTCTTTTTTTTTCTTTCATCCTACCTGTATTCTTGTTCTTTGTCTCACAATCAACGAGTTGCTGTCAAAGACCAATTCGTAATTGTCTTTTTTTCTTTTTATTTTCTATTTCATCTATATTCAAGAGACCTCGCCTCCCCCCCGTCCCTCCAGATCTCTTTTTATTCTCCCACCCCGTCGTCCTCCGCCCTTCGTCCTCTCGCGCGCCCATCTTCCCACCTCGTCCTTCTTCCACCTCGACACCCGCGATAAAACTCTATGGACCGCAGTGCGCCTGAGTACTCGCAGACAGGTTTGCCTTCGCCCTATCCAAGTCACACCGGGGACACGCGTTCTGAGGCGTCATCTTTAGATCACGCGTCTGCTGCGCAATACGTGACCCAGCAAGAAGTCCGTCCGAGCAACTACTCTACCACCGCAACTCCCACGTCCGAGTACGGTGTCTACCCGCCCTCCGCGCGGTCTGGTTCTTTCCCTGAGCACATTCAACAACGCCCGTATCACCCGTCTCCCAACCACAGTGGTAGTGGAGCCATGGCGCAAACACCTTCAAGTCCGTCTCTTCCTGTGCAGCCGCAGCATGAATCCCCCATTGAGCCTTACCCAACTTACAAATCCCCCACGGCGAGGTCTGACAATGATGTACCCATAGATCCGTCCATTACGGCGCAGAGCCCTACTTACGCGACGCATGGCCAATACTCGCCCTATGCGCCGGCTTCCGGTGACATGCAGCACGGCTACCCGCACAGCGGTGGCTTGTATACCCAGCCGCGTCCGGATTGGACCGGCTACGGCGGCCAGCCAACCCCGATCACCCCCGGCCACCATGTCTTCCCCCAGGCACCTAACTCGGCCCCGCCTCAGCCGCGCCCAACTCAGGTAAGAATTGGACCTTTCCTGGCGGGGACGTTTGCTCACAGTGCGTCCGGCCGTTGGTGTGTGTGCTCGTACAAAGCAGACCAGTCGACCTTGCCGATGAGGTGGCCGACAGGCGGTTAGCGCTGGTAATCGCAACGGCTACACAAGACCGGCCGAGGGCGCCCGTGGCAAACCAAATAGAATGCCTCGTTGACTAACGCGACTGTTATTAGGTGTACTCTTTCGTACCCATCCCCGGCGCTCAGCAACACAAGCGTCCTAGACGCCGTTACGAGGAGATTGAGCGGATGTACAAGTGCGGCTGGAACGGCTGTGAAAAGGCCTACGGCACTCTCAACCACTTGAACGCCCATGTGACCATGCAGTCTCACGGCCAGAAGCGCACCCCGGAAGGTAAATACAATTCCCACCTCGAAAAAGAAGTTTCTGTCGCCATTTCGCTCTTGTTTTGTGTTTTGCTGTTGGTGTCCTCCGTGCCTCAGTGGCAGTGTCAAGGCGTCGTTGCCTTGCGACAGATACGGTTGTTCCGTGTTGAGCAGCTACAGTGCAGCTGGTCGGTCGGGGCCCCTATTTTGCGTTCCCATCCAACCAGTTTGCCACCATTGTTCTGTTTCATCCCATGTCGCGTATTAGCGTCCCCTATCGCAATCGCGCATTTTAACCGGCGGATGAACCACAACATTGGTGTCGAGGCTAAGAACCGGCAAGGGCCAACCGAATTACTGGGTTGAGCTATTGGCGCGAAATAAATTAACTATGGAAAGGATTCGGCAGCTAACCTTTGTTTTCTAAAAAAATAATAGAGTTCAAGGAAATAAGAAAGGAGTGGAAGGCTCGCAAGAAGGAGGAGGAAGCTCAACGCAAGGCCGAGGATGAGCGCCAGCGCCAGGCTGCAGCTGCGGCTGCGGCCTCTGGTGGCCCTGCCGGTGGTGACCCCAGTGGCCAGCCCGGTGACGGCGGCCAGGGTGCGTCCTCATACGCCGGTAGCCGGCAGCTCCCTCCGCTGGGCTACCAGCCAAACTCATATCCCGCCCCGCCTGCATCCGGCGTTGCAGCCTCGTCGATTCCCGCCGACTACAACAACAACTACATGCACCAAAACTACCCGCCAGCGTCGCCTTACGGACCACCGTCCAACCAGCAGATGTACGGCCCCCGTTAAAGAGACAGATTTTTTAATCTGTTGAACGCCATGCCGCGTCGAGATCGAACGTTCGAATACAGCAACAAATATTACATGAAAAGTCCTCTAAAAAATCGAAAAGAAGAGTGCTTCGACCATCCATATCTACATATGCTTCTGCACATTATACAACCTGCCTGACAGATGTTTTGTAGCATTTGTTTCCGGCACCGTTCATACTCTCCGATCTATATTTGCCACTCATCACCGATGGGTTCGGGACACGACCTGGTCTGGGTGATGGATGCATAGGCAACTTTGTCTATCGCCCAGTCGCGCGCGATTTTCCTTTTCCGACGTGTGGTGAGACGCCGAATCATTTCGGTTCTGGGGAGCCCGATGGTCGGGCTCATTGGTGGCATTCTCGTTTCCTCCATGTTTCTCTTTGTTTAACGCGTGTTTATGATTTCATGTTTTTATAAGACATACTTGCAGGGTTTCTCGCATTGTTACTATGTCTATTTCTCCCTTGTCAGTCTTTGTCTCTTTCTGGTACATTATTGTCTTATACGTTTTTCTTTGTACATGATCTCTCAAGTCCGGGTGGCCGTCTCAATTCTCGCATTACGGTAGGACGACTGGTGTTTTTTGGCTGGTGGGGGAAGACTTGTTTTTGTACTGTTTGCAATACTCGTTTTTGTCCTGCTCTGATTTTGTTTTGTCACTGCACTAACTCCTTGTCAAATGGGTTCTCTCAACTATATTTTGCATGGGCATCAAAAGAGGAGTGTAGGATGGTCTGCAAGACTTGGGTTTGGAACATGTTTTGATTGTCTGTTCACGGAAACGGTGCCTTGCAGATCATCTTTTCCAACGCTCCTGTCTCACTCCCATTCGTTGACCACTTCTCGAGATTATCATTGCAACCAGAAGAAATATGTTTATGTTTGTTTTCTTTGGCTAGCGGGAGAGAAGACCCTGTTTTTGACACGTCCCCTTCACATCTTATTCTTTTGTCCTTGTCATCCTTTTTCTTCTTTTACACTTGTCTTTAGAGTTCCGCCGGCCGTGTGCGATTGCCGGCCGAGCAAACATACCTCGATGCTGCTCACGCGGTGTAGTATGTAGGCAATGAAAAGCAAAAAGGAAATTTTAACTTATTCTGGCGACAACCAACTGTGCAATACATCCAATAGTAAAAGGCTGTAATTAAGCATAGTGCGTGGCCGAATACAAGCTGACAACAGCATAGCCGGGAAATTTTGAGTAGATCATGTGGCAGCTCATACGATGGGATCGGCTCTAATCAAGCATGCTCAAACGGATAGCGCTCACGCAGTTGCGTGGCCCTCCTTTATCGTTTCCCATTTCAACGGAAAAGGTGTGGTTGCACAAAACAGGGATGCGGAGATCCTTGCGTGCAGGATAACAGAACGGGCCTAGAAGCGCAATTCCATGCAGCACACAGTACGGAGTACATATTCTTGTCGGAGGGCCACGCCGGCTGGCTACTGCGACCTGCGACCCGAGTGTTTGGTTTGGGTTGGCCTAGCACGCGGCCTAGTCTCGCCGTGACCTAGGCTTTGAATCTTGCAGAAGCGAGAAACCTGGGATTTACGTGCATCTTGATGTCCATGTAGTTAGTCCCTGCACATCATTCACTACTGGGGTGTGCGTGCACTCAGGGAGGGGAGAGAGGTGACGTAGGTACAAGACATCCACTGCGACACCCGAATACGCTTGCTCCTCCACATTGCAATATACACATGTACGCATGACGGTGGCATGTATCTTACAATTTCTCTGCCCGAGTAACCAATACGGGACAGAAGAACACGGCGCGAAATAACAAACTATTGTTTTTTGCCATTCCCATCCATCTTGAGAGGCCTTTCGTATTTTTTGTCCCGTGTTGTTGTGTGCTCATAAAGTACACCATCTACGAATGTAGGTGGTCCGTTTGTCAACATCGTGTTACGATGAAGATCTAGAGCGTTAATACCCTGTAAGTTGAAATACGCATTTTACCTACAAACTAGGCGAGGCTCGGTCGGGGAGTGTAAATGAAGCAACCAGCACCAACGCCAACGCCAACAGCCGTGAATTGGCGTGTGGAGAACGGGCGGCAAACCAACGCTTAAATCGTTTTGCCTGGTCTGATTTAGATCATACTATTATGACGGGCATATGATAATCGGGCGGTGGTCGTTGGTGGGTGGTAGTACAATGCCAGTGAAGTCGGCGTTGTGGCACACCCTTCTAAATTAGCCTACCAAGATTTGGCTCCCGAAAAACCGGGCTTGCTCGCTAAACTGGGCCTGTAAATGGGATGAGCGCGCGCTGTGACATGCAGTAATGCTTCTCGACCCAGTCCCCCCGTAGCGTGGCAGGCCTGGTGTGTGGTGTGGAAGTGGAGGGGAGGGGCCTGGCTAGGGCCACCAAAGAACAGAGCGTCAGGCCCAAGAGGCCGGTAATGAAATAGCAGTCCACGCTACTCGATAGTGGGAAACGCAAGCCTGTTCTTGGACCCAGAGCTGAATTCGCTCGTGCTTGCGGGCTGTAGCGCACAGCCGCTTTGTTAGCGCTGCAACGATCCGCGGCCCAAACAGCGACCGCCCGTTGCGACACTGGCACCGACCTTCTGTCACTACCCTAAGCCCTGGGGGAGGGGTGTCTGCCTTACAATCCAGGGACCCTAGAACACCAGGGCTCTCTTGGTCTTACCACCCGATCTTGTCCTGCCATGCATAACTGGCGCTTGCTGTGCCGCCTGACGTGCAGCGCTGGTCTGATTTGGCGATCCCTCCGCTGGCCATCTGTCGACTCTGTTTCTAAACAAACTAATGCAGGCGCGGCACGCAGTAGTGCTCTGCGGTCCATCTTGGGGACATACTCTATTGACATGCTCCGTGCTATCTTTGAGTTCTACAATTAGAACGTTTGTCGTATCCTCCGTATACGAGGTGCTAGTTCGTCTACAACTTGTATACAATGTGCTTTTCTGCGCTCATTATGCACATTCTAACCAATGTCCCGGAATTCCTGAAATTGTTCAATATATTGTCATCCCTGAGTGAGGACAGGCATTAGAGATAGTATATTACAGTGTCCCTCGCTCAAGTTTATAAAGTCAGTTGCTTTCGCATAAATTCTGCTTCGCTCACGAGCCACGTTATTGACAATGCAGAGCTTGATTGGTAAAGATTCGCTTGCTTAGTTAAAAGGCACTTTCGACAACTGCTCCCTATTAACTTTTCCGTTCGTGCTCAGCACTATATTTCCTGTCGCCCTAGACGTTATAAATGGCATCTTACTAGGTGTGATGTACTACAGCTATTTATATGCGAATCCTTTGACAGTCTATTTTTATTTGCATCTCAGGCCTGATCGCATTAAGATATCGCTACCCCGATTTGATTTGGCGCGAATGTCGAAAATGCTCGACGCACACAACATTCATGGCGTCTCCATCGTCCTCGTTTAAGATATAATATCGTCATCAAGCTCAGCGACGTGACACAGCAAAAGCTCCCGACCTTAAACTTGCTGCTATGGAGTTGTGTAGGACACTTCCGATTTCTATTTTTTATGGTTTAATTTTTTTTTTATTAAAAAAATTCAAGGTAGATCAAAAATAATACAATTTTACTTTTCATTGGGGAGAAGAAAACACAATAATCAATTCAAAAGGTGAAAATTTTCGTATTCAGATGATTAACAGGTATATTCTCAGCAAAACATAAAAAATCAAGATCTTTTATTGTCCCTTTACTATTACCTTTTGTCGCTCAAATGGGCTGAGGTAATTAATAAATTGAAACAGTCGCCGTTACCGGCTGTTTTAATGCGCCTTGTTTGCATTTGGCCAAAACTAGCACCTTACGTCATCCCAACACAGTATCGCAAGGCTTTTCGACCTTGCAGCGGGTGCGAAAGCCATACACAAAAACTTGACCCCAAAACAAACGGACAAGGCAATACCGCTTTAACTCATCAAGATTGGCCTCGCCTACAAAATGCCCGGCCTCGCAAGATTTTCTTCGACTTTCTTATTTCGTTTCCACGTTCTCTGATCCGCAGTCTTACCCTTTTTCGACAACATATTTGGGGCTTTCTGTTCTCGATTTTTTGCGTCCCTAGTATCGTTGCTCACCACAGAACAACGAGTTTTGAGTATCGACGCATGCACGGTTCTCCGTCCCCCTAGAATATACTCTCCCAACCGTCTGGCATGGTAAACGTTCGGACTGGGACCGGGGCGCCGACCCCTACCGCGGCGGATCGCACGGCAGGCTCTGCGACTCCTTCCCTCGACAGGGAGGACAGCATCGGGAGCACCAGCACCTCTAGCACCTACAACACTACTGCCTTCAACAAGAACCAACCTCTATCCAAGTCCAACTCGGTCCTCTCGCACAAGTCCATACCATTCACGGGTGCCTACCCTATCGGCCACCTCAAGGTGGTCCAGCCAGCAGAGCCTATATGTGAAGGCAGCGAGACCATAGGAGACGAGGGCAGTACCGCCGTGAGCGACAGTGGCGGCACAACAAGAGGTAGTTCACGGGTATCTGGAACCACCACCGGGGACCCACCGGTCTCGACGGGCCATCCGTCCAAGGGCGATGTTTTTATTCTCCTCAGCATCCCGTTCGAGTCGCAAGTGGGGTGCGATGTTATGGCTCTGACGGTCAAGAAGACTGCTGCCACTACGATGACGGGGGGCAATGATGGAGACAACGATGCCCTGCTCGGCTTTCGGGATCTGCCACCCGGAACCCACTTTGTATGGCTATCAGCACCAGGCGCCATGTCTCGACAAGGGTACTGGTTCGTGACACAGCCAGAACCATCCTCTGCTGTTCGTGTCAAGCAGTGGGACCGCTTCAACGAGGTCCTAGGCGAGTGCGCCAGCCAGTACGAGGCTCGGTCTCTGACTGACGACATTGCGGCAGTCTATCCCAGACTGGTGTCCTACAGCAGTGCAGGCCACAGCGCGACTACTACCCCCCCCGGCCAGCCCACGACCACACCCACAC